GAAAGCTCCTCTGTGAGTCGATTTCGCTCGACGATCGAAGAATCCAAAGCGGCTTGGATGCGCGCGATCTCCGAATTGATGCTTGTGATTCGCTGCTCTGCAGCCTCCAGTTCGTTCTGGAGCGTTTGGAGCCGCACAGTCGATTCAGCGAACGATTTCTCAGCGGTTTCGCGAAGCTTCGACTGCCTGCTTTGCTCTTCTTCGAGGGACGAGACGCGTTCTTTTTCGACTTGGAGAAGTGAAGTCTGATCTTTATTCAATTCTTCTAACTCGGAAATGCGGAGTTTGCTCGCTTCTTCTTTCTCCTCGAGCGACTTTTTGATTTGGGAGAGCTCTTCGATTTGTTTCTCTGCGGTTTGCTGCAACTCCGCCTTGTCCTCGATCGTCTTTTTCGCTCGAATCAGTTCTTCGTTGATAGAGCGCGCCTCTTCGGAAAGCTTTTCTTTTCTCTCTTCCAAATCCTGAATGGTTTGCTCCTGCTTCGATATTTGGTTCTTTAAAGCGATTTCACTCTCTTCGAACTGGCGAATTCGCGATCGAAGCGACTGCAGCGATTCGTTTTCTTCGTGTAGCTGCTCGATTTCTTTTAGAAGTTGCGAATTCTCGCTTTCAGTTCGTTTCAGGGACGATCGAAGTTCTTCCTTTTCCTGCTCGATGTGTTCTTTTTCCGAGCGGAGCGAATCTTCTAACGACTTCTTGTCTTCTTCCAACAGCTGTTTCTTCTCTTCGAGTGTTTTCTTTTCGTCTTCTAACTCTGCAATTCGCTGCTGCAGCAGATCTCGACTTTTCTCCGTTTCAGCAATCGATTCTGCGATGTGTTCGGCCTTTTGCTTCTCCTCCGCAAGCTTTTCACTCAATTCAGAGAGCTTTTCATTCAGTTCCTCTTTCTCTTTTTCCAGTTTGTCGTTTTCTTCCTTCCACTTCTCTTCCAGCTTTCCTTTTTCTTCGCTCAGCGACTTGACTTCTTCGTCCTTCTTCTGCAGCATCCCTTCCAACTCCTCCTTTTCTTTCTGAGTCTGCAATGTGAGCTTGTCTCTCTCCTGCACTTCGATCTCCAACTGCTTTCGCAATTCGTCAATGGCCAGATTTCTCTGCGTCAGCGCTTCTTCCAGCTCTTTCACTTCATTCTTCCTCTCTGTCGCGATTTGTTCCGCATCCATACTCGCTTTCTCTAAAGCTGCGATTTGTTCTTGCTGACTATGCGTATTGCTTCGTAATGTTTCGATCTCCTCGCGAATCTCTTTCAGTTGTTGCTCACTATAAAGCTTCTCGGATGAAAGAGTATTCATTGCGTCTTCCAGCTGCTGCTTTTCGCTTCGTAAATGTCGCAGCTGTTCTTCGAGGATGTGGAATTCAGAAGTCGTTGACTCAAGCTGGGATTCGAGATTGCGGTTCATCGATTCAAGACGTTGACTTTCTTTCTGAGCGTCTTGAAGTTCCTTTTCGGAAATCGATGAGATTTGTTCAGCTGCTTTACGCAATGATTCTTCTTGATTGAAGAGATGGCGCGCTTCTTTCAACTGGGATTCCAATGATTCTATTTCGGTTTGGACTGTTCCCAATTGGCTATTGAGCGCTTCTTTTTCGTTTTGAAGATTTTGAATCTCATTCTCCAATGAATCTTTTTCACGCTTCACACTTTGAATCTCATTTTCCAGTTTCGCTCTTTCTGTTTGACCCATTCGAATCTCATTCTCCAATGAATCTTTTTCACGCTTCACACTTCGAATTTCATTTTCCAATTGTCCTTTTTCGGTTTGGGCAGATTCCAATTGACTTTTGAGTACGATCGCTTCGTTCTGTACACTTTCAAATCGATTCATCAATGATTCCCTTTCATGTTGACTCTTTTGCACTTCCTTCTCCAGTTTTTCTCTTTCGTTTTGCTCCTTTTCGAATCGACTTCGCAACGTTTCTCTTTCATTCCTCAATTCCTCCACCTTTCTTTTTGTCTCCTTCAACGCATTCTCCGCGTTTTGAAGTCGCGGCAAGCAATCATTCAGCGTTTTCAATTGCTCCGTTACCTGATTCTGCAACTCGTCATTCTCCTTCACCATTTTCTCGTACTCCCCTTTCAGCTCCTTTTCCATCGTCTCATGTTTTCTCTCCAACTCAGCGAGCCGCGATTGATACTCCTCCACTTCCGCTCTCTTCTTCCGCTCTGCTTCGCGGAGCGATTTCATACTCATTTCTAAAGCCATCGATCGCGTCTCGCTCACTTGCAGGTCTTTCTTCGTTGCATCCAACTCATCGCGAGCATGCGTCAATTCTTCTTCTGTCGCATTCGCACTCTGAAGCAAAGCGTCGACTTGTCGTTTCAGCGAGTCGTGCTGCTCCGTTTTCTCTTCCAACTTCTCTTCGAATTCCCTCATTTGCATTTTGTAATGGCCATTTTCGGAGGCTAATTCTGCGCATTGTTGCTGGAATTCATTGATCGATTTCTGGCTCTGCTCCAACTGTCCTTTCAGCTCCGCGATCGACTTTTCCTGACTCTCCACAATCCCAGCCAATCGCTGCTTTTCGATCTGCTCGTGTTCCTTGCGCTGCTCGCTTTCCTGACGAACCGACTGCTCGATTCCGTTCTTCTCTGCCTCCAAAATCTCCGTTTGCAGACGTAGTTTCGACAACTGATCTTGATATCCCAGGATTTCCTTCTTCAATTTCTCCACCTGCGTGGAAGCGAACTCGTATTTCTCTTCCACGCTATGCAGCGACGCTTCGGTTCGCTGCGACACTTTTCTCTGTTCCTGCAACTCCGATTGAAGCATTTCCATTTCTCCAGAATTCGCGGCTTTTTCCAAAGATCGATTCAACTGTTTTAACTGCTCGATTTCCTTGTCCTTCGCTTCGATTTGCTGCTGTTGCGTTCGCTTCCATCGCGCGTCGGATTCGCTCCACTGCGAGCGGATCGAAGCGATTTCCTTCGCCAGCTCGCTTTTCTCTTTCTCCAAAGTCTGCAAACGCGTCGCTTTTTCGGCTTCTGATTCGATTTGAAGCTTCAAGTCTTCGCGCTCTTTCTTCAATTCATTGCGCGTTTGCAAAAGCGATCCTTCATAAATCGAAACTGTCATCGCCAACGCTTCGGCACGATGTCTCCATTGGGACTCCGACTTCTGCAATTCGTTTTTCTCCGCTTCCAGCTGCTCCTTCAGCTTTGCTTTCTCTTCGCGAATCCGATCGACTTCGGTTTGCAACGCAGAAGCTTCCTCCTCCGCTTTCTTTCGCTTCTTCTCTTCTTCTTGAATCACTTCTTGATCATGAATCTGCTTGTTCTGCAGCTCCATCATTTCCTTTTCCGTGTCGCTCGCTTTGTGCGACTCTCGAAGCAAAAGGATTTGCTTTCTAATTCTCACAACGCTTCCCGAACCTCACTCCAACGTCACGATTCGAAGCGATCGCAGCTGTTCTGCGGATTGAATCGCTTCGATTTGCTCTCGACACTTCTTCAGCTCCTCCGAATCCTTCTCTCCTTTTTCATTCGCTTGATCCAAAGCCACCGACACCGATGTAAACGACGCTTTCGCCGTCTGTAGCTCCTCCTGCAGCTCCTCATAATGCCGTTTCAGCTCTTCACAATGCCGTTTCAGCTCTTCGTTCGCTTCTTCAGCGGCTTTCACTTTGTCTCGAAGAAACGAAGACACGACGGACTGATTGTGGATTCTGCAGGGCGCCGGCGTCTGCGCGATCTTTCGAATCCGGTGGGCGAGCGCCAGCGTCTGCAACGCCAGCGATCGATGGGATCGAAGCGGATTCAGAAAGGCTAAAAGAACAGTAAAGGACGTCGGAAGCATCGCGTGGTGCAGAAAGTGGAGGAGTTTTGTGAGTCGCCAATTGATTTGGTCCTCCGAAAACTGATTTTGCGAGAGTGAGGAAACGGAGCGATAGAACGACGTGATGCCTCGGCCTAACTGCGAAGCTTCCTTCGACACTCCGCTCGACGTGGGTTCCAAATTCAATGTTTCGATGCCTGGAAGGAGAACGAGGTTGAGTTCTCCGAGCAACACCTCGCCGTTGGCGCGATATAAGTGATCGTCACGTGCGCGACTCTCACAAAAGACACGGATGATGAGAGTGCGGTTGGCGTCGTACTTTGAGCTGTCCAATTCGACGTTGTTCGAGCGAGAAATACCCTCCATTACGATCTGACGTGAAGATAAAGCAGAGGACCAACAGACTTGAAGTCGTCGAGGGAAGAAAACTCGGACTCGGTGCAGAGAACAGTCGATGCACTTGGTATGTCGGATATATCGGTGATGGACACGCGATCCGAGAGAAGATCACGAACCGTCTCGCGCAAAATCTCCAAAACGCTCACACGGAGAATGTAGATGCGGTCTTTGCTGTTCTAGGGGTCAACTACGCAGCGAAAACACACAATCTCGATCTGAGACAAAATACTATCCACAGACATAGTAATCAGTCCCTTCGATGATTCTGATCCCTGAAAGATTGACGCAATATCACAAGAAGTCTCTCCCACTCCTAGGAGAAAACCTAGATCCTTACGCACGCTATTTAAATAGTACAGTGAATGCCATCAGCAACCTTTGATCCAATAGACCCAAAGTGCGCTTGGAACAGTTTTTCACCACTGACATTCGAATCAATCACGGCATCTGAATCTAAATAAATACCTCTTTCCAATACCATAAAAATCTCGTTCATTCGCCGCAACGTCACCATTTTCTTCAACAGAAAAGATGCAATTGTTCGTAGAATCAAAATTCCAACACACATCATCGTCTGTAGCGTTCTACGCAATAAGGGCAACAGGACCAATCGCACATCAGATATGTCAACCGGCTTCACAATTGCATTAATATGGTTCGTATCCATCGCGTTTGATGAACAATGCGGAATGCAAAGTGAAAAAGCTATTTCAAACCACTTCAAAATTACCCCCGATTTTTGCACCTGGCAAAAATCCTAAAAGTGAAACTCCTGAAGAATTATTCTTTTATCATATTTTCATAATTTTTTTTCTCGATGGCAATTCGTAGGCTCTCTCCAAAGATTGTCACACTTAGGAGTTCAGTTTGAGGGAAGCAATGACGTTGGAGTCTTTTCTAAGCTGACAAACAAATACTGTCTCGTTGCCACAGGTGGCTCCGAAACCTTTTACAGTGCATTTGAGACCGAGTTGGCAGATCAAATTCCCGTGATTAAAACCTCGATCGCGGGTTGCCGTTTTGTTGGTCGTGTGACTGCTGGTACACGGTGTTCCCTGCTTGTGATGCCTAGGAAACAAGAATGGGCTCCTTGTTCCAATTTCTATTACAGACGCCGAATTAGAACATATTCGCAATTCCATTCCTGATGGAGTGGTTGTCAAGAGAGTGGATGACCGTTTGTCATCCCTCGGTAATTTGATTGCTTGCAATGATCACGTCGCGCTTCTGCATTCCGATTTAGGCCGAGTAAGCATTGCGAAGTGTAAGAATTCACACCGTAGGAAACCGAAGAAATTGTTGAGGACGTTCTCGGTGTGGAAGTGTTCCGTCATTCGATCGCTGGAAACGCGTTGATTGGCAGCTATTGCGTGATTTCAAACCAAGGAGGACTTGTGCACCCCGCCACCTCCCTCGATGAGAAGGAAGAGCTCTCCTCGCTTCTCCAGATCAGCCTCATGGCAGGCACGATCAATCGAGGATCGGATGTAATCGGAGCGGGTCTGGTCGCGAACGACTTCACAGCGTTCTGCGGACTGGACACGACATCCACGGAGATCGGAGTGGTGGAGAGTGCGTTCAAGCTGGAGAAGCAAGCCTCCACTCTGGACTCTATGAAGAACTATCTCTTTGATTCCACGTTCTAGTCCTCTGATTCGTCTGTTTGGTTCACACAAACACTCTTTTGAGCACGATGTGTTGTTCTTATAACTTCTCGAGCTTCTTCTTCGCCTCCTCTTTGATTCGCGCCTTCTCTTCGGCGATCATTCGATCCAATTCCTTATTGAAATTGTCCAGATACTCCATCTCCTTTCGCTCTGCGTTCGACTGCCGTTCTCGCTCCTCTAGCGGAAGCTCTTCGTCTCCCTTGTTCAGCACGCGCTTCACTTCGGGAATGTAGTGCATCAACATCTTCTCCACGCCCTGTTTCAGCGTGATCGAGCTGCTGGGACAGTCTTCACACGCGCCGATCATTCGAACAACCACTTCGCCGGTTTCAGGGAGCCAGGAATCGAAGAGAATATCGCCTCCATCTTGAACGACTCGGGGACGAATGCGAGTGAAGTGAAGGAAACGTTAAAATGAATAGAAGAATCATGAAAAAAATAAAAAAATAACCTAAAAAACTTATAAAATTAAAATAAGGATATGTTTGAAGCACTTCCTTTACGAGCTTCACGACTTCACAGTCGGATTCTTTGATTATATTTGGGTCTTCAGGGATGTCTTTTGGCTCATAAACGGTGATTACAGCTGCATCATCTTCGAAAAAGTGGTGTTAAGAAATTTCGTATGAGTTGTTTTAGGATATCTTATCCAGTTTCTCGTTGAGAACAGAGTCAATATACTCCCACGAGACAGAGGGCTGAAACTCACCTCGTTTTCAAATAGAATACTTTTTTCGCAACGGAGAAACTAGTGGAATTCATGTTCACACCTCGAATTTCTGGAAAGGACAACAAGAGCTGTGCCAGGGGAGAAACGCGTGCTTGGGATACATTCTTGATTTCCTATACATCGAGGACACGAAAAAACGTATACAAGACTCGATCCATAAGCTTCGGGGAGAATTACCATTTCCGGAAACGTTTCATAGCGTTTCACATTTGGATTGGGAGTTGTGTAAGACTTTACGCTTACAAAGCGCGCAAATACGGGACTTCTCCAATTACGAAGTTTACTTCTAATCGTCAATTTTGCAATGCTCTCTCTACGCTGGAGTTATAAAGCGACGGGATAGACGAAAAAACATGATAACAGTTGACTATTCTGAGAAACGAATCAATCCAATCCTAGCATCAAAAGAATAGTTGATAGCAAATGAAGTAATATCCAGTAGAAACATCAACCCTATTGTGATTCTCTGTTATTCCTAGTTTGGTTTACTGCTAGAATACTAATAAGTATTGCACGAGTTTAAATACAAGCCACATTTACTAAAGCATCTTTTAGAAAAACACTAATTCTTTCGTTAGGTAAACGATTTACATAAATATCGTTTTCAAATGTCCTACGTATTGAATTACGTTGCAAGTCCAGTTAGAAACTATGTTTCTTCCATACTTGTTTCAGCACTTTCAAAATACATTATTGGAATTGAAGTTAATTGTAAAGCATGGATTTGCTAGTTATTTGTAGCATTGGGAATTCTCAGCCAAGAACTAAATCTACAGAATGTGGAGCTGAATTTAACGTCAATCGAGGAGGATCTCGGCCTTCAGCTTCCGATTGTTATAAAATCAAGTTTCGCAAAGAGCTTAAAGATTGTGATTCCTTGGACGTCCCTTCTCTCATTGCCGATCGGAGTCTATATCGATAACTTAGACATTGAAATCGGAGATAAGGTATTTGTTGTTGTCTTTTTATGTGAACTAGACTTTTGCAGAAACTCCTGGCAAGAAAACGAGTCCTAGAAAACCGTATGCATGGAGTTGATATGTAACACATAGAGAAACCCCCATGGAGAAGGAAGAGGAAGAAAAAGAAAAAGAAAAAGAAGATACGACGCCGCGTGGAATGTGGGGCGATCGTTATCTAAAACGAATTATGGCAAACGTTTCTATCCGCATCGACAACCTTATTGTGCGATACACTCACGAGAACATCCACACCGTCATGACCTGCAAGGTGCTTTTGTGCTTTTTTTCTTCTGATTGGTAGTATTTCGAAGTCATGTCGAGTGGTCCCGAAGATAATTGGGAATACAACTGGCAGGAGCCTCGCGTAGAACATTGTTTAGTGTACTGATAGAATAGGGATCGAAAGGAATCATGTACAAGAGCATCAACATTGGGGATTTTGTTGTGAGTATTGACTGCATACAGCGGAAAACCCCCAAACGATCGCTCTTTTCCACGCTCGCTCCGACTCCTGATAAAGACAAAGACAAAGACAAGGAAGCGACGATCGACATGGAGAACAGTGAGCGTGAACGAATCTTTTACTATCCATTGGTGAACAACTTTTCGATGCACATTCGATGTATGTTCTCTCTATGGGAAGGTCTGATCAATTCTGCGATGTCGGGATCTTCGAGTGCAAGCAGTTCCAAATCCAAATCGAAATCGAATTCCAAATCGAATTCGAATTCCGATTCGAAATCGACGAATTGGGGTTTGCCATAATGAATCATCCTTCCTTCTAGACTTGTTCGGGTTTTTATCAGAGAAAGAAGTGGACGAAATCGAGGAATATCATATGCACATTTCAAAGGAAAACGACGAAACGTCCCATTCGACGCAGTACACCGTTCACAATCTTCACACAATCTACGACATCGCCTTCTACACTAATATGGTCGACATTCACATCGATGACAACGTGACTATCAATCTCAATACTTACCAATTGAATGCTCTCATTACTCTCTTAAACCACTTTCTTGATACAGAATCACCCACGCTTGAGACTGTTTCGAGTGAAATGATCGAAATGGAGCGATCGCCGATCGAATCGCCTCCTCCTTCGGAGCTTCTCCAACCTTTAGAAGACCGTGCCGAAGCATTCAATGCAAACTCACCGATGTCTCCCAAATTTAATGTGAATAGTATTGCGTTGTATGTCGGGACGCTCCATTTCACCTATTCCATGCCTCGAAATCTTCTGCCTTCTGCTTATCAAGTCACCGCGGATAATACCATTCCCGTAATGGGAGAAGGCAAAGAGCCAAAGAAGGAGGTGTATCTCTCGACGCTCTCTGTTCCGTTTGCTTTGTTGTTTTGAACGTTGATTGTAGGAAAACGATGCATAAATCGGTGCTGGAAATGACGATTGGCGGCATGGAGTTTGTGGCCAACATGTATGACAATCAGTTTTACTCGGCAGATTGCATTTTTGTTCTGCGCGATGTATGCAATGGGAATCGAAATCACTTCTAGTTTTCGCTGAGCGTGATGGACAAGCCGTTAATCCAGTGGAATTCGCAGACTGATGTGAGAAAGCCGCACAAACCGAGCCACATCTGCATGTTTGGCGAGCGCCAGTTTCTGGAAGATGCGTCCAAACACGCGGAGTATTTGAAGGAAGAGAACGGATTCGTGGCGCGTCTGAAGAAGTACTCTTCGCTCTACCAAGACTACATGCTGTACAAGCACACGCTGCATGACGAAATCATTCCAGCGGGATGCATCGAAATTAGCTGCACGAATCTGCATATCACCAAGGATCTGAGTATGATTCCCGTGCTGTCGACGGTGATGAACAACATCATGCCCGTTCTCGTTCCTTCTGCCGTTCACCAATAGATTCTTCTCTCTTCCAAGAAGAGTCCGAACCCAAGCGAAGAAATGAGTAAGAGTAAGGAAGAAACACAAACAGCCATCGTAGCTGCCCACAACGACTATTTCTTCCAAGCCAAGATCTCCAACTTCTCGCTCTCTTACGCCGTCGGCAGTTCATCGAGCTCCACTTCCTCTTCTCTGTTAGCTATGTCTCTGAAGTCGTTGGATTTGCTCTATTTCAACAATCTCGCATGTCCTCATTGCCCCATCGCGGCTTCAGAGCTGGTTCTCTCGCTGGATGTATCCGACTTTTCAGTCCGGAGCAGTTTGCCATTTGTGAATCGTGTTCCATAGATTATCGCTCTCTCTTCACCGTCGATTCCTTCCGAGTCCACCTGCTGAACAACCGCCAAGAGCTGTCCGGAAGCATCTTCTGCGATAAGGCAAGCGCTCGCCTGGACGCAGATGGGATTTCGGCGTGGCTTTCTGCAGGGAATGAAATCGCGCGGCTGCTGAACGTCCCGATCTCGCTGACTTTGCCTCAGGTACTCGAAGCGGTTTGCGATTCATCGTAGTCATCCGATGTGATTAATCTTCTGTTTGTCAATCTGTTTGGGCATATTTCTATCAAGAAGGTCGATTATGTGATCACGAATGAATCGATGGTGCATTCCAAGGTGGTATTCCAGTCGATTTCGATAACGAAGAACGAGCAGCCGCTCTTTTCGTATCCCGCCAAGACCAATTTTGATTCAATCTCCAATGCGTTTGAGATGATTATCGAGAATCAAGAGAGCGAAAGACGAGTCACATGCACCTCTTCTGCTATGTTTATTCACTTGCTTGGACTCATAACGTTGCTAAACGATGTGTTTTCTTGGATTCGAAGCAACAAACGACCTGATTCGAGTGTGCTTTCTCCGGTTTCTCCGATTGAAAGCAAACCCAAGGAAGAGTCGAATTCGTTTATTCTATTCAATATCGACATTCGAGAAATGCTGAAGTCGCTGACTTTGGTCAACGTGTTCATTCGTCCGGTCCAAGTCGTTCTGTCGGAAGACATTCACTTCTTCACTCCTACAATCACGATCGCGACTACGACCGATTCGGAAGACGCGCAGAAGCAGGAACTCTCTATGATCGTGAAGGACTTCTGCTTGCTTTATCGAGACCAGCCAGTGGTTCGACTCAATGATTTGATGATGATCTTGGACTTTATCAACTACACAATTCACTGCTCAAGCCAGAATCTCGCGATTTCTTTGAGTTCCGCATTCATTCATTCTCTTCTCCTCATGTCCACTCAATACGAAGCCTTCCTCTCGATGCTCTCCGCCGATGTAAAGAGCCTCGATGAGTCGCTTGAGCACACCGAAGTTGTGACTGAAGGTTCGATCTATCTGCGATCTTCGCTGGATCGCATGTCGATCGATAAAGACAATCTGCTTCGTCGCCGTTCGTCCTGCTCTCAAGGCGATTCTGCGCAAGAGCCTACAGAGGAAAGAAAGCGAATCATTTCGGTGTTCAAGTTTTCTTATGTGTTGGACACAATGCAGCTGACGCTCGTGAATGAAACGCAAACGGTGCTGAAAGGATCGCTGCAGAATTGCAGTTTCTATGTGGATGAAGAGGAGATCCAGCTGGGATGTCAGCAAGTGCGACTGACGCAGGACGCTGACGATTATGTTCTGGTCGAGAGTTTTAATCAAGCATTCAATCTGGTGTGTACTATCAGTGATTATCTGCAGTGCTCTGTGTCTCTCGGGAACTTTGGAGTGAACGTGAATCTGGATCGCGTCGGCGTCTTGCTCCACGAGCTCCCTTCATTCATTCCGGAAATGCCCAAATCATCCAGAACGCCCAAATCGCCCAAGCCAGCGACGAATGATGAACGAAAACACGTTCTTTTCCTGTTGAGCATTTCGCAATCCTCTGTGAGCTGCTTCTATTCCTCCGCGTCGTTCTATCTGCTCAAAGTGATTCAAATGCGTCTGCAATACGAGCAGCTTCCCACGCATTCTGATCAACTTTCGTTCCAATTGCAGAATTTCTTTATCGCGGACACTTCGAATCGTTTGCTCCTGACCGATTTCTCGTGCCAATTGGACGTCGAACGATTGTATTATCGGACGGGCGATATTCTTTCGGTCCAATTCTTGGTTCCCAAAGTGGATGCAGCGATTCAGATCGAAGATGTGGAGCATTTGCTTCTCCTGCTTCACCACTTCATCGAGTTGTTTTCGCATTCGCACAACGCTCCGGCGATCGAGCCAGAAAACGCGGCAGAAACCCGCAAGCCGTCCAGCGAAATGCGAGTCAAACTGCAACTGAACGATGTGCATTTGGAGCTGAGCAAACCGAACCACTGTCTTTCGACCACGCTTTCTGCGTTTTATTTCTCCTTCCAAACCGGCTCTTTAGAGAAGAGCGAACGCATGCTGGCTCTGGGATCGTTGCGCTGTGTGATGGATGAGATCGAGGTTCTTTCTTTCAAAACGCTCCCCTTCAGCGACAATGTGGAATCACTCTGCTTGTGTATCGATCGAGAGCCTCACAAGAAAGAACACAGCGAGTGGTTTTATGTGTATGTTGGCGATCTTTGCTGTGCCGTGACTCCCGATCTCATCGATTTGTGTGTTCTTTCGTTTTTCAATCTCCCTGTGGCCGCTACAACCTTTTCATCTCCCTCTACACCGGCGACCAGCTCTTCTCCTTCTCCTTCTTCCAATTCGTCCGTCTCGACTGCATCCCCGAAGCCGGTTCGATCGACTGTGAAGTACGGCGTTTCGGTCAACACGCAGTCGGTGCAGATGCGCCTGCTGGTTCCTTACCAGACTTCCTTTATCATGGCGTTTTCTTCGCTCAACGCGATTGTATCGACGGTTTCCGCGCATGTCGAGCTGCAACGCGCCTGCGTTCTTTTAGACAAGGACAACGCGCACTTCTCGACGGATATTTACCAGTCGAACCTGGCGACATTCACACCGATCGTCGATGAATGCAAAATCGTTCTTTCTGTGGACATTCCGGCGGATTTGTCGCCACGACTCATCTCGTTGGACATTCAGGACATCACGATGGCGATCGACGATCAGTTCTTCAGTCGCCTTTCTCTTGTACTCTCCGTCTATCAGCCGCTTCTGAATTGGTTGACTACTCGCAAACCGGATGTTTCGAGCCTTGAATCCGACTCTTGTGCTTCGTATTCCTTCTCAAACGACAGTTTCATCGACGAGAATGTTCTGCCGAGTCTCTTCGAGCTGAGTCAGCTGCAAATCGTTCTGCAAGATATCTGGCCAGAAGAGAAGCAATTGGTTGTGATTCCTTCGCTCTTCACGACCTCCGAATCGATCAAAGTGTTCCCCACTCTCGATTATTACCACATCATCAATGGCGGGATCCCGCAGATTCTTCCCATCGAAACGGTGCGAGAGCAGAAATACCTCCAGCAAACCGAGCCGCAGAAGTCGTTCTTCTCGTTCTGGTCGCAGCCGCGCGACCCAAACACCGAGACATCGCCTCTGTCCATTAAGATGCAGTTCCGCTTCCCGAATTTCGTCCGAATTTTCTCCATCGTCGTGAAGAATCTCACCCGCGACTCCATCGAGCAGATTCTCGGCGCTGGCTCTTCTGTCGTTTTCGGCGACTGCTTAGAATTCGATTTGCTGGCGTGGTCCGAAATCAATCGGTCCTTCCAATACATCAAATCCGTCTGCGTTTCGATCGCCGAAACCGCGGTTGCCGTCTCACTTCCCCCCTTCGATACAGGCGTTAGCAAAGAAGAAGCGTCTGCTTCGCTGCACAGCGTTCCGACCTCCGAGTTTTTCGAAATGACGCCTCCGTACAGCTACAGCAGTCGCTATCAGATCATCGTGCATCTCCGTCGCCCTGCGACCACCTCGATCACTCGGCAAGCGCTTCTCACGGGCGTAGCAAAGCTCATCGCTTCGAATGTGAGTTTCCGCTATTTCATATCCTTGCATCGATTTCAGGAGCGTTGAATCCTTCATTCCACTCAGACCCTTCTCTCGATCAGTACATTTCCTTCGCATTCACCTCGAATATGTTCGTTCTCAAGCTGAATCATTCGTGTTGTGGCGATTCGCTGCGTTCTTCCGACGCACTGCAAGTGTCCGTGTCCAAGCCAAAACTGCTCTATCGCCTGTCGAAGGACTGCCAAGAGCTCTCTCTCTACGGAAGTATCAGCATGAATTCTGTGAATCTGGAGAGTTTGCTGCTCATGCCGATTCTCCAGAAGTTTAACTGCTACTGCTCGTGCGTTTTGCGTTCTTCGAATTCTGTGTAGACTGACTCGTCTGTCGGTGAATTCGTTCTATCTTCCGAACTGCTTGCATTGCTCGCTCGCGACTTCGGCATTGGAGATTATCATCAATAACGACGCCCTGCTTCTGGCCAATCATCTTCTCGACGGATATCTCTACGCGTGGAAGCATCCCGAGCCTGCAAAGGAAGAAACATCGAATCAGTTGCTCTGCTCCAGCCGTCGGATTACTTTCGTGAACAACAGCATGGACGATCTTTTCGTCTCGCAGCTCTTTTCGGACGAAGCGGTTCTCCTCTCTCGCAACACAGCCACACCTTATTCCTACAAAATCGCCTCCGTCATCAACCAGGAAGCTCCGATTCTTCGATTCTCGCTCGCTCTGCATGAGTCTGAGTAGCTTTCAGCGTTGTGTGTTTGAGTGGAAGGAATGTCGCCACGCCTGGAGCCTGGTCGAAGGGAATCAACATTCATTCGTTCAGTCAGGACAAGGAGGAAACCATCAAGCTCTTCTTGGAGCGACGCGTGGGCGATGAGTCGACAGCTCACTACGAAGTAAGGATTCGGTTTTATCACATCGAGTGAACTGTAGACGATGTATATTTCGGTCGTCAACACATTGCTGCAAGTCACCGTGACGATTTTCTCTCCGATCCGGCTGCTCTCGATGCTCGCGACGCCTCTGGAAGTGCAGCTGCGCGACGAAAAGCGAATCAGCAACCCCGTTACTCCTGCAACAATCTCGATTCAGCACTTTTTAGACCACTTCCACGACCCTTCAGATCGCTCTGTGCGACCAATCTATTACACGCCGTTTCCCTTTTCGATGGTGAATCACTTCGATTATTATGATCGCGAGCGAGAAGAGAACCAGAACCGCGTGTTCATTCGACTGCGAAACAAAACGGCGGGCATTTGGGGAAGCTGGCTGCGTCTTCCGGACGTTTATTATGGCCAGAGTTATCGTTTGTGCCGCATTCACATCCCGATCGACAATGACAACAACTACAACTACTGCTATTTAGTGAATCGCTACTCCGAGGAATTGAAATCGAACGTGTTGGAATTGCTTCCTGCGATGATGTTCATGAATCACACTCCCGACGATCTCACATTCAAGAATTACATCAACGAGGGTCGAATTCCGCAAGGAGGAACGGAGCGAATCGACTTCAATTATGTGTTGAATAATGATATTAACAACGGATTGGTGATTCGTCCTTCGTCTCAGCCCGCAGCGCTTTCCACTGTGATCGACGTTACTGAAAACGCTCCGCTCAAGGATGCGATCTGTGTCGAAGACGTGCTTCGCTATCGAATCGTCCGCGAAACGCTTTATTCAAATCAACCGAGTCATTACCAAGTTCAAGTCGTTTCGATTTATCCCCTTCTCAGCTTCATCAATCGCTGCGACAGCGTAGAATTCGCTCGATCTCGTCTCCTTCATAGACTCTCCAGCTTAGTTTAATGACGCGGTCGCAGAGCGGCGTTCTGCACACGCAGTTCTGTCTGATGGCTGCGCATTCCTCAGGAAACCTCACGATTTCTGTCGACGGAAGCGACTTCAATGCGGTTTCGCTCACATCGCCGGCGCCTGACGATCTGGAAGAATCCACACCAAAGCGAGTGGTGGAGCGACAGAGCCATATCGCGCTGGCGTTGGGCTCTTCTGCCGATTCCGCGGCGTGGTCGAGCAGTTTGTTGGTGTCATTGGAACCGGAATCGTTCTTTACGATCGTTCGGAACGAAGTGATTTTGGTTCCGGTGTACAATGCTTCGACACGAACGAACGATTGCTTCTATCCGATTCGAGTCGATACCAAAACGATTGAAGGCGTGGATACGATCGTTTTCTCCCCGTTCGCAGTCCTCACAAACTCGCTGCGCGAAGCGATTCTGGTGAACAGTGCTGGCTTTGTGCGGTCGATCGAACCAGGAGAAACGTGTCCGTATATGACTCGCCAGATGGACAATCGAACGGATCGCTTTGTCTTTTCGATCAAGGGACTTTCGCAGGGCTCGTATTCCTGGAGCGACGAGGCGAAACTGATCGAAGACTCGACCGACTTCGTGTTGGTGACTTCGGTTTGTTCTTCTCTTTCTTGTTGTGATTGTAGCCGTTTTTGGTCCACGCTTCGATTCTGCATCCGTCGATCGACGCGGATTCATCCAGCATCGTTGTGGACTTCCATCCCTGGACACCTCCGCCCTTCATTCTCACCAATCACACCTTCATCGATCTTCGAATCGCCGGCGAAGGAAGCGAAGCTTCGATTCTTCTTCCTCATCAGCAAGTCAAATCGTTCTCCCTCCCTTCATTCATAGGCCATCGATTTTGATTGGTGCGTTTTGGCGCGCGTTGTGGAGGAACGATACGGAAAACATGTTCGGGAAGGCACGCCGGATTCGTACTGGGTGAAGGCGCAGCCCACGCCGCACGTTTCGATCAACGCCGAACGCGGCCAGTCCTATCGCGTCACGTTCTTCACGCATTACAACAGCACGGCCGAAGGTGTGTTCCAAACGGCAGCCAATCAGAACGTTGCGAAGCCGTGGACGCGGCCGTTGTGGCTGGACAAAACATCTTCGAAATGCATCAACGTGTTTTTAGATGGAGTGCAGCATCCTCTGTTCTTATACTGCTACCATCTCCATAATATTCACTTCTTGGAAGTATTCGATGCGGTTCCAACGCTTCTTTTGTCTCCACTCTTTTCACGCTCGTTGCAAATCCGCCATTTTGTGAAATCCAACTACATGAATCCTTCCTACAACGGAACCGATTCAGAACGATCCACTGATTCTTCCATCGACTCCTCGCTTTCCTATATCGACTTGTCGTTTACACAGGGAGCCACTTCAGCCTTCGATCCCTCCAGCAAGTCCTATCAAATGTTCGCCACGCAGTCGATCGCTGACACGACCGAGCTGGCCAATCAGATTCTTTATCAGCCTCCTTATATGAACGGAAACAATCTCCAAGTGCTTATCGATGTGCCTTCCGTTTCGCTGAGTTTTTACGAGATGCAAAACGGGGTGTATCGCGAGTTGGTCCATTTCGTAGCGCAGAGTCTTCAGTTCTCGCTTCAACGCGGCGTTCCCGAGCTGTTTAGTAGTCATTCTTGATCATGATGACCACTAGACGAAGTCGTCAAGTCGCTGCCTCTTTTGCAGCTGGACTCTCTCACAGCCATCACAGCGGAAATCAGCGATATTCAGATCGATTCGTTCCTATCTCCCGACAAGCCGATTCTCCAAATCCCCTACCAGCACAGCAATTCGAAAAAGCCGATCACCCTCAGCCTCGTATTCGATCAGATGCAGAACCACCGTTTGCCATCGTATTGAACGTTCTCGCTGCGCTATTGGATAGAAGCGTGCTGCTCTTCGATCTTTCGCTTCCCTACATGTGGGTCGATGTAACCGACAAGCATCTCACATCGCTTCTCTCGTCCTTCTCTTCTCTCCTCGCCCTCTCGTCTCTCTATCGTCATCGCCCTGCGATGTCTCCTCCTTCTCTCGCAGTGTCCACCCGCTCTCCCCCTCCTCCCTATCTTTTCATCGGCTATTGTCGCATCCACCCCATCTACTTCCTCCTCTCCATCGAGCTGAACACGTTCGTCTCGCTGTCCTTCCAGCGAACGCCGCTTCGTTTCCGCGTCCACCCGCTCACCCAAGCCACCGGCCGAATCGAAGACTTCCTTCGACAGATCGTCAACGGGCTGCTTCCCTCGGTGCTGCTGCAGTCGCCCTCCTTCGTGGGCGCGCTGGATCTCATCGGAAACCCCGCCAATCTCGTCATTTCGCTGTATAACAGCATCGTGAACGTGGTTCGGAACCCGCTCTCCGCCGTACCGATCCCTCATCGCTTCGATCGTAGCTCCGCAGCGGCGAAGGAATCATCGCAGCGCTCGAGCAGGCCACGTCTTCTTCGCTCTCCCTCCTGCAGACGCTCATCAGCAGCACGCTCTCGAGCGTCTCGTCGATCAGCGGCAGTCTGAGTCGCAACATTCAGCGTCTCAACGACGACGACGAATGTTTGTGCAGCGCGCTCCGTTCATTCCTAGCGTTCTCTCTCTCTTCGCTTCTCTCCTCTGGCTTCGGCGTGATCTCCTCCACCACCCAAGTCGCTTTTTTCGCCCTCTCTCACCCCCAGTCCATCGTGCGATCCACCGCCGCGTCCGAACACGTCCAGCTCGTCCGGCCTTCTCGCAGCAACCGCGCCAGCGTGTACATGCAGCTGCTCTACCAGTGGAAGCTGATCGATCCGGGCGAGAGCCTGGCGCTGCGCGTGACCTGCGCCGTGGACGTCGTGAACCTCAGCAGCAGCTGGGTGAACTACAGCGAGCTGCGGAACGTTCTGTTCCTGGCGAGCAATGTGGAAATGGCGGAGAGAAGTGACGTGTAGTGCTGCTGCTATCTGTATGTGTCGAAGCTGACGGATTCGGGCGAATCCACGTACTCCATCGCGTTCCGAATTCCGTTTTCCAACGTGCTGCCAGGCGAATCGATTGAGACCTAGGTGGAGATGGCGTTCCAGTCGCCGTCGGACCCTGATTTGGTGTTCATTCTGTACCGCGTGAATCGCAGCGTCGACATTCAAATCGAGGAATCGTCGCAGGGAGCAGGCGACAGTCGAACGATGTGGAGCCTTAAAGGGCGGATGACGGATAGTGTGGAGCGCGCGGTCGAGCAGCTGAAGGGAGAACGACCGATGGTCAAGGCGTTTTTGATGGAGCACGAGTCCGAAATCACGTCGTTGTGCGAAGCCAGTTGGTGTTTACGCATTATGGCGGTTTCCTGCAAGGAGCCGAAGAAGGGAGAGAGTCTTGTGAATGCAATTCAACGTCATTAGAGTTGTTTGTTGAACAAAGGGTGGTAGAAGTATATAAGATCTTCCTCTGCGGTCGCTTCCTTTACATCTGTTAATTGAAGATCGCCAAATCGATCGTATCTACCCATGGATCCACACCGTCGGTACTTACACGCGCAAGTGGTATGTTCCCTTATCCGTCTCAACCTTCACAAAGTAATTCAGGCCTGCAACCTATGCTAGACATAGAATGCAGATCCTACCACCTGAGACAGGCAGGCAACAGGCTTAAAAGTAGAAAAGGTCGTTTCGTACTTCTTTTCGACAAGTGGCTTCATTTTCTGAGTGATCTAATATGGATATTAACCACAATCAGATACCTCAACGACTCGATCATCCACTGCGTGAGGCATCGAACCTCCGCACATTACAGCTATTCCTCACATCTATCTACCAACCATACGCTTTCCGCTTTCCATGTGGTAAGAATTCTCGATATTACAAAAAAAGAATGAATGAAGAAAACAAGCAAAAGTCCCTAAATATACTAGCAATCGAAAAACAAGGCTGCGGACATAACATCTAAGATCTTGGAAGGCTCGATAGGGAAATCCGAGAGGCTCATCTCTCCCTGCTTTCTACGCTTGGCAATTTAATGAAAGCTCACTTGTCCTTTAATTGAAGGTAATCAATAACGAGAGTCAAAATGTCCGAGTTTATCTCGGACACATGAAATACAACGGGGTCGTCCTTTTTCTCGTTGTCAATACTTTCTACCTTGTCTAGGACTCGTGTTTGGCCCAATCACTTACTGGCGAAGAGAGTGCGAAAGAGTCCCGAATATTCTATCAGGAGCCTCTTCGATACATGGAATGAGATGTTGTCTTTCCTAGAAGGTAAAAAGACAAAACAACCATCAACGAAACAAGAATCACCGTATCTTCCATTGCAAAGCAGACCTCTTGGTCAACCCCTGAACAATGAATAATCGTGTAAACTTGTTATCTTATCGTATTCGCTTTCCAGTTTTTGCCCCTATTTTTTCCAAATCACATTATTATTATTATTATATAGATGGTGATCACGAATCCTAAGTTTTTGAACAGACTAAATAAAGAATACAACGATATAAAGACCAAACAAAATTATTTCGATGTCCAGCTGGTAGACAACAATCTTCAACACTGGCGTATCAAGTTCGTGGGACCTCATGACACTGCATACGAAGGTCTTCCTTTTGAGGTTGATATCTTGATTGGAGTTGTTCAATTCATTTTAACTGACTTTGTAGGATAAGTGGCCGTTTGAAATCCCGAAGTTCCAGTTTGTAACGCGTGTGTACCATCCAAATGTATTTAGTAGTGGAAGCATCTGTCTTAATGTGATTCAATCGAGTGCCTATTCTCCTGCCGCTACTCTTGAAACACAGATGAACAACCTTTTGCTACTCCTTCAGGAACCTAATCCTGATAGTCCTGCTAATGGTGAGGCTGCATCAGATTGGCGCAAAGGATATGAACATTTTAAAAGTGCTGTCCGAAGACACATGTGTTTGTATCTTTGTTGCAACAAACAATGCGTCTAATACAGGGAGTCAATTTCTTTTGCATAGTGTTGTTGAATAACGGGTCTTCGTAGCTTCATCGTAGCAGTCAGTTCACCATTTCCGACAGTAAACTCATTCAAAAGGATACACCAATTACGGATTACCTGTGACTGGGTTCTTACACCCTTATTATATTTCCCAAGAACCCCATTTATATATTTCTTCACTGTACTATCATGTATGGCCTGCTCCACCGTTTTCACATCCGTACCAAGTTCTTCCAAAAACGCAACAGTCTCTTTGGTTAATCGATGAGTCGATTCTCCTTCCTCATCCAGATCGCATCGTAAACAAATCAGGATAGCGAGATAATCCCTTTTGTCCCCAACAACGATGCAGCTGCTGATAATAGGCGATAGCTCCATGATACGGTTCTCGATCCCAACAGGTGAAATGCGTTCGCCTCTTGTGTTTACGATTTGCTCTTTGAGTCTCCCTGTAATCGTCAAGAATCCATCTTTATCCATGCTCCCCATATCTCCTGTATGCAAGAAGCCATCGTTATCAATTGCTTTGAAGGTTTCTTCTGGCTGCTTCAAATATCCCATCATAACATTGCGACCTCTGTACATGATTTCGCTATCTGAGTTGATTGTGACGTCCACTCCTGGGAAAGGCAGGCCAACTGTTCCCATCTTCCACAGCTGATTTACATTGGTGCACGTGGTCACAGGCGCAGTCCCTTCGCTCTGCCCCAATAGATCCATAATTGGGATGTTCAAAGAGGCAAAGAAGTGAAGAGTATCTTCGGTTAGATTCGCCGCAGAAGCGACTGCAATATGAACTCTAGTCGAATGAGTACATACTGACAACTTACGCTGACAATCCTAACTCCTCTCGTATTCGCTTGAAGAAGAATTCGTTGGCCAACCAATATCCAAACGGATGTTTGGGCTTATGCTTATACTGGGTAGAAAGAGTGGCAGCAGTGCCAACTCGACGCGCCCAATTTACAAATTTCAAGGCAAGTCCCTCCTTCTCTGCTAACTTGATTTTGACTCGCTCCATCATTTTTTCGTATACGCGAGGAACAGATACGAAAATAGTAGGCTGAACTTTCTTCAGAGTGTTGATCAACGAACCACTCAATGCATCGGGTTCAGCCATGAAAATGGTCATTGGATTGTACAAAAACACCAAACAATCCACATACTGAGCAGCGACATGATTTAAGGGGAGAAACCCAACCATTCGCTCTACTCCACACAATCCAAATACGTCTTTCACAGCCAAAGCATTGTACGTGCAATTGTCATGCGAACACATGACTCCTTTCGGATCTCCAGTAGTTCCTGACGTGTATATAATCGTGGCACAACTACCTGGGACAACACAATTAATGCGATCTTCTATGATTTTGCTAGGAACATCCATTCCCAGTTTCAAAAAGTCTTCCCAGGAATAACACAGAGCAAATCCATCATGAAATATGGGAAGAAGCTCATCTTGCCAGTAACTAACAATGATTTTCAGTTTTGGCAACTGGTCACGGATGGCTAAAATCTTCGAAAGCTGTTTACCTGACTGACATACACAAATAACAGTTTCAGAATGCGACAAAACGTATTTGCAGGAATCCTCTTTGTTCGTGGTGTAAATTCCAGCAGTAATACCACCTGCCAACCACGTTCCATGCAAACCAAAATGATATTCTGGCGAGTTGAAGCCAATAAAGGTAACAGTGTCCTTCATCTGTAATCCACACTTCACGGCTGCTTTCGCAAAGAGCAAAGCGTTATGATAGTAGTCTTTATAGGTATAGGTATCCCCTTCCTTGCTGACAATAGCAGGAATACAGTTGTATTCGGAGCAGCACCTCGTAAATTCCTACAAGTTACCCTATTTTTGTGTGGGTGGTACACGAGGGATAGTCGTAGGTTCCGGATTGAACTCCCACTTAGGGTCTCGACGTATTTCTACAGTATCGGTCTTATTACAAGCTCTGTATTTATCCGGCAACAAGTCCAACATGAGGTGTGGAGGGCTAAAATTTGTTAACAAGCCTGATTAATCATTCACACTTAATAAACCCGCGGGGATCATCATAAACATTCGTTTGAAGTATTTTAGTACTGGAGCTGAGAAATTATACAGTGTATTCCATAAATCATCATGCTTCCATATTTCTTTCACACTTCTACTTTTTCCAAATTGTTGTGGTGTAACAGGCAATTCTTTTAGTTTTGATTGTCATAAGACATTGCACTTATTCCTTTTAGTTCTATATTCAAAAGAATTGGTATGGCGTTGTTGAAGGCTGGTCACTGTCCTAGTTTGTTCCCAATACGAATGGAATCTGTACTCGACTCAAAAAAGAAAAACGTGGAAAACGAACTTGTAGATAGTGTGTTCAGCGTTTTGAGTTTCTAGCGGCGAATTATATTTGATAATGATGATGACCCGTTTGGACTATCAACAGGAAGTGTAAAAGACATGGGACGTTCTCAACTCGTGCCTCATTTGGAAGATGGCCTTCTCACTAACTCAGAAATGAAGAAGAACATATTGAAGGGGAAGGTTGTCAATCTAATTGAGAAAGATGGGACGATCGCAGTAGGGTTGTTCATAGCGGTTCATAGCAGATGAATTTAAGCACGAAATCGGCTCCGACCATTCCTGTTCAGCGAGAGAACATGCAATCGACCATGCGTCAAGTAACCGAAGGAGTAGTTCGTTTTCAAGTTATTTCATACAGAAACAAGCCGAAGCCCGTCCTCACAAGTTCTGGGAGATGAATACCCCTGAACTAACTCCCGAAGTGAAGCGTGAGTTGGAGATCATCAGCATGCGAAGCTACTGGGACTCTGCTTCCTTCTTTAAAGTACACTCAGCGTTCTGAACTAAGTCGTAGGACCGAAATCGAAAGGAGCTTCCCAAGGAATTCGAGGTTGTGGAGACGAGAGAGGATGATTCGTAGATCGGAACTGTCGTGGCCGGCGCTTTTGATGGCAAGCGAGGTACGTTGACGCGTCGTGAGAAGAAGCAGAGTCTGGCCGACGAGCTGGCTGCAGATGAGGCGTTTAAGTCAAGAAGTGATGTGGTTGTTGAAAAGGAGAAGGCGAAACGGTTGCGTCCTAAGCATAAAAAGCGTCATTAGTTGAATTTATGTTTAATCGAAAAACAAAGCCACCTCCTACGTTCGAGGATATTGACTTAGATGCTAAAAGTAAGAGTTATCGACATGAGTAAATGGGAGACTTGCTTTTCAAGGACTACTACGTTGGAACAAAAGTGTCAATGAAGATGTGGCCAATTAAGGGACTCGTACCGAGCTCTTCGTAAAAAGTATGACATGTAGTCCATTATGGCGGACAGTACGTCAGAAATGAAAGGCAGGATTTTAAATAGACTTTTTGTACAATACAAAGGGTCTCCGAATTGGAAACTTGAAAGTTTGACAATAGACTCAAAAGGCAAAATTGCATGTAACGTCGATTTAGTGAATGTATTGGAAAATACGTTATTTTCCTTCAAGTATCGGTAAGAAGTCATTTGACCATTAGAGCGGAAAAGCAGCTCCAACAAAAAGGGTTGAAGAAGCTCTCTCTAAAACTGAAGGCTTTTTCGGATGACATGGCTTTCTCGTCTCGATTGGATCCCATCACATTGTATAGTACCGCAGGAATCGTTTATCGTGTAAACAGCGGTTCGTTAGCTTCATTGTAGATGAGTCATAGCCTCGCGGGAGCCCGTATCGTATACAGAGCTGAAAAGTCGCCCTCGCTCGACTTCTGTTTACAGTTCAAGCTCCACGATATCAATTACGCAATTAAATTCTTAGAAGAGTTCCAAAATGCGCAATTCTCTCTGTGGTTCAAGCCTGTCAAGCATGTAACATTGGCATCTTCATGTTTGGTCAAAATCGGCTCGGGCCAAGTGCCCAATTTCTGCATTGGAGTGAAGTACAAGCCAACAAAAGACTGCGTTGTGCATGCGAAAGTGAACGAACAAGCAGAACTGACTGTTTGCAGCAATGTACAAGTGGATTCCAGGATACGGATCATTACATCGTTCTGTATGGATATGATCCGGTCAAGGTCAGCAAAGAATACGATTGGAGTGGGAATAGAGTGGACTTTTTGTAATTGTTTTTTTGATGATACCCAACAGTGAAGAGAGATATATTAGAGCGGAGTATGAGTATCATAGAAGACGATTCTTGTTACAAAAGAAAGGGCAAGTGCGAGCTTGGTTTCTGCTTGCGTTTGCAGTATTGATAAATCTGGGTTGCATTGTCCTAAATCGGCGCTATCATATTTTTTCATTTACATTGGTTTGTCGTAAGAATTCTTGTTTTCTCTTGACCTAGTATTTTTCTCCTCCTTTTTGTTGGAACTGTATTTTATACAGGTGTTAATAACAATATGGAAGGAGTTGAACGGAAAGGATGAGTACACACCGTATTTGACCAATTCTTCAATAAACTACGCTTCGGACGTGTCAGCACCAAGTTGGGACGATTTAAAGGAGAATTCGGCGCAATACAACCCTATAAAGGAGTTAGATGCACAACCTTCCAAACCCAAGTGGATCAATTGGAAGTCCTTGTCTATTTTATTTTTCTAAAACTTTAGTTCATCGCTCATAAAGAAGGTGAGTGATCATCTCCTGACTCCGCTCATGCAGAAATCGCTGAAGCCCACTCCGATGCGACCTGTAATGGAAGATGGTAGCACTGCTTTTTCTGACATCCGTTCTCATTTACGCCACTCCAGAAATCATCGACCAATACACGACATTGAACAAAGCCAATACCGGTACGAACTGCATCCAATTTTCACCACTCAGACAACACCTATGTGGGCGACCCTGTGTTAAAGGAGCTCGTGTATCGTCCCAGCTATCCGTAATCGAATGGCACGCCTTTCCTCATCGCTAGAACCGCGAAGTCGAAGGAGAAAGTGATCGACACGAAGTACGTGAACACCGAGAAGGCGCGCTCCGTTCGTTTTGTCCTTCCATTTCACCCTCAGATCATCGATAAGCTCTGCATCGAGACTCTTCTCGATCGCTGGTGCGACAATCTCCACCACTTCTTCTACTCCCAAATCAAATCCCAATTCGTTTCCCCCGTTTCCACCATTGACCGCTAGATCGACGCTCTCTCTCAGAACGCCGAGCTCTTCAAGTCAGAGCTCGGAATCCGCGAGGAGACCGTCCTCCATCTGGACTCTTCCTACGTCTGCAAGTACAACAACATCGAATACACCGGAAAAACGCTCTCCGACCTTCTCGACCGCCTCCGCCCCGCGGTTCTCCAAGTGGCCAATCAGAAAACCCAGCTCTTTGGCTTCGGAGGCGCCGCCTCGAAGTCGTTCGGGTGGAATGCCGCGGGGACTCCCGCGGGGACGGGCGATAACGCGGCGGAAGTGAAGCGCGAAAAGGCGGAGAAACTGCTGAAAGCGATCGATCGGCAGCTTCGCGTAGGGAAAACCGCGGGATTTCTACGTAGCTGGAAGCTCTGCTGGGGTTCCAGGGGGAACGGCTGAAGGGATTCGTGCTGCGACGGCTGATGACGCTGGGGAGGTCGCCGTATCTCTCGGAATTCGAATGGAACGAGGGGCAGAATGTGGACTTGGGGAACATTTGCGATTCGAAGGTAGGGAAGGGAAGGGTGTGGGAGGTAGATCCTCATGATGTTCTTTGTGTGGTATATGGATAACGCGCTGGCGCGAAACGGGGGAGCGATGACGCCGACCAATGAATTTTCGAGTTACCATTTCTTCTTGTCGATGAATCCGGTTGCGCCGTATCGGAGTGCGATCTACTTGAAGGAGGAATCAGCACCGCAGACACATTATAATGTGTATTTTGATAATGAAAGATGGGACATTCGTCCGGTATGGTGAACAGAGGGGATTCAAATTCAGGGAGCGGAAAATGTGTTTCAGGCTATCGTCATATTCTTGTATGCGGTGAAATCGTTTAAGAATGTGGGGGATGTGTAAAAATTGTTATTCGTAGAACCATTTCCGGTTTCACAAAGTTCCAGCAGAAGTGGAGAGTATCCTCAAATAATTTTATGTTTTCTTGTTTGTTTGTAATCATCATTTGGTAATGACGTAAAGCCGTTGCAAACGTGTTTTATCAAGGTAAGGGACGAGAGTTGCTTCCAATTTCAACTCATTTTGAACATAAAAATAAAGCCTAAATGAATTCGTTCAGCCAATCAGCTGCCACTCATCTGTGAACAAACATATACTTTATTCATTAAGGGGAATTTAGTTTTGATTCCGCTTGTTTAACTTCAGGTACCGAGTGAACATTATTGAACTGATTACGATACGAGTTGGTGACGGTAAATACGTTAACTAGGTAGGATTTCGAGTAGAGAGTCTTTGTTATCCATAATGAGTGATCAACCATCCGAAGAAATCTACTCCTATCGGTGGCCTGCGACAGGTGAACTATTTCCCGTTGATAACACTGAATCGATTTCATCTATTTCAACCAATCCATTTGAAATCAGCACTGTTGTAGAAAGTCCTGGGGATAGTTCTCAGCGAGTTTTACCGCATTTTGCCGATGCTGTGTTTGGAGAAAATCCAGCATTTCCATATCTGTCCTTAGCAAAAAACACGAAATATGCGTATCACGATGAATGCACACATCTCTGGATTGTATTACTCTTAGGTGAAAACATGTTTGACTCATCGAATGGTTCCAGTGCCTTCCTTTTCGAAGCGGGCAATGCCAGGGGTTTTTGTGACTACTATAATCGTGTAAAGAACCCAAGTACCCCTGGCATGTCGGTGAATACCCGATCCTATCTGCATTACCGCGAAGAAACTGGATCAGAAATCGACTACCCGGTCCAGAGACCGATCTACAGACGTCAGCGCATATCTCGGAGTCTGTACAACTCGTACCCCGGAGTGGCGACTTCATCCAGCCAACCATTTGTTGGTGATGATCATGAGTGTGCGTGTTTCTCGGATCGAATCGACCGCATTCCCCCCGTCTACAAGGCGCGGGAGCCCTCGGAGTTCTTCCCTGGCTCGCCTTCTCTCTCGAGCCCGAGCCTTGACTCGGTTCCTTCCTGCTCGGCGTACGGGCCTCCGCGTCGCTCGCTGCGTTCTGCGAACTCGACCTCGCGGATCCTAGCGAGAACGGCCTCAGAAATGCAGTACGAAGGGATGAGTCCAATGGATCGAATGGATCGAATGGATCGAATGGATCGAATGGATCGGATGAACTTGATGGATCGTGCGGGGTCGCCGCCTCCTTTGCTGAATCGAACGGGATCGCGGCATGGCGTGCCCATCGAGAAACGCCGATTCCTCGACTCCACCGGCTCCATCGCCTCCACCAGCTCCCTCAATTCCATCGGTCCAATGGGTCCAATGGGTCCAATGGGCCAAATGGGTCAAATGGGTCAAATGGGTCAAATGGGTCAGATAGGTCCAATGAGTCAATCAAATTCAAAGAATTCCAACTCTATGTCCCAAATGTCCCAAATGTCCCAAATGTCCCAATTGCCAGCCACGACCCCCATGGCCGGGTCGCCTCTTTCCAATTCGCTGGCTGCGCGGAGTTCCAAATCTCCGCTGCCTCGCAAAAGCTCCGCGCACCGCAGCGACACCCCACTGCCGCCCGGCGAGAACAATCCGCACGCGATCCCCGGAGGCAATCTGTGCTTCGAGTACATGAACCAGGGCAGGTAGAAGCGGCATGCAGGGATGATGATCAGATGTCACCGAATGGAGAGTGGACATATCTGCCGGTTCCGTCACCTCGTTCCGAACCATCCGGACGCGATCGCGGATCGGTATCGGAACGGGCTGCTGAGCGAGGAGGAAATCCGGAAGTTTCAATTGCGACCCTGCGACCCACTCGAAACCAATCCCTTTGCTCCCAGAGATGCCAAGATCTGCTTCGATTTTTTGAATAAGCATGTATGCAGTCGCAATCAGGAGATGAGAGTGTGTCGGTTTCGTCATTTGCTGCCGGGACATCCTGATGCGATACGTGATCGGACGAAGTCTATGATGTCATAGAAGCTTCGTAGGCCTAGTGTGTGAGTGTTTGCGTTTTGGGTTAGTATTGTGTCATTTGCTTGTTTGTTTGTCGAGTCTATATGTATTCAGTATTTGTCTTAGTTCATTTTTAATAGGGATCAATTAGTGGCTCCCTTCGACCACCTATCTCATAACAGCTCAGTATTTGTTTCATCGATCTCCATTACCTCTTTTCTGGATCCGAACACTTTTCCCATTGTGTTGTGTAAGAAATGAATAGAAGAGACGAGAGCAATTCTCTTCCGCCTTCTAAGAGAATGCACGTGGATCTTACTCACGAACCATCTTCTGAAACTATGGTTGATGATTCTGAGTATTCTTACAGTGATAATAACCGTAAGACCAGCCTTTTTCTTCACATCATAGCTTCTGAAGATCCTTTGATTCCTACGAATGATATTCATGTAGTTGACAACAGGTCTTATGTAAGAATTTATTTTCCTTTGATTTTGTAGTGTATAAGACCTGCACGTATCCTAATTTCTGTTGAAGAATTTGTACGCGTTTTGGGGTTAAGATGACCTCTAGGTAAATTGTAAATACATATCAGAGATGCTGCAGTCCCTTTGCAAGCAAGTTGGACTCCTGGTTTCCTTTGATGTATACTCAAACGAATTTACGCTCATTGATTTCCTAAATGCAAACAAGTACGACCTCGTGTTCATCCACCAAACCCTCATCTACGGCAAGCATGGTGACCACCTCATTCTAAATCTTCGCTGTCTTTTATCCTTTACTCCTGTCATCATTGTCGGACTGTCCTCTCTCCTTCTAATCCCCTCACTCTCAGCAGCAGCAACTACGCCTCCCTAATGTCGCTCTGCGACTTCACCGCGTTTCTCCGCGTTCCCTTCACCGACGCCGATCTCCTCCACTACATTCTCAAATACGTTTTCGAGGTCTACGAGGCCAAAGTCTTCCAGACCGACCTCCAGAAAATCCCAAAAAAGCGCAGGCTTCGCTTCGACGGTTTCTCTCACCGCGGTTTTTTTTGAAATGTAGTCATGCGGCTGTTGAACTCCAAATCCCACGCGCCAGCACCAGTGGTCGTGGGGATCCCCGTCCAAATCGACGGTGCGTCTGCTGGCTTGGCGTGACGCGTAGTGACTTCGGAGCACGACGAGGCGTATCTCTCGAAGAAAAACTTCACGATTCCTTCGTGTTTTCAGATTCCCCTTCTCCCCACTGCGTCGGACGCCCCAAATCCCGACACGCCGAAGCCCACACCGAGTCAAGTTGCGCTAGATCCACCCACGGTGGTGCGGGTGAACGTCTCGCAGAGCGGGTTGGATCAATTGGAGAATGAGATGCCGATGCCGAATCTCATCGAGGAGTCGGGGGAGGAGAGGACCGGCAAACGGAGGGTTTCGGCGGGGATGAAGCATGTTCGAGAGAACATTGATTTGTTTGTGGAGGAGTCGACGGAATTGCTGTCGCGAATGAAGATGAACCATATCACAGCGCTCCCCCAGGTTACGCTGCCGCAGACTGTAATGAATGGAAGGAAGTGAGATGTAGTAGGGGTCAGGGTCCAGACAGTATATTTCCATTGCACCACGTGTCTAATTTTGTTTGTATGTGCGGTGTTTGTTCGGGAAAGTGGATTGCGGGGTAAAAATATGGTTGTTGCTGATGTGGATATTAACAAACGTGTAGTTTTTTCTTTTGTTTTGAACACGTTCACAGCAAGGAGTGAATATTAATGGATATGATGTTCATAATTATGTTATAGTCGTTAATAATAATAATAATAATAATAAGTAATATTTGATTCAAAAAGTCAATAACCCTCCCAAATGTGTCTCATCCTGCAGTCTCGCAGAGGAATCCACTCTTTTTTAATAAAAAATATAATGAAATCCTTTTGAGATCGATTGTAAATATGTGATTCCTTGATTACCTAGCAACATCCCACCAACTCCCCTCCAGTTTTCGACATCAATTTTCCTATCAGTACTATACAATATGAAAATCTTCACATTGCGCAATTCATAACAGTGTACCAAAAGTGTTCCCATTTTGTACAAAAACTGTGAAAGAGGTGTATTTCTTGTGGAAGCAATCCCAAGATTAACAAAAATCAGAGAATGCCGCCACTTCAGTGGAGTGAGTCATTCCCTCTGAGTCTTCCAATTCAAGCCAAAACCTAGCATGCCTCGTAAGCATCTTAGCAACTATTGGTCCAGACCCATTTCGACTCATCGTAATACCCATTCTACACAATAGTTTCCACGATTTCACAAAGCCGAATGACCCCAAAAAGTATCAAGAACTACCATGTTCCCCGCGGTGATAATACTCTTATAGATTTGCTTGAATTACCCCATATTGCTTTTGCTATATTCATATAAGCCTCGTCAAAGATGTTTAGTACATGTGCAAAGCGTGCAGTATGTGGAATAAGCCGGTTTAATACCGCTTTCTCTTCCACTGCCCCGAAGGCTTTTATCGCTCAATTTGGCACAAAAAAGAGAGTTGCTATTGATGGAAATGAGGCTGCTGCTCATGCTATCTATCAGGTCTCAGATGCTGCGATGCTTTTCCCCATTACGCCATCTTCTGGTATGGGTGAGCATTGTGATGCTTGGGCGAACAAAGGATTAAAGAATGTCTTTGGACAGAAGGTGGTGATCACTGAGATGCAGGTAAATGGTTTTTCTGGCTCAATGAAGTATAGTCCGAGGCCGGAGCCGCAGGTGCTCTCCATGGCACTCTGACGGGAGGTTTGCTTGGCACAACCTTCTCATCCTCGCAAGGTTTGATGCTGATGGTTCCTAGCATGCACAAGATCTCGGGTGAGCTGCTTCCTGGAGTTATCCACGTCTCCAGCCGTTCGGTTTCCAAGATGACAACTTGCCTGTACTGCGATTACGGCGATGTGTTCCAGACTCGCGCTGTACGTGATGGCGCTGTTTGCTGATCCCTAGACCGGATTTGCGTATCTTTCGTCGCACTCCGTTCAGGAAGCTCACGATTTGGCCTTGGTTTCTCACCTCTCCGCGTACGGCATGCGTTCGGTGTCTCACCCACAGCATCAACAGCAGCATCCCCTTCCTTCATTTCTTCGATGGTTTCCGCACCTCCCACGAAATGTCTTCGATCGAGCTGATCTCCCCGGAGGACATCAAGTCGATCTTCCCCTTCGAGAAGGCTCTGGAGCACAAGAACCGCGGCGTGAACCCTGTTCACCCGTACTCCATCGGTGTGGCCTACGGAGACGACGTGTGGATGCAGACCCTGCAGACGCACCAGCCCTACTACGACGCTGTGCCGGACAAGGTGCAGGCGGCGATGGACCAGGTGGCGAGCATCACGGGTCGTCAGTACCATCTGTTCGACTATGTGGGCGCTCCCGATGCCGAGAACGTGATGGTGCTGATGGGCGCCTCGGCGCAGACCGCGGAGGAGACGGTGGAGTATCTGAACCAGCACGGCGAGAAGGTGGGCGTGATGAAGGTGCATCTGTGGCGCCCGTTCTCGCTGAAGCACTTCGCTGCTGCGCTGCCGAAGACGGTGAAGCAGATCTGCGTGCTGGACAAGGTGCGCGAGGAGAATGCGTACGGAGAGCCGCTGTACCTGGATGTGAACTGCGCGGTGCGCGATCTGGACCGCGACATCAAGGTGATCTGCGGTGAGTTCGGCGTTGCGGGCAAGGAGTTCACGCCGAACCTGGTGAAGGCGGTGTTCGACAACATGAAGGCGGAGAAGCCCAAGACGCATTTCACTCTGGGCGTGGTGGACGACGTGTGCCACACCTCGCTGCCCATTCCCCCGCCGCTCAACACGCTCCCCGACTCCGTCACGCAGTGCATTCTGTACGGACTGGGCTCCGACGGAACGGTGGGCGCCACGCAGGAGGCCGTGAAGCTGATCGTGGAGAACACGCCGCTCTACGCGCAGGCCAACTTCGGCTTCGATGCGCACAAGTCGGGCGGTCTGACGGTGACGGACGTGCGATTCGGTCCGGAGCCGATCAAGGCGGAGTACACGGTGCAGAGCGCGGACTACGTGGGCTGCCACACGACGGCGTACGTGCACAAGTACGACATGCTGAAGCACATCAAGGAGGGCGGAACCTTCGTGCTGAACGCGCCCTGGAAGACGGTGGAGGAGCTGGACGCCAATCTGCCGCCCGCCATCAAGCACCAGATCGCGGAGAAGAAGGTGAAGCTGTACGTGATCGACGCGACGTCGGTGGCGCAGAAGGTGGGACTGCGTCAGCGCATCAACATGGTGATGCAGGCGGTGTTCTTCAAGCTGTCGAAGGTGCTGCCCGAGGACCAGGCCACCAAGCTGATCGCCGACAACATCCGCACCCGCTACGCGAAGAAGGGCGAGGAAGTGGTGAACATGAACATCACCGCCATGGAGCAGGCCGGAAAGGAGCTGGTGGAGATCGACTATCCTTCCTCCTGGATCGACTACAAGATGGAGCCGCTGCGCACGTTCGGTCCGGAAGTGCCCGACTACTTCAAGAATCTGTTCTACCCGACGACGCTGCTGGACGGCGATCGCTTCCCCGTGTCTGCGTTCACTCCGGGCGGAATCCACCCCACCGACACCTCCAAGTACGAGAAGCGAGGCTTCGCCGTGTCGGTGCCGGTGTGGAACAAGGACACCTGCACGCAGTGCAACCAGTGCTCGGTGATGTGCCCGCACGCCGTGATCCGTCCGTTCCTGATGGACGCGGAGGAGACCAAGAAGGCGCCCGCCAGCTTCGTGTCGCTCCCCGCCGTGGGCGACGAGCTGAAGGGTCTGAACTTCCGCATCCAGGCTTCGCCGCTGGACTGCACGGGCTGCGAGGTGTGCGTGAACGTGTGCCCCACGCAGTCGCTGAATATGGAGCCTCTGGGAAGCGTGAAGGACGTGGAGGGCAAGAACTGGGACTTCGCGATGACGCTGACGAACAAGGGCGACCTGGTGGACAAGACCACGGTGAAGGGCTCGCAGTTCCAGCCTCCTCTGATCCAGTTCAACGGAGCGTGCGCTGGCTGCGGTGAGACGCAGTACGTGAAGATGCTGACGCAGCTGTTCGGCAGCAAGATGATCCTGGCCGACGCGATGGGCTGCTCGATGGTGTGGAGCGGAACGTCGGGTCTGATTCCCTTCACGGTGGACAAGAACGGCTACGGCCCGGTGTGGTGCTCGTCGCTGTTCGAGGACCACGCGGAGTACGGCTTCGGCGTGAACAAGGCCAACCAGATCAAGCGCGCGCGCCTGGAGAGCAACATCCAGGCGGCGCTGGCGGATGGCGGCGTGTCCGCGGAGCTGAAGGGCTGCATGAAGAAGTGGCTGTCCAACAAGAACGACAAGGCCGTCTGCGACGAGCTGTTCGAGCAGATGAAGCCGCTGCTGGCCGCCGAGCAGAGCAAGCCCGCGGTGAAGGCGGTGGCGGACTACCAGGACATGCTGCCGGTGATCACGACGTGGCTGTACGGAGGCGACGGCTGGGCGTACGATATCGGCTTTGTGGGTCTGGACCACGTGCTGGCTTCGGGCGAGAACGTGAAGATTATGATTCTGGACACGGAGATGTACGCCAACACGGGAGGCCAGCAGTCGAAGTCCACGCAGATGTCCGCTGTGGCGAAGTTCGCCGCGGGCGGCAAGCGTCTGATGAAGAAGGACATGGGCAAGGTGGCGATGAACTACAAGAACGTGTACGTGGCGTCGATCGCCATCGGTGCGGACGCGCGCCAGGCCATCAAGGCGCTGACGGAAGCGAACAGCTACAACGGACCTGCGCTGATCATCGCGTACTCGCCCTGCCAGCAGCACGGAATGCCCTCGCAGCTGGGAATGAGCCACCAGGCGGACGAGCAGCGCAAGGCGGTGGAGTGCGGCTACTGGCCGCTGTACCGCTACGATCCGCGCCGCGCGGAGAAGGGCGAGAACCCGTTCCAGCTGGATTTCAAGAAGCTGAAGGGCAAGGTGGATGACTTCCTGGAGGGAGAGAATCGGTTCAGCATTCTGACGAGACAGAACCCGGAGGCAGCCAAGGAGCTGCACAAACAGCTGCAGGAGGAGGTCGAGAAGAGACACGCGGAGCGCGTGCGCATGGCGATGTCGGACAAGCAGTTGTGGAAGGAGCTGAACAAGGTGTACGGAAAGAAGAAGTAATAATGTAATAATGTTGACAACTGGGTGTTTGTTGATGAAGCGTGTGCAGTGCGAAGGGGACATGTGGAAAACATGAGTAGGATGAGCAGAGAGAGAGAATAGATTATTGGAAGGGCGAATCCATGGTATTGATTACAGAATGATTTGATTTTGGGAGAAGAAAACGATTTTCATCCACTAAGCAATTTTGCAAACATTTGAGTAGGAATTGGGTAGAGAGCTGACAGGAGTCGGGTTGGTGTAGTGGCTATCACGTTCGCTTCACACGCGAGAGGTCGCGAGTTCGAACCTCGCATCCGATATTTTTTCTTGAATGAAGTTGAAGGCTAATATGGAAAGGAAAGTAATCGATGGCTAACAACACGCTCAAGATCTTTTGCAAATCAGTAATTTATTCGTTTTTTATACATGCAAGCACAAGAAGCTTGCCAGATAGTAGTGGTGAATGCGGATAAGGTGTCAACAGATTGATCAAGTTGTGATGAATAAACAGGAACAGACAACTGATATCAAGTACTCTAAGAACAATCAATTGTGAAAGTAATCCCAATCATAAGCACCCAAGGAATAAGGAAATAGAATGATTTTGGTATAAGGTGCAAAGGAACGATTTGAGAACTATGTTCCACACTACAAAGAGTCTCATTATCATCGACTTAGTGTTAATCAACTTGATTGCTTATGAAATAGACAATGAATGTTGTATGTTGTTGTGAAATGGAAATATGGGATACTCTAACACTCATATCACTGGCGTATGATCTATTAACGATAAATCTAAACAATGAAACGCTTATATTTGCATTAAAATGGTAATAACAGTGGAAAGAGTGTTGAAGAGACCCTTGAGTAATATTAAGAACGAAAATGTAATGAGAATGTGTTATATGTTTACGATTTGTTCTGATATCATGACCTAATAGAAATCAATGAATATTTGTATTAGAACTGCCGGAGAAACATTGATCAAATTCTACACAGATAATAGTGAAAGTATAAAACAAAAACAAATATCCAATCTTGGGGATACAAAGAATTTTATTCCTGATTATAATCCAGCACCTGGAATGGAATTAATATAGTCTTCTAGAGCTTTTGGAATTTCTACTTTAATTACTCATCCATAAAAATTACTATAAATTGATTTCGTTGTTACTTTTCTGAAAGAATTGTCCAATCTAAATTCAAAGTTTTCAGCAATTACATCATTTGCGATATCTAAAATGAAAATAGATTCCATTAAAATACTCTTCAGAATAATTGAACGAGGATTATAGAAACTAGATCCCGAACTTATTATGGATTGCAGATTAGGAATATCTACATCAAAACAACGTTTTAACAATACTTTGTATGTCCAATATACAAGTATCATTATCTTTTCCATAGAATGCTTCTTCACCCAACTGGATAAATGATAGCGATTCAAAATCTATATATATTACTACCTTTCTTTTCTATACTCTTGATACTGATACTAGCAACCTCTCTAAATGCTCCACGACCGATAGTCAATGTATTCAAATTTGGAAAACCTAAAAATCATTATATATAATAGTTTCATTAATACTCGAAATAGAGAAACTTGGAACATTCATGAAATTGTTAGATTCATTTTCAATCGAACCAATTATGAGACTCTGTAATGAAGGAAGTTTCATTAGAGTGAAACTATTTGCATATTTAGAGAAACTATATTCACCAATTTCGATTGATACCAATTTGGAATTGTTATACATTTGGAATACTTTAGTAATCACATCAGGACTATCTTCATTATAGAATGATCGATGACCAATTTTCATTGAAATCAATTCGGGGAAATGATTTAAGCGTACTTCACTTGTGACATCATTGAAACAATCATTTCCAATATCGATTGTTTCGATTGAAGATAATGAACTCATAGAGAATGAAGTGACTTTCTGGAATGATCCGTCCACAATTGTCAATGAAGTCAAATTTGGAAGATCTAAATATTAGTATTATGTATAACATAATAATATAATACTCAATAGAGAGAATGTTGTAGCTTCACTAAATGATCCACGACCAATTATCATGGTTGATAAACTAGGAAGATCTAAATATTAGTAATATGTCATTTAGATAATAATACGCGAAATAGAGAAACTAGGAACATTCATGAAATTGTTAGATTCATTTTCAATAGAACCAATTATAAGACTCTGTAATGAAGGAAGTTTCATTAGAGTGAAACCATTTGCATATTTAGAGAAACTATATTCACCAATTTCGATTGATAACAATTTAGGATTGTTGTAAGCTACAAAACTCTTATGAATTGCCTCATTGTTTGTTTCATCATAGAATGAACTATTACCGATTCTCAATGAAATCAATTCGGGGAAATGATTTAAGCGTACATCACTTGTGACATCACTGAAACAATCATTTCCAATATCAATTGTTTCGATTGAAGATAATGAACTCATAGAGAATGAAGTGACTTTCTGGAATGCTTCATCTCCAATCATTAATGAAACTAAACTATTGAGAGCTATTGATTAAGTCACAATATGTGATAAATAGTACTTGTAGCAGTAAATGATGCAGTAGCTTCACTGAAGGATCCACGACCAATTATCATGGTTGATAAACTAGGAAGATCTAAATATTAGTAATATGTCATTTAGATAATAATACGCGAAATAGAGAAACTTGGAACATTCATGAAATTGTTAGATTCATTTTCAATCGAACCAATTATGAGACTCTGTAATGAAGGAAGTGATGATACTGCGAAGCCACTTCCAAATTTGGAGAAACTATATTCACCAATTTCGATCGATAACAATTTAGAATTGTTGTATATTTGGAATACTTTAGCAATCACATCAGGATTATCTTCATTATAGAATGAACTATTACCGATTCTCAATGAAATCAATTCGGGGAAATGATTTAAGCGTAAATCGTTTGCGATTTATTTGAAACAATCATTTCCAATATCAATTGTTTCGATCAAATTCAATGAACTCATAGAAATTGAAGTGGCATTCTTGAATGATTCATCTCCAATCGTCAATGTTGTCAAACTCGGGAAATCTATCCATTAGAATTCACTCATGCATATTCCTACTAGTAATAGATAGTTTTGGAACATTTTCAAAGTTTCTGGATCCAATTTGGAGAAGTCGTAATGCAGGAAGATTGGATATTGTGAACTCGGTAAAATCGGTGAACATTTGATCTCCAATCTGTATGTGTGTTAACTTCGGACTATTCGTAACGCGGAATCTCTTGGGAGTATCTCCCAGTCTTCTTCCAGTTCCTTCTGAAATATAACTCATTATTGTATCGCCAAAGATCAGATATTCCAAGTTCTCAGCTCCATCAATCATAAAGGCATTCATATCAGGGAAATTGTTTTTCTCAATCCAAAGCATAACCACCTTATCCGTCTTTTGGATCGAGAAAGTTTTACCCGGAACATTGCAACTGTCTTCTTTTAAGTGAACAATCATACTAGAAGCCAGAGCCTCTTCGAAATTATCACAATCAGTCACTTCAGCTATCTGGTCACCTTTCACTAATCCAGCCTCTGAATGGTAGTAATACTCTTTGGGAGACGAATCTGTATTTAAAGCAATATGATCTTCTCCAGCTCTATTCGTAATTAGCAGAGTGGAACCTGCACTCCAAGGACCTCCCTTCACTATAATCTTCATCAATCTTGAAGGCACTTCAACCTGTTCACTGTCACTCCCTTCTCCTGTTAGAGTCATACTGAAAATCTCATTTTTATCATCAACTGCATCCGTGAGCGTCACCGTTCCCGAACCCGTTGGCGTTGTTTTATAACTCGCTGTCAGTTTAATGAGGACCTTATTCGGATCACTAGGAGGCTCTGGAGTGGTAGTTTCTGTATAGCTCATCGAAAAAGCATAACCAGCAATTCCAGCATAATTGGCATTCGTATCATTATCAGTCACAGGAAGCTGAAGTACAATGTTTTCACAAGGTACCACGTTGAATGTGACAATCCACTTCTCTTTATCGTATCCTTTTATCACACCATATAAAGTCGGGTTGTATGCAGCTCCAGTATAGATGTAATCTCCTGTCACATGGTTCGTTACACGAAGACGGAATAGGTCAAGAGCTAAGAGAGAGACAACAGGATTTCCCTCTACAACCAAATTCATAAGTCCACTCTTATTGGGAACATCGATTTGCGTCACTTGAAAATGGTACTTTGGCAGCACATCATTGGTACAAAGATCACTGCTATCCAAAAGATTCGCATCAGCCTCTGTCATCAAACCTGTTTCTGTAATAAACCGGTAGATATCATAGTTGGTGATATTATTTGGTTCAAGTCCAGAAGAGAAAGGTAAACAAGTTAGTAAGTGTTTAAGCGAGAACTTTATGCTTGTGCCCTGTTTTTTCGAATAAGCAGACTCAGCAGCCGTAATAACAGCTGTAGCCCAGGATGTAGCTACAGCATTTGACATCGAATAATTTTCAAATCCATTACAGAAATCGCGGGTGGTTATTTCGGCTGAAAAACTTTCTTCGTGAATATCTACTGGGTCAGCATAGGATCCATGACGTAAGTATTCGGTTCCAATGTCCATAAGCCCTTGTAAGTCTTTATCAGCAAAATCGGAAAGAACTGAAAAGTCGACTGGATAACGTCTGTATCGAGCCTTGTTCAATATTTCTAGACAGCTTTTTTCGAAAAATGGGTAATGTTTCCTAAAACTCAGAAACGGCTCATACCATTACTCTTTATATTCTTCACATCCATCTACGCATTTTGAGGGATATGCCTTCAGATAGTCTTCATATCCTTTACGACTGCAAGTATACTTCAGTTGTGTACACGAAACATTAAGCAACAGAAGAGAAATACAAATAGCAATCAAATTCAGTTGCATTGGTAGAAACGAATAAATCTATGAAACGCTGTTATTCGGAATTGTAAAAATATGTGGGAATAGGAAGTAATATCAGTTTTGGACGAGATACATAGATTTTTGTATTCTATATTATGTGCAATTGAATAATTGACAATCCAAATGAAAAATGAATGTTGGTGTTGATACTCTCGACAATTAGCGTGATATTTCAATTTTATGTAATTATCGTCAACTAAAATAAAGTATTTCGTATTATTAATGATGTATACCGACATTTGAACAACAGTACTAATTCTGAAAAGAAACTGTGAAATTGAATTGAATACTGATAATGATTCAATATTACATATATCAAGCATAATAGGTGGGACAAGTAACCTACTAAGCAGATGTTGGATAATAAGGCGGAATCGAGCTATGGAAGGCTTAGGTAATCCGATTCTGAAGAATAAAGGAGTTACATAGACAAGAATAAGTGCGACTTCAAAACAAGAATTCTGTAATATAGGCTACGTGTATATTAATAATCTGCATTAATCTATAATGAATTCTGCGATGTTGGTGAATTCAACAACCAGTGTTATATTAGCTAAAAACTGATAATGTCATTATTGAATAAGACAAGGTAAATTGAAATTACAATTGCTGAGTCAAATAGAATCAAGAGAACGAATTACGATACATGTGGATTATTCTAACATTTTTATTTTCAAATTATATATTGATGAATACACAAGCTAATAAAAGAAATGTATATCCACTACTCTTGCTGACTACATGCTAGATTTGATTAAACACGATTAATAACTTATCAGCTATATATTTTTAGGTTTTCTTGTATATCTATGGTCTTTCAGAGTTTATCGTATCTAGATATTTGACTTGTCCAGCAGTTATGTGTCATTCATAGTAGTTCAAGCGTGCCTGTTCGTTTTGCAAAGAATAAATAGTCTAAACTAGTGCTAGAAATGATAGTGTTAATGATTGAAGAATTAATACGAACGTACATGATTAATTATGTTTAGAAAATGTGTTTTGAAGGTTGTGTACAAGTATTATTTATGAGGTGATACCGAATTCTACTTCAATAAGTTGTTTGCCATCGAATCTGTGATGGTTTTATTCTATATAGTGTACCAAATAGGACTCACTGAACTAAAATAAGGATCACTTAATATAAAACCAATTGTATTGACTATTTTATTGTGATATAGTTTAGGTTACACCGCATAGCTAGATTGTCATTAATATATATACAATAGTACAGAGATCCATTTTGCGAGCGGTATAGTACACAAAAGACTAACATAAATAGTGCCCTCTTTTGATCCAACAAGGGTCCACCATTCACCACTTGAAATAGTCATGCTTTAATTATAGTTATTAGTATTATACATTTATATGAAAGTCATTTTATAGCAGAACAAGAAATGGTTCATTGGCTATTGTGTAACATGGATATTGTAAAAGAGCCACACAATGCATTCATTCTCAACCAGGAGCTCATTTGCTGCAGTTTCTTCAATAATGTATTTCCCATTCCTGTAATAGAATCTACAGTAGGTATGTCACTTTGATTTGTGAAGTGTTTACTTAGTTGATCACATACATGGCAGTAAGTAATATGGATAAAAGCATACCTTTCTAATTCAAAAAATTAGTGCTTATAAATGCACATTCAAACAAGCAAAATAGTCGTAAGAGTAATGGTAATTATGCAGATGAACACAGGAGCAAGTCATTGGTATAAGGAACTAATGACCTCCATTTCCTAGGTTATGTCATTCATAAGTATACTATTTCTAGTTGATTCATTTTTATGCTATTATACTTTTTAACGGTGAATGATATGGAAGCAATAATCACTTGGATCTTATGTTGTTGTCCTTAGATTTGGTCATAAATGAATTTCATGAAAGAAAAATGATGTGTATAAGAACAAACTGTATATTACGATTCATTAACACACATGGTTTTGACGATTATTCTACTGCAGCAGAATTGATTCTATTGTATCAAAATAAAGTTGAAAGGATAGGAGAAATATCTATAAATCATGTATTGTGGGTAAACGGTACGCTTGAAAGATTTGAATTCAACATTTTGGAATGAATTAGGAAGATTAACATGGCCGGCATATGGAATATCTAAATAATATAATTACTCATGTATAGAACTACTTTCCAATATCACTGAATAGGGATAATGGAAACTATAGCCCTTGGAATTAATGGATATAAGATTTGGAAGATCTGCATTGAGTTATTTACAATCATAATATTCATACTTCGTAGTATCAAGGAACATTGCTTATCATCAACAGATCCATTCAGCGCCAGTTTTCCCAGTTTTAATGATTCTAGAGACAATAGATCTACATTTTCACTTTAAACACATTCATTCAGTACTTTCGATTATTGTAATGGATGAGCCATAAAATGAGTAATTACCTAATCTAATGGATTGTAGATTTGGAAGATCTAATGATGATATCTTGAATATCATTTGTGATACCTCGAACCACAAATGAACTATAATAGAAATTACGAGAATTACATCCAAATGTCCCTATTTGAATGGATTGTAATTGTGGTAGATTCTTCAATTCAAAGTCTCCAGCAAAATCACTGAAACTGAATTCACCAATTTGAATGGATTGCAATGATTCACAATTCAATATGTGGAATGATTTTGACTGATTATAGGCAACAGCGCTATTCCATTTTCCTTTCAATATGTGCGAAAAGGAGCTTGTACCAATCATCAAAGATTTCAATCGATTTAATCCATCGATATGAAATGTTTGCACTGATTCAAAACAGCAATTTTCAATCCTTATTGATTTTAGCTTCACATACTCATTGAAGTCTATTGTAACCAAATCGTTACAGCAATTGGAGCTAATTACCAAATCTTCGATATCCTTTGTAATTCTACTTATGCCATTCATGTGTTGAGTAATAATTAGGTGGTTTCCCATTCCATTGTGTTCTTTATTATTAATCAATACACTTCGAATACTTTCACTCATTCCTTTTGTATACCAACCTTCATACAAGTCGATTCCTCCTTCCTTCTCTTTGCCATGTTCCCATTCACTTTCACGAATTGCTGTTCCATTAGCTTCATCAATCAAATAGCCCAGTCCATTTCGCACATATTTACCATTTTCTATGCTATATCCTCCAACATAGATTGGAATTCGATTCAGCAACTCCGCATTTCCATTCTCATCATTGTTTTTAGCATATTCGATCATTTGTTTATTATCAGCATCAAATTCACGAATGATTCGAATCAATTTGTCTTTCGACCAATATCCTTCTATCTTCTCTTTACCATCATTTTCCATATCATATTCGATTCCATAACCATCTCGATTCATTTCTTCATCAAATCCACCTCGATAGATCACCATATCATTATCATTTTCTTTACCATTTCCACACTTGCATCGAACTACCATAATCAATCCTTCTTTACTATTTTCGATCATTTTTCGATAGCCATCATTTTTAAGAATCGAGTCCCAGTTCTCTTTTTGTAATGCTTTACCATGCTTATACTCCGTCATTTCGCCGATTCGTTTACCATTTTTCATTGTCCATGCAAGACTCAAGATTCCACGATTGAATAATTGGCATCGACCTTCAACTTTACCATCTTTCATTTCACTCAACAAATACTCATTGGAATGATCTCCTTGATATCGAGTGACTTCATACTCTACTTTATTAATGGAAATTCTTTTCTTTTCTCTGGTTATGTAGTCGTTAAGTAAATATCTCCTTTCTCTGGTTTGCTTTGACAAATCTATATTATAATAATATAATTTTTATACGTATACATTCAAAAGAATTTACCATTCTACAAAATAATACTTTTCCTCTTTGCTTCAGTCTATTTCTGTTTTCACTTTTGTCTGCTCAATATTAATCGATAGGTAAATGCAAGCATAATATTGATGTAATTGGGTTTGATTCCGTTACACATACACAAGACTCACATATTCAGGAGAAATGCTAAAAGCGTATTTTCATAATCTCGTTGTTTGAGGTAGTGTAATAATTGAGTGATTCATTGTCTAAATGATCTCTGTAGCATAAATCTACACAAAAATATATTATTCTACATCTCTACAAACACAGATAATATAAACACACTATATTTATTTTTCCTATATGGATAGATATATGAATAGCACTCAACTATCAAGAAAATGGGATAAAACAGAATGCAAATTACCTAGAATAGCTATTTAACATTAAGATTATTCTTATCCACACCTGGTAATGATAAATTCAAAGTTAGAGTCAAAGTCATGGCACTATTAAAGGAATTTCACTTACAAAGCATTTTTGTGACACTGCAGATTATCAAGTCCTCAATTTCATCATAATGTATCCAAAAGTAATTGGAATCCAATATCTCTTCTAACAACATATCAAAGCACTAAGCAAGCTGATATACATCCACTCCTCAAATTAGTAAAAAAACTAACTACTGTTAAACTATTCCCCCCACTTCCCTTGATTCCACAATATCCTTGTGGTTATGCCCCCATGTAGTGTTAACTCTGAATTTCTGTATTTTTGCTTTCATCGCTGCTCCTAATTTCCAGATAAGAATGGCTGTATAGTAATCATTATCATATTATAATCATAAATCACTATACATGTGCAATAAACGACCACGATAACCGCGGAATACGTCTCGTTCCATTCCTTTCGCCTTCCGTCCACATAGGATTGTTCAACCAGCTACTTTTCGCTATACACAAATGGTGAGATACAGGTAGGGATCGTATTTGTATTTTGCTGTCTTATTGGAGTTGTTTTCGTTTTTGTGCTAAATGGGATGCAAATTGCCACTTTTTGAATTTCATTTTATCAGAAAACTAACCTATTCTATAGTATGACTCCTGCTGATACCAAGAAGAGTATTCCCCTATAATTCCTGTTTCTTATGTGTAGGCTGCAAGGCCCGCGGTTCTTACTTGACTGTGCACTTCAAGAACGCTCACGAGGTGGGTGCTGCCATCAAGGACATGTCTCTGCTCAAGGCCGAGAAGTACCTTAACGACGTGATTGCCCACAAGCAGGCTGTCGCCTTCACCCGCTTCAACGGCGGTGTTGGTCGTCACGCCCAGGCTCACTCCATCAAGGCTCCTGGAGATCAGTGCAGATGGCCCAAGGCTGCCTGCAAGTTCTTCCTGGTGCTTCTGAACAACCTGAAGGCCAACGGTGAGGCGAAGGGTCTGAACGTGGAGAACCTTCGTATCAGCCATGTGCAGGTGAACCAGGCTCCCGTGATGCGTCGTCGCACCTACCGCGCTCACGGACGTGTGTGCCGTAGGCAGTTGGTTTTTGTTGGTAATGTGCAGCCTATCTCCGCCACCCTGCTCACATTGAGATGATGTGCACCGAGGAGGATTCTGCGGTGAAGAAGGCTACTTCGGTAAGTATGGAGGCGTAGTGTCATGGTGTAGAAGCCCACGCACAAGCGTCTCACTCGCAGACAGCTGGCGTACAGAAAGCTCGTTCACCAGAAGCTTGCTGAGAAGAAGAAGGAGGAGAAGGCTTAGGGAGTTCTGTGAACCGCAGGTTGGTTGAAGCTGTTTGTTCGAAACTCGTTGTAGTAGTAATATAATTGGTTATGAAGAATGGATGATGTGAATAAGCTGATTCTATTCTTGGTTATCTTTTTGTTTCAGTATTATATGCTGAGAAATGTGGATATTAACTTCCATGATCCAGACTTTGCAGTTAGTCATCTTTTTGGCTATAACGATGTATTTTACATCGGTGCAAAGGGTTTCATGTCTCAAAAGGAGATCGGAAGCAGGATTGTTGATAAGTCGCGCGATTCTCTTACGGTGATCAAGGATACTTTCAATAATCAAAAAACTAGATCTTCATCATATTCTAGTAGTTTCGTGCTCAGTCTATTATGTGTAGTAAGAAAGTATCTAAAAACAGACTCGTTACCTCGACGATACCCTTCTAACTACCAAAGTGATCCTAACTATCTTGAAAACATATTGGTAAGGTCTAATTACTCTCTCTCTGGATTTGCTACTTTAGAAACAAATCGTATAGTGCTGTGAACGTTTTCTATGTGTAGAATATGATTATAAGGATATCGAATATCCAATACCGTTTAACATCCTGTTTAATAATGCCTCTACCCACTATGTGAATTTTGGTGTTCGAGATGATCGTTTTCCTTCCTTTGTTCAGTTTGGTGCTGTAAATGGTTCCGCTTTTCCAAAAACCGATTTTATCTTTGCAACAGCTTGCTCGACGAACCACGTGTATTCAGTAGTCAACGAGCTGTACTCTCTTCTGCTCGCCGAGAAGGATGCGTCGATTGTTCTCATCGACATCGGCATCTCTGATTCCTTCCTGAACTACCTCATTTCCGAGCTCGTAGAGTTCAACAAACTCCGCGAGAGGCTTCATGCGGAAGGACTGTTCTACTACCGCAAGTTCAATTTCCAGAGTTTTCCTCATTGGTGGAACATCGAAGATCGCTTGGTTCGAGGCGGCTACTCCTGGAAGATCGCAGCTATTTACGATGTTCTCATCGAGTCACAGAGAGTTTTGGTGTGGACAGACGCCGGGAATCTGCTTCCTCCCGACATCAACAAAGATCTGAACCGAACGTTTACATATGGCGCGTATACGCCTTATTCGGGAGATAACATAAACAAATGGGTCCATCCGTTGTCTAGACGCTTTATGGCGCGGCACAAGATGGTTCGCAAGATTATGCCGGGACGTGGAATGTGTGATGGTGCCTATATGCTCATCGACTATAATAACGCCACGGTGATGAGCGACGTTATCATACCGTACGTTCAGTGTGCCTATACTCGAAAGTGTATTACTCCTTATGGAGCGACGAGAAAGAATCATAGGCAGGACCAGGCGATCATAACGGTACTGATGCACAGTGCAATGATAAAAGAATCGTGCCATGCCGCTTACAATTCGCAAGTTCTCACGCACAATGATTGCAAGCAGCTTGATAAGTGTGACTTAGTGAAGCAACGGGTTTTGAATCTCATTAGAATGGTGTACTTTTAATTTGTTTGTTGACACATCGTACCAAATGATATCAAAAATATCGGTTATTCCGAATTCTGCCGTGAGTCTTTGTTTGCCATTATAATCTCGCTATCGATTCATGGGTGCTTACAAGTATCTTGAGGAGCTCTGGAGAAAGAAGCAGAGCGATGCCATGCGTTACGTCCTTCGTATTCGTTCTTGGGAGTATCGTCAGCTTCCTAAGGTGTGCCGCGTGTCGCACTCCACTCGTCCCGACAAGGCTCGCAAGTTGGGCATGAAGGCCAAGCAGGGTTACGTTGTGTACCGTGTGGCTGTTCGCCGTGGAGGACGCAAGCGACCTAATCCTAAGGGAATTGTCTACGGAAAGCCCAAGCACCAGGGTATCAACCAGCTGAAGAACACCCGCAATCTTCAGACGATTGCCGAGTGCCGTGTGGGCCGTGTGTGCTCGAACCTGCGTGTGCTGAACAGCTACTGGGTGAACCAGGACGCTACCTACAAGTACTACGAGGTGATCTTGGTGGATCCCAACCACCCTGCTATCCGCAACGACCCCTCCATCAACTGGATCGTGTCTCCTGTCCACAAGCACCGTGAGTGCCGTGGTCTGACCTCTGCTGGTCGTCATGCTCGTGGCATGAACAAGAAGGGCCACCGTGCCAACAAGCGCATTGGAGGATCCTGGAGAGCCAGCTGGAAGCGTCGCAACACGCTCTCTCTCCGCAGATACCGATAAGCTTGAGATTAGGCAGCTGCAGAATGTTTGTTCAAACAACCAAGGGAAAGATACACTATATAAGTACAGAGATTAGGAGTAGATAATGCCTGGCATGCTTCTCACGCTCACACCCCTCGGAATAAAGTCTCGATGTCACGATCAAAGGCCAGCACACCATCATTCAGGAAAAAGTCATCGTCATCTGATACGTCACTTGAGGTTTCAGCCTGATGAGTGCTAATCTGCTCAAACAAGAATGCAACTTGAACTTAGATTCCCTAGAAAAAGACGTACTTTGATCAGGATCATTCGGAGCGAAGAACACTTCCTCCACTCTGGAATCCACTTCCTCTTCCACCATCATATCCTCGTTCAAAAATATCCCCGGAGAAAAATCTATGGATCCCTCGTATGGATTGTTAGGATCTGAAACTTGACAATAGATGCAATGGTGCTTATAAATGTCCGGACTGTGGCAAATAGCATGGACTCCGATAGCTCGATAATCAACTACTAGACTATAGTCTTCATTCTGAGAAGATAGAAAAACGAGCGAACTGAAAGGTAAGAACTGAACTATCGATTACGTGTCTTGTAGGTAAAGAGACCCGTGACTGTGAACAGCACGTCGGTTAATAATACAGTCGACATTTTCTATGCATTCTCCAGGACTATCTTCTATCATAGAAGCCCCCTCTTGTCTCTGTCCTTCACGAACAAGCATAAATACGGAGATAATGTGAAAATGCCTATTTATGGAATTGCAAAAGAATGCATTATACCGCGAACAGTGATTTCATTAGTTTGAAGAGTCAGTAACAACAATGCAAAACTTTTTTTATTTGAAAAATGAAAGCAATTTTAGCACTCTCATTGATTTTGTGCGTTTCTTTAGCGTTCGCAAGGCCATCTGTTCGTACCCATACTAACTCGATTACTCTTTTTGATGTACCACCCGGTGCCGATGTTACTGACACTCCAGGAGGTGGAGGCGGCGGTGAAGGCGGCGGCGAAGGCGGCGGCGAGGGTGGTAGTGGAGGTGGTTATTGGAATGGCAATCGTTTTGATTGGTGGGGCACGAATGGTAGTTCCTACTTCCCGCAAGAAGGAGGTGGTTTTGGAGAAGATGGCAATTATGGCTGCTATTACAACTATACCCACTACAACAACACTGGCATCTGCCAAGGAGTGATGGACGTCGTTTTTCTTATTGACTCCTCCTCCAGTATTACTGATGAGAATTACCGGAAAGAAATTGATTTTGTAAAGAGTATTCTTGACTACTACTATCTCCATCCGAATTATACCCTGGTCTCAATCCTTGAGTTTTCCACGGACGTACGAGTTCTTCAGGAGTTGACGTATGATGCGTGCGATGTCCGCAAGGCGATTGATTCGGATCGGATGTCTGGTTTAACAAACATTGCGAAAGCTATTGAAGAAGCGCACCGCATTTTGAAGAACAGTCGCAGCGATATTCCGGATCAGATCGTGCTTATCACAGATGGTTTTCAGACGGTTCATAGTTCGATTAATTGCAATGATCACCCCCATGATTGTAATGCGTACGCCATCGAAAAGGCCCGAGCCGCGAAGGCTGACGATATCCAGATCTATACCATCGGAGTGGGTGCAGCATCGTATTATGAGGACGACTTGCGCCAGATTGCGTCGTCCCCTTCGGACCAATACTTCAGTTTGGTAGACGATTACAGCAGCATTCAAACCGTGCGAGAGAAGCTTCAGAACAGCACATGTCCCTTGGTGACCCAGATCCTTCCTGACTGCAGATGCAACGAAGAAATGCCGGATGAGATCATGATGATCGGTCACGGCTTCCCTCAGTCCGCATCGATCTCGCTGATGTGCCGGTTTGGAGATTTCCCTGAAACGAAAGCGAAGGTGTTGAATCAAACGCATCTGCTCTGCGATGGTCCGAAGCTGGTCGATCGCGAAGAATGGGCGTGGGTGCACACAGCGAACTTTATGTGGAACGGAGAGTCGAAAGTTCCCATTAGTCTGCTCTATAATGGAGCGTCCATCGTGCAGAGCGATGTAGAGTTCACCTATCTCTCTTGTCCTGATTATTCTTATCTGATTTGGGTGTTTTTAGGCGTTATCTTGGTGGCAGTTTTGCTCGCTGTTCTCGCTTATATCGCCTCCCACACGAAACCAGCTAAGAAAGTCATGCCTGTGAAGCAAGCTTCCAAGCCAGCCGCTCCTCCGAAACCGGAGCACGCTGGACAGATTGATCTGTCGATGATGGGAGTTTAAGGAATTGGTTTCTCCTCTTCTTTCGATGGAAGCATTATTCGATCGCTTGTTTGTATCAACACTGATTGATTGGTTGATTGATTGATTAGTTGTGTTGATTGTCTGTTTGTTTGATGAAACAAAGAGTTGAGTTCAGGTAGAGTGAAGGAGTGTAAACAATATCGCGCAGCATTGCTTGCGAGATCATCTGGCAGGTCTGGAAGAGTTCCGGGTTTCCAATTTCCTGCGCGATATCAGCGAGTCTGCGACACACCATCTCCGTCCGAAGCAGCTGATTCACGACAAACCCTTCATCCAAAGGACAGCCCTTCATTAGATCGGAGAACGTCATTCCTTTGCACCACTTCTCTGCGATCTCCATAAAGCCCACATGGATATTCTTCTCCTTGGTCATAATACTCTCTTCCGACAGTCCGCAATCCTTCTCCAACTGTCCGATTCGCTCCACAATTTCGATCATCTCGTGCTGAATCTTGATAAAGTGAGCGTTTGTGAGAGTCACGTCGTCGTTTCGCTCGTAAATGCAAACGCTCAGCACTCCGGCGAGTTCGGGAGGCGTCAAATCATGAAGAAGATTCTCGAAGAGAAGCTCGAGCAGTAAAAGCTCGTTCCCTGATCGGATCTATTTCATAAGCATCCTCTCAATCAACTGAGATACAAAGCAGCAGCAGCGTCCTTTCATGGTTACCGTGTCGTCCTCATCGATGTACTGCAAGTTTTTAAGAACAGCGATGCGTGAATGCAGCTCGGGGAGCAGACTCAGCTTCTCTTCGCCCATTTTGTTGGTTAATTTCTCCTTCTTCGACTCCAACGCGGACAGAATATAAGCGAACGCGTTCAAATCGTCTTCGGTAGCGGAAGGGAGCAGCGATCCCGGTCTACTCAATAACCCAAAACACATTGCAACCCACATGGAAGGGGGCAGCACGGGACAAATGTTCTTCAGCCCCGCAGTGTCTCGCAATACGACGTATTTCTCGTAGAGAGAACCCAGTTTCTTGGCCAGGTTCGAGAACAGAACGTTGAACGTCATGATCTGCTTGCCAGAATCGACGGATCCCGGGAGAATCGCTTCGATATTCTAGATCACAGAGCGATGGAGCGAGTACATGGAACGAAACATGCGACACGAGGAACATGATTCCGTTAAAGTTAATGCATTTCAGCGGAAGCGTGGAGGATTGCTTCAGACTGTTCATGTTGACTTGCTGCTCAGGCGGGATTTCGTACGACTACACTTAAAGCACAGCGCCAAACAAACGGGCGGAATGTAGGAGACAACGATGAACTCGTTTTCGACGGTGATCGAAAAAAGCGAGCCCACAGTGTGGAGAATATGAAGCGAGTCGTTTATGAAAAGCGAAACGTCCAGTAAAAGCAAGGCGCCTTTGCGGAACGGCGATTCTTTCATGTTCTTCCAAAGCTCCATCTGCGTCTCCCAGAACTCCGTACGCGATTTCTGCGTATGTTTGTACTGATTTGCGTACTCAATTTGATCCTGCAAGGAGAAGAGAATCGGCTTCTTCTTGAGCCGTTCAGCGACGTTTTCAATGCTTTTCAGATTCTACGATCTCAGCTTCCCTTGACTGCTTTTACCTTTTTATAGGCAGTGAATTCGGTCTTGGACCGATGCACAGCCTCCGAAAAAGAGTGCGAGATCATTCCTTCTAACGACAAGTCCTGAACGCGCATAATGCTCATAATCATCGAGTAGGAGATTCGGAATTGCGACGTGATCAAATCGCGTGTTCCCGAGACAATACCCATCACTACGTTCGTGGAAGGCAGATTGCTCACATGGATATACACGCGTCCAAGAAGGTCTTTTCCGCGTCGACCCGCTCGTCCTGACATTTGGGTGAATCTGCTCGTCAGCCTACAATTCCGTTTGCTTCCTACTCCGAAGAAAGGAAATAGCGAGAAGTGATGCCGTCGTTCTTCGCCAGTCCGCTGAAACACACCGATTTGGCGGGCATATTCACGCCGATCGCGAAGGTTTCCGTGGCGAACAGCACTTTGATGTACCCAGTCGAGAAGAGCATTTCGACCACTTCCTTCAGAAGCGGCAGCAGTCCTGCGTGGTGAACGCCGATGCCTTGACAGAGGAGAGGCAGCAGCGTTTGGACCTGCGCGAGACTGCGGTCTTCTGCGCGCAGATCTTGAATGCAGCGCTGGTAGAAGCTTCGGACGTATTGTGCTTCGTCTGGAGGCAGCAGATTCACTTTTTCCTTGGCGAGTTTCTGTGCGTTTTGAGAGCAGGAAGCGCGGCTCATGGTGAACATAATGCACTACATGGCGAAATGGGAGGCAGGAGTACGGGCATGTCGTTGTTCTTCTTGAGAATCTTGATTACATCGCGGAGATCGGATTGAGAGGGGTTGAAAATCTTCGCAGGAAGGGAAGGCGCGTCGTCCTTCGATGTTTCTTGGGGACGGAAGCCGTGAAGCGATCGGATTCGATCGGGATAAAACTTGTTTTTCACGTCTTTGATCTATTCGATGAATGGGCTGCAGAGAAGCTACGCAAGTCACTTTGCCTTGGTAAATCAAGTCGAATTCTAATGGAACGGGACGGAAGTCCGTCTGCATGATCCAAATCTTTTTGTGTTTGCTCCGCCCAATCCAGTCTGCGATTTGCTTCACGTTCGGAGTGGTAGCGGAAAGGAAGATCAGCCCCACGTGATCGGGAAGGAGAATGATCGATTCCTCCCACACGACGCCGCGATCTGAATTGTTAATGTAATGGGCCTCGTCGAACACGACCCATTCGATATCGCGAATGATGTCGGATCCGTTATACAGCATTTCTCGAAGAATTTCGGTGGTCATCACGAGAACCGACGCGGTCGGATTCAGCGAAACGTCGCCCGTGATGATGCCAACGTCCTCGTATTTCAACTTAAAATCGTGGTATTTCTGATTCGACAGCGCCTTCACCGGCGAGGTGTAGATACATTTCGTCATATGCGACAAGCAAAGCGAGATGGCGTAATCCGCAACCACAGTTTTACCCGCACTGGTATGTGCGCAGACATAAACGCTCTCTCCGCGCTCTAAGTGGACAATCGAGCGCTTCTGGAAGTCGTCGAGCTCGAACGGGAATTCCTGAGCGAGGTGGGGAACGAGCGTGTGGAAGTTGGACATATCTCGCGAGTCGATCTCGCTGTACATTTTGCCTTCGTTCACACTGAGCCCGACGTTTCGAATGTTCTGAACGAACGATTTCTTCTGCTCCACTCGCAGACTCATTAAATCGAATGCTTTCTTCTCCAACGCGGTGAACGACATCTCGCTCTCTTCCGTTTCCAGTTCCGAATCATCGCCCGCCTCGCTTTCGGTGTTGCCTTTGCTCTTCGTGGGAGAAACATCGCTCAACACTTCTTGTTGGGTCACTTTCGAAGTGAAAAATGCATCAAATCCGGAAAACGGTTTCGTTGAACTCGGCATTGCAAAGAATTCAGTGAATTGGTTCGAGTCCTCCGCTTTTTGGCTCGTTTCGGCCGTCACCAAATCGAAAACGCCTTCATCTGCAAACACAGGCTTCCACTTCTTTGCAAGCTCGTCGTGTTTCCACGATTCCACCGTTTCTGCGTCGATTGAACTGGCTAAAACCGATGTTGCATTCGAGCTGCCCCAGAACTCGGCTTCCTGCTTCTCGGGAGTTAGAGACATTGAATTCATTAGCGACAGTTCACCAGGCAGAATGGGCTGGTTGTGTATGTCGCCCTTTACCTACAAATCATGAATGAGGTAGTTCAGGTACACCAGCGCGGGAGAATTGGCGATAATAGGATGTTGAATTTTGAGCCGTTTCTCCAGAAAATACTCGCTCCTCAAAAGATCGACGCATCTGATTCTCACTAGGAGTGCTCCCATCTGTAGGAGTATCCATTATTTCAGAAGTAATTTGGGGGATTGGCAGAAGAGTCGACGTCAACTGCAAGTCACTGTAACCAGGAATGTTCATGTAATTCATTTCCAGCTCAAGCCGTTCATTTCCCACAATATCACATATTTTTAGGTTTGATTCGGGTACAATCTAGTCTAAATCAAATAGGAAGCACTCTACATCACTGAGTTCTGTGTCAATATCGACACCATCTTCTGGATATCCGTATGGAGTTGTAGAAATCGTTTCCAGAGCATAGAATCTGTGGAGTTGTTAGAAAACGGCAATTCCTACGTGTTTTCGCGCTTTATAAACACGGGAGTGTGATTTCTTCCAGCAAAAAGTAACTTTTCTTCGGTGTTCATGTTCTTTGACAAAACTAAAATTTACGCAACTTACGCATAGGCAAAAAATAGAAAGTCCAAATCATTTCTCTATTCACCAACTGAACGGCATGGAGAGTGTTTTGCTGTGCTCGTCTGGATTTTCGACATCAATTTGGTCAGTTGATGAGGAGTTGAAGTTGTTTCGCGAGATATCGATTGCTTCGGGTAGCTGCAGAGCTCTTGATTGGAATCAAAATAGTAAGTTTGTATCGAGAGGTTGTAATGAAAATAGATAACTATATCTTTTTGTGCTCAAGTAATGGGGATATGTTTCTCCAGAATATCAAAAAAGAAACGCTCATCAGCGCGAAAAACCAAGTATCTGAAGATGCACCAAGTACGATATTCTATGAGGGATTCTATTATAGTACCGATTGTGAGTGGAATAATCTTATCCGGGAGTCGCTATGTGATAACTGGCGATGTAGAAGGTAATATCCGAGTATTCAATTATTATTTTAATCTTCTAATATTGCAGCTGTGGCCTATTGCCAAAACCGGGTTTTCAGCTCCAGTTCTGGACGTGAACTATCCAGGTTGTCAAATCACCTGCTTTGTCGAGTACTCAACGACACTCCTGTACGCCTGCACCTCGCAAGGAAACATCATCGAAGTGAATTCCCGAAACTATCGCAGTGAGCTAATCGCCACCATCGAGAACGAAGTAGGCATAAACCCTCGATTCCATCGCAGTCCATCCTAAGCATCATAAACGAAAACGGTACTCTCTTCCTCAGCACCTCTTCTGGAAGCATCTACCGCATGCTTCCCCTCATCAAGCGCGTATTTTTTATTCTCCATTTCCATCCCCATTTAGTACACACTCGTCTATTCCTCCGAATCCTCCACGCCTCTCCATCTTTCTTTCTCCCTTTCCTCCCAACTCAACTGCGTGGTGTGCTACTCCGGCACTTCTCTCCTTCTCTTCAACCTGAAAACCAATCAGTTCTTTTTCCTTCTCTCTCTCTCATCGTAGAATCATCGGAATTCTCCAGACCCCCACCGCTATTGTCGCCGCCGACATTCTCAACGATCGCGTGGTCGCAGCCACCGCTGACCAGCGTCTTCTCCTCTGGAGCGCGCTGAATCTATCGGCTCCTGTCGCGTCCGTGTTTACGACGCAGCCGATCGCGACGCTGCGATTCAACCGAGTGCTGCGCAGCGCGTCGAGACAGACGTCGACGTTTTCGACGCCGCAGAAGCAGAGTAATGCGATGGGGGAGTCGATGGGAACGCTGCCGACTTCGTCGATTACATCCACGCCGTCGAAGATGCTGGTGGAAGAGACGGAGCGGAGAGAAGAGAAGATTCAGTCGACGATTCAATCGAGAGGAGAGACGATTTTAGAAGGTGTGGAGAGCGCGAATCTGCGGGAAATGTTGATGGAAGTGGTGCAGCCGATGATATTCGAACTTCAAACGTATGTGCACCGCGAGGTTTCGGATCTGAAGGCTGATATGATTCGACAGTTTTCGGATCAGGAGCAGATCATTCAGCAGCAACGCGATCAAATCGAGCTTTTGTTATCGCAATTTCAACAAAAAGGATAGAGAAGTGTTTGTTATTAATAAAATATTTCATCACTTGTGTCGGTGACATGTACTCCTGAGCTACTTGTCTCGCTCATTTCATTCACTTCTCTGAAATCATTCGTGTCATTCAACTCTTTCAAAGCACTAGAATCGTTTTCATAGGATAAAGAAATCTCCATTTCAGCTCCTAAATTACAACTGCGAGCCAATCCAGAGACTCGACCAGTAGATTGTCGATTAGAAAAAGTCACCGAATCCTTTTGATTTTGATGAATGATGATTTTATAAGGTTCGTCTTCTTCTGAAGAAGATCCGATTCCTATCAGCTCATCGGAACTTAAGAAATTCTCTTCGGATGTATTGTCGCTTGTCGACAGATCATTCTTATCTTCATTTGGAACTACATATTCTTTCTCAATATAACTCTCTGAAGTCTTAATCTCATATTCAAGTCTTTCCTTCTCCCAATCATTCATTCCACAATTTCCAGAATGGTCTAAATTGCTATCAGTTTGGTTCATTCGATTCTCATCATCATTGTTACAATAATCATTATCATTATTATATTTCCTACTACTACTACTACTCGTAGTAGGAACAGAAATAACATTCATTCGATTCATTTCATCGATTCCATTGATCGAATCCTTCATTTTCTTTGTATTTTCTATCTTCTCTCCTCTTCCCAATTCTTTTTTACTTTCCACCACACTCACTCTCCAGAGAGCACTGGAACTAATCGAGAGTGGCTCTTTGTACCAACCATTGATGAGCTCCGTAGCGCGAACTTGTACTCCATTCTCCCATTCTTCTTCGCATGTTGCTATTCGCGTTACAGGATCGATAGAGCATCCAAGACCATTGCGGCTAAACGTATTGCTCCCTTGATTGTACACATAGCCTCCGATATACACTGGAACTCGGGTAGCCACGTCCACATTGGCCTCGTCTTTGAACTCTGTCATTCGATTATCCCGAAAAGTTTTCAGAACCCGTTCCAATGTTCCACTCTTCCAATATCCTTCAAATAATTCCTTTCCCGTAGAGCGGTCGAACTCAACACCTCGCCCATGTCTGTGAATCAATCGGTCGTATCCCCCGCGATACACAACGACCCCCGATGTACGGTCGATGAATTCCACTTGACTGCCCGCTTTGGTATTGAGGATTCGAATCACATCTCCATCAGAAGCAAGATTCTCCCAGTTTTGGATTTGTTTTACCATCCCCAGCTCATATTGTGTGCAATTTCCATTCCTTTTACCGTTATCTTCATTCCATTCTTGGAGCAAGACGCCGTTTTCGAATAGCCTGATTGTGGAGCTACCCACCTTCCTTAGTGTGTATTGTTCTGCGTGATCGTTTTCAAAATATTGAACTTCATATTGTTCTCCGCTTATTTGAATAGTTTTCTTCGGACCCTTGATATGATCTTGTAAAGTGACTAAACTCGTCTCACTGCTTTTTCTCTCTATCCTTAATCCATTAATACCATTTTTACCCTCCATAGAGCTATATCTAAATTCATTATCTCGACGTTTCAGTTACCGAAATTCCCGCGGGAGTAGAAGGATGCGAAAATACAATCCACGATCTAGAAATCTCATAATTGGGATGCTCGCCTCTTTCCGATCGATTGCTTTAAAGTCTACTCGTCTGAATTTTGCTCGCGCCATGTCGTATTATACCCCCGCCGATGGTATTCTTTGACTTTTGTGTTCTTAAGGATAGGAGTTGTGGATCCTGAATGGCTCCAGCAGCGCTTAGGGAAAGTGCGCATTTTCGATGCTACTCTCCACCTCGATCCCAAACGTAATGCGAAAAAAGAATTTACTGAAGTATTTCCCATATTTTTGAAACTAGAAATAGAAACGAATTCCTGGAGCTCAGTTTTTCGATATCGATGCTGTTGCTGATTGCCAGCTGAAGCTTCCCCACATGCTTCCCTCGCCTACCTACTTCAAGCAGTGCGTGGAGAACATGGGAATCAACGATACCGACGAGATTGTAGTGTTCGTTCCTTTCTCTCTTTTCTCACCTCCAGCTACGACACGCACGGTCTCTTCAGCGCCACACGCGCATGGTGGATGTTCCGCCTCTTCAACAAGAACGCGAAGGTGTATGTGCTCAATGGCGGTCTTCCTCGCTGGGAGAGCGAAAAGCGCCCACTCGAAAGCGGTGAGGCTGCTCCAGTGACCACTCCCGGCCATTTCTACGTGAACCCCGACTACAGCATGGTCCGCACGCTCGATCAAGTGCTTGACCTCATCGATGAGTACAAGCAGGGAAAAATCGACTTCACGGTCATCGATGCGCGTCCCAAGGGCCGATTCGACGGTACGGTGCCGGAAGCGCGACCGGGACTGACCTCGGGGCACATGCCGGGCAGTCGGAACATTCCGTTCTCCTGCGTGGCGAACCCGGAGAAAAACTTCGAGATCCGCCCGCCCGAAGAGCTAGCGAAGCTCTTCGCGGACATCAAGGTGGATCTTCATCGCAAGGAGCCGATCGTGTTCTCGTCGCTTTGAGTGAATGGAGTGAAGGGTAGATGCGGATCGGGCACGACGGCTTGCGTGGACTACTTCGCGGCGCATCTGCTGAAGCGAAGAGAGCCTGGAAGCATGGCGGTGTACGATGGATCGTGGGCGGAGTACGGAGGCAAATCGTACACGCCGTACGAGAAGACGAAGTGAAGAGATTGAAGGTATGATTGTAGTGTGACGGTGTTTGTGAAATATGCGATGTGATGAAGTGAAATGCAATGTAAGGCATTACAATGCAATGCAGCTCCATATAAAGCCAGGTAATACCACATAATTCCATACAATACTATACAACGCCCTGCTGCAACTCGATGCAATGTACAGGTGTATGAAAACAAACAAGTACAGTGTTCCAAATCCATATGTGACCGATTACAATCGCTTATTGGCTGCCTACAACTCAAAACTCGAAGAGAAGGCTACGGGTCAAGATGTAGTGTCCACGCTTGGAAACCTCCACGATCTTTCCCTGCTTGAGGAGCTCACGAATTCCAGCACGAGCGCAGGAACCGTTGATCTTCAGACGGTCCACAATGGTATAGACAGTGATGAGCTTCATCTAGACGGTTCATATCGCTCTGCGGAACATACCTTAGGCACCTCAGCGACCAACTTATCATAGTCAGCCTGCTCGAAGTAAACCTTGTTATCGATAGTTTCTCGCACCTTTCCCTTGCTCCACTTCTAAAAATAGTAACAACGAGGCAAAAAAGCTCACCTTCTTTCCGTTGGCAGACTATAAAGAGGTTAGACTCACGCACAACACAAACGAAACAACTCAACGCATCCATTCGAGCACCACTTACCATATTGTAATCAACTGGATTATTGAAACAATCTAAATGGTAGGTGTTGAATCCACGATATTCCCATTCGCCTCCCGCTCAGTAATTTTTCTAGTAAATTCATCACGACCAGATTCCGCCGTGATCGCTCTGATTCACTCGAACAAACAATCAACAATACCAAGAATGATTAGAAATAAACAAGAGACAGCATGCTTATGCCTTTTCCGCAGTTTGAGGGTTTCCATATTTGGTCTATGTCGCAAACGCCACGCTCACCCTACTTCAAAAGCTGTGATCTTCTTTTCAAGCTCGCGACTGCGAGTATTCAACTGTCCCATCAAAACCATCATCTACGTCAAGACACATTTTAAAGCTTACATTATTCTTCTCTACCTCGAGAGCTTCCTTCACTTCACCCACATTTCGCTCAACCAGAATCGAATCTACAACACGGTAGCAACGGCGGCTTGCCTCCATTCCAGTAAGTGTTTCAATCACATCTCTACAATTAAAACGGGAATAGTAAGCCGACTTGTTTTCAGCAACGCTCAACTCCAAATCACTAATCTTTTTGAGAACAGAGGCGTATTCCGATTTGTCTCTCTGGTATTCCTCCAACTCCTACTGATGATTCCAAACAAGCGAACTCTCACCGATTTAAGCACTTGAGTCACTCCCTTGCCGCTCATTCTGTAGAAATTATTTGAAAAATTGAAATGAAGGAGAATAAGTCTATCTAGGTTTTTAGAAACTCTGCTATTTCATGCTATCTGTAGTGGATACATTCTTTAACGACAACAGAAAAATCGGAATCATCCTAATTACGACTGGATGCATCCTGCTGACCCTGGGAGTAGTCTTTCTCTTCGATCCCGCACTATTGGCGATGGGGAACATTCTCTTTATTGGGTATAGAATGGAGGGGTGAAATGTGATTTTAGAGGGATGCCCTTCGTTTTTGGTTTTATGCGGTGTCTTCGGTTCTTTAACCCGTTGGAAAATAGTTCCGTAGCCCCATTGCTGTGGATTCAACAATAGAAATGGAAAGGTGTTGTCCCATTCTTTGGAGGTGTCTTTCTGGTTCTTATGAAGTGGCCTGTTTTTGGAATGTTGCTGGAGATGTACGGAATCATTCGATTGTTTGGGTCTTACTTCCCTATGATATTTACCATGTTGCATCAAGTATGTGTTTTATTCATCGCAGTTGATTCTATTCTAGGTGCCTGGTCTCGGCAGTCTGCTCGACCGCATCCCCTTTATCAAGGATTTTGTGTCTTCAGCTGCAGCCCATGCTCCCAAGTATCCTAACGTGTAATTTGTTTATTGGTGGTTAAACACTGTTTTCACTCACAATCAAGCACTACCACTTGCAAGTCGATATCGAATTCGGTGCACTTCATTCACACATTGCGTGTACAAGGAGCAAATCGATTCTTGCGTGTTTTCCAGCGAATAAATTCTCCACAGACGGTGCTCTTTCCACAACCGGAGTTCCTTGATGATCTCGATGTTTTTCTTTGATTCGGGCCGTTCTTGGTTTGTAACGACGACGATCAGAGGAACCCAAGGAGCAATTCCGGAGAGGAGCTACAAATGAGTGTGTGTCACAAACGACACCAAATGAAGACACTTTCGCGAGTAGTGATAGTACCGCTCATTATAGAGAATGTTGGCAAGGATGTTATCTTCGCTGAATCGAAGGGATGTGTCTTGGCGCGACGCATCCACGATCCACAGAATCACATCGCGATAGCTTTCAAACAGGGGAAAAGTGGGGAAAAAGTTGGGAAAGGAACTAGGTTTGACCCCCCTCACACTTTTCTTTACAGCAAGAGATGTGTGTAGAAGCTTAGAATATAATAGTTTCGACCATTGAAAAATAATTCTTTTCGAACCAATCCTGTGTTGTTGCTGAATTGGCTGCGGATGTTTATAGAATAGTAGGAATCTTCTTGAGATTGAAGCACACGCTCTCTGCCATCGCCCACACCACTTATTACCAGGAGGTTGATCGTTCTATCCATTCCATTCATACAATCTTTCCTTACTCATTTCGGTTGCAACACCGTCGCATGTACCGTCGGTTCAATACCCTACGTCGGATTGATAATCACCGAGCGTACGCGGGAGCTCGTAGAAGATGGAGTGTGTAATATTTGTAGTTACTGATCCAGGACACTTCCTTGAACAGTTTCTGTGAAATCCCCAACTACAAAAAGCATGGTAGTAGATGCATCCCAACGTTGTGGCATTGTTCCTTCCAGAGCGCGTCGGAATTTAGACATATGATCCGTAGGTGGTGCGATAGGCAACTGATCCCAAGCAAAATCGTAAGCGGTTCACAATAACTCAGTAGTGTTAACAAAGCATCATATGGAATATCGGTTAATAGGCAAATCATGGTTTCCAATCTAAAAATAACAAAATAACCGAAAAGCGAGCACCCATCCAAACACGCCCATTTCAAATTCGTTTTCAACAAACACTCCACACTTAACAAGAACAACCCGCATTTTTCGCCTCATCGGTTCCCTTGGATTCCACATTGATCTTAATAACTACACACATCATCTCTCTCCTCCTCCACTCACATTTATTCTCGCTCTCTCCTTCCTTCTTTGGCTTTCCCTCTCCGGGCAGCGTCGTCGCGACCTTTCGGAACAACGCGGTCACATTGAAGTTGCACTTCGCGGAAGTCTCAATGAACAGAACATTCAGTTCCTTCGCGAGCGCCTCTCCTTCGTTCGTAGAGACTTGTCTGGAGTCAGAAAGATCGGTCTTGTTCCCGACAAGGACGATCACCACATCATCACCTCTCTCGACGCGGACATCACTCAGCCATTTACGAGTATTCTCGAAGGAGGTGCGATCTAGAGTGAAGAGCAGGGAGAGGCACAACTTGTAAGATCGTATACGATTACAGCTACGCTAGAGTCGCGAATATAACTGGGAATCAAACTTCGGAACCTCCTAACGATCACAAAGCAAAAATTGCGTCGTACTCCTGACCGGCAGTATCCCAGAGCTGGAGACGCACAGTACGATCATCCAAATACATAGTCTTGGACAAAAAGTCGATACCGATCGTTGCCTATATTCTCAGGCGATTTGGTTCACTATATACTTGGTACGATGAATCAAAAGTATCGTACATAAAACGTGTAATAATTGAGGTCTTTCCCACGCCCGGATCTCCCAGGAAAACCAACTTGTATCTATTCGCTAAGCGGACCAATAATGTTTCTTACTTCTCGAGAGGAGTCATACGGGGAGCTCCTCCTTCAGTTGTAGTGGAATCAGCTGCTGCACTCATTAAGTTCAAAAACTGGAAATTATAAAGAATGGTTCTCAATTCCCAGTTGGACCAGTGTACTCGGCGCAAAACCGCCCATCCCCGCGGGGACCGTTTCAAAACAAACAACCCAAATTGGGCAGATACCAAAAATCCTAACTACCAACTAAGCTACTAGATCTTTTTTCTATTCATCACACGGGTTCGTAGATCCAGAATTAAAAATCGTGTGATTCTGGGATCGCTTGTTCAAATTAATAGTACGGTTGCTCACCGACTCGTCCCTACGCCTCACTTCCTCCGTTCCGCCGCCTACAGAATCGAATCAATCTCCTTGCCGCTCCAATCCGTAAATTGGCTCCATGTGAATTTATCGGGTTGTACGCCCATCAAAGCATCATCGAACGAGCTGTTGAAGTAATCCGCGTCGCGCATGTCCCCCATCAGCCCCCCGGACCCGACGGAGCCGATGCCGCCATTCGAGAAAAACCCCGGCGCGGGCGCGAACTCCTCATTCCCAGGATCCGTGGCCAAGTAATTCTCATAGTACGCCACGTGCTGCGAGGGGAAGAACGGCCGCGCGAAGGTGGAGTGCGACCCCGCCGAGCTCATCGAGTCGAACAGTCCCGAGTCTCTCTGCGCGCCGAACAGTCCTCCGTGCGCCGCGGGCAGCGAGTCGTGCCGCGCCAGCCGCCGCGCCGCGCCGAACCCCAGCCCTTCAGGGTCTCCGGGGACGGACCCGAACTGCCCGGCCACGGCCACGCGGGGCGAGGGCCCGTCGAAGAAGGACCCGGAGAGCTCCAGCGACCAGTCGGGGTCCACGCCGCCGTACAGGTCCGCGTCGTGCTGCGTGTAGAACCGCGGCGACGGCTGCAGGCCCAGCTCGCCGCGCTGGAACACGCCGTCGCGGAAGGCCGCGGGCTGCTGGAACGGCGGCAGCCCCGCGGAGGCGAACGGCGGCAGCGCGGACTGCGTGTAGGTCGCGGGGAGCGGGTTGTTGTCCTGCTCGTCGAAGAACTCCAGACCGGCCAGCTCGCGCACCGACCCGCGCAGACCCTCCTCGGACCCGCCCGGGGCACAATTCGGGACATTGGGGATATTCGGGACATTGAGGCCGCTGGTGACCCCATTGAGGCTGTTCGGGACATTCGGGACATTGAGACCGTTCGGGACATTGGGACCATTAGGACCATTGGGACCATTGGGACCATTAGGGACATTAGGGACATTAGGGACATTAGGGACATTCGAACCATTAGGGACATTCGGGACATTCGAACCACTGGGACCACTCGAACCACTCGAACCAATCGAACCAATCGGGCCATTGGGTCCATTGGGTCCATTGGGTCCATTGGGTCCCCCGAGGCCCATGGAACCCGCGGGTTTGGGCTTCAGCGAGGCGCGGCGGTCCTTCGATCGCTTCGACCCCGCGGTCCCCGCGGGAGGCGAGGGCGCGGCGTGGAGCCCCGCGGGCTCGGCGAGCGACTCGGAGGGATCGGAGGGAGGGAGGGAAGAGGCGGCGGACGAAGAAGAGGGCTCGTCCTCCTTCGAGTAGGCTCGCTTGACGTCGTAGCTGCGGCCGGCGATGGTGTGGGGCGTCTGCTGCAGCGCGGCGGTGAGGCTGCTGGCCTCGTGGAAGGTCACAAAGCCGAGGCGGTGCGAATGGCGCTTGTCATGCCGGGTGGTGATCGTCACGCTGTCGATCTCTCCGAAACGGGAAAAGTAATTTCGAAGCTCGCCTGGAGGGGTATTTAGAACGCGGAAAGAGTACGCTCCGTCACATCGAGACTTAGGCGACCGATGAAAAGCTTGCGGACGCAGTTCTTCGGAGACTGCTCGGCTAGAGTCAGGAGAGATGAATAAAACCGTACAGGAAGACTGTGGAGGAGGGGCCATTTCTTTAGGAAGTGCCCAACGAACATCCACCTAGAACGTAGCAACTCGGCAATAGGCAGTACTTCTCGACCATCTATTATATGATTCTTTGTTTTCATGGCTAATTCCGCCGAGCACGAATTTTCGAAAATGCAAAACCCAAATCCGCGAGATACTTGGCGGTCTGTATACTTCATAACATTTGCTTGCTTGACCTCTCCAAACTGGGAAAAGTAATTCAATAACGACTCTACGCATCATCTAGTTTTGTTAAGCTACTACGGTCTGTTGTTTTGAACGAAAGACCGCCCACAAAGAGCTTGCTACGAGGTCAATGAACAATTGTTCAAAGTACTCATGATAATACTTTAATGGCTTTTCTTCCGTACTCATAGGAAACTGGATACCTTGCTAGTTGTTGCAGTACCTATGCACGGTCTTTAAATAACCTAATTTAGGGATTCGCGGTTATTTTCGTTAAGGTATTCTTTCTATTTTCGGTTTTCGAACTCATGAATATTATTGAAGCGAATATCACTCCTGCTACACTCGATTCATCAACTCCCGAAGAAATCGAAAAATCGGTCGCCCTCGAGAATTATTTGAGGTCACACGCTCCTTGAATCCATCATGGATAGGTCTCTCCGTTTATACGAATCAAAGAACGAAATTGACCATCGTGAGGAGTTGTTGAAAAGTCTTCAAAGTATTCTGCGAGAATGTGTGAAGAAAATTCTCACGGCGAAAGTACAGCTCTTCCTTGCGTGTAATTCCCAGAATTTGTACAGCAACCAGGAGCCCGAGGAACTGGCAAGTCTCTATACGTTTGGTTCATTCCGAATGATGGTTCATGAACCATGGGCCGATATTGATACGTAGGCTTGTTCATCTGTTTAAATGTAGTATGTGTGTAGGCCCCGGCTCTGTAACCCGTGAAGAATTTTTCAGTGTCGTTTCTTCCGCATTACAAGGGGAAGAAACCTGTGCTACCGATGTTAACGTGATTGACACTGCGTATGTTTGTTTCTCCGCACTCTTCCTAGATTTGTCCCCATCATCACAATGAAATACGGAGGAATCGATATCGATCTCTCCTACTCACCCATCACTCGCTACCAATTGCGTCTTCCACGCGTTTTTTTCTTCTCCATCAATCGTCATTCCATAGAACTTCGACATCCTCGATGACGAAAATCTCCGAAACGTCGACGACCAGACCGTCCGCTCCCTCAACGGCCGCCGTGTCACCGACACGATCCTCAAGCTCGTTCCCAATCGCAACGTTTCCCCTTCTTTCGCTCTTCATCTCCAGACTTTTCTCCTCGTTTTGAAAGCCTTCCGTTGGTTCGCTCAAGTATCTTTTCCCTCTCCTAACTCTCCTTCCAGAAACGTGGCATCTACAAAAACGTCACCGGATATCTCGGCGGTGTGAACTGCGCGCTCCTCTGCTGCTACGCCTCGCTGCTCTACCCCAACGCCACCGCCTCCGTCGTTCTCTACAACTGCTTTCGCATCTTCGCCGAATGGGACTGGCAGAAGCCCGTCCTCGTCAGAGACGTGCAGCTGAACCCGGAGCTCGGCCACGACAAGGACGTGTGGAACCCCAAGGAGAACGAGCGATGCCAGAACGATCTGTTCCCGATCTTGACGCCCTGCTATCCGTCGCAGAACTCCACGTATAACGTGATGGCCAGCACGCGCGATGTGATGGTCGCGGAGTTCAAGCGCGCTCGCGACGTCACGCTCTCCATCTTAAAGGGAGAAACCGTAGAAACGGGGAAACGGGGAAACGTGTAGACCTGGGCGACGTTGTTTAAGGAGTTTCCGTTTTTCACGTCGTACAAGTACTACATTCAGATCGAAGTGTCCGCGAAGACGTCGGAGGTGTTCAACAATTGGTACGGGTTTGTGGAGAGCCAGATTCGACGATACACGCGGATGATCGAGGGGAACAAGTCGATCGTGATCCACGTCTATCCGACTTCCTTCGATGTGGTGAGGGAGAGGGGATCGAGTTATGTGCAGCCCGATTCCCCGCTGTGCAAGCAGTTTTACATCGCGTTTACGCCGCTGGAGGCAGCGAAAGGCAAGCCGCTGGATCTCTCGCTGGCGACGAGGCAGTTTAAAAACCATCTGCAGCGCGTAGGACGAAGAGGCGCGGCGTGAGGGTGATAGGAATGCAAAGGCGAGAAGGGCGAAGTGAAGATCACTGTAGGGGCGGCGAATGGAGGGGATGGCGTGTAGTGTCTGAAGAACACCAGCAAGGTCAATCAGCTGCCCGATTTCCTTTTCCCCGAGGGAAAGAAGAGGCGTCATCATCGAAAGCAGTCGCAGAGGGACGATTCGGGAGACGCCAAGCGACAGAAGATCGAGCCGCCCGCCGAGAGCAACGCGGACAATGCGAACAAGTAAAGCTTGCGCGCATAGCGAACGCTGTTGTCTTCATTCCCTCACGAATCTTCATCTTTATCTCTCTTCTCTTCTCTTCTTCTTCTTCTTAATCTTCTTCATTATCTTTGGATCAATCATGATTCCTATCCTTCCATTGTTTCCTTTGTTTGTGAACAAACACTCCAATGAATGAATTCACTCATTAATTCTCAGTCAAGCAATCATTTAGATGGTTCTTTAGTTAATAATCGGAGTCAGAATCAGGAACTTCACTCCATGGCGAGGAATGCCCTTCATCGTGTAGCTGCCCTGCGCCGTCGTGATGTCCTGATGCACCCAGATATCGCGAATCATCGCCGTGTCATCCTTGCGCAGTCCGCAATCCTCGAACTGGAAGGTGATCTCCGCCTCTTCCTCGCTGCGGTTCAGCAGAATCACGGCGAACTGGCCGCTCATCAGAGGACCCGCCCACACTTCCAGATCTCCCTCGGGCACATCGCCGTTCACTTCCTTGTTTCCTCCCTTGTCGGACCACACGCGATGGCCCTGCACGCCCAGACCGTCCTGGTTCACAGCGATCGCCTCCTTGTTGCTCAGAATCTCCAGCGTTTCCTGCGAGGCCTTCGTCAGATCGCAGCCAATCAGCAGAGGCGCCTTCATCAAGCACCACAGAGAGAAGTGCGTCTTGTACTCCTCGTAGTTCATGCCGCCGTTGCCGACCTCCAGCATATCCGGATCGTTCCAGCCTCCAGGACCCGCACGGCGCCACAGCTTCTCGTTCGCCTGGGCGATGCTCATCATGCTGCCCCAGTTGTCCTGAATATCGCCGGTGGTTCTCCAGCTGTTACCCACAGCGCGAGCCCAGTTGGCAGGATCATCCACGCCCCATTCACACATCGAGAAGAAAATGTCACGACCGCAGTTCTGAAGAGCCTTGGTCATCACCGGGTAACGATGCTCAGGGGTGGTACCATCGGTGTTGCAGTTATCGTACTTCAAATAATCGACTTCCCACTTGGCATAGGTCTTCGCATCGATCTCCTCATAACCCAGAGATCCGGGTCTTCCAGCGCAGGTCTTGTATCCGGCATCCGAGTAGAGACCAAACAGAAGTCCCTTCGAGTGGATGTAGTCAGCAAGAGCCTTCATTCCAGAGGGGAAGTTGGCGTCTTCAACAATCACGCTGTTGTTGTCACGGGCAACCTGCCAGCAGTCATCCAGATTCAGGTAAATATATCCGAGCTTGTCGAGTCCAGAATTAACAATGGCGTCGGCAGTATCACGCGCGAGCTTCTCGTTGATGTTGCAGCCGAACTTGTTCCAGGTGTTGAAACCCATCTGAGGCTTAAGACCCAAACCCTATTGCTAAAAACGAAAAGGAAGGAGCTCACATTATCGATAGCCAGGGCCAAGGCAATAAGACAAACAAAGGTTAAAGATTTCATTTACAAAAAAATAATGACAAATCAAAAGCTTTGATGTATGGTGTGTGTCGTCGCGATGATATCTTTTAAGATTGTAGAGTCATTTCTACAATTGTGTTTCAATCCGTTTTTGTTGAAAAAACACCAAAACTATTATTTAAATCCAGTACCCTTAATGCTCTTAAATCTGCATTTCTGATCCCTTTTTGCAAGAAATACATCCATTGCGATCTTTGAGATAGGGTATTACAGGCAAACACATAATCACGAGAGGGAGTGCGAAGGATAAACCAGTATCGATGATTTTCTCCAGGCTGTTCTTCTCCCCTTGTCTCCTCTAATTGTGTTCCCTCCAAACGAGGAGGCTGGGTAAACTTTAGAACGTTGTTTGCCAATATAATAGAGTTAACACCTTCTCGTTTCAGATCATCTTTCTGGTCACATACTACAATGCGGCAATTGTCGAGCATAAATCTAGGGAATAAGCACGCAATTGATTTACCCATTTTGAGCGTTCATGTCATCCGTTCGCACAAAGTAGTATAGCAGGCCCTCTTTTAGAAGCACAAAATAGTAGTGGTGCCAGCGGTGGCCCACGTTCGTCCGCTTCCACATCCATCCACGAAGTTCGGTCTCAGGAATGGAAGAGGCTATCATTCCATTGTTTTGACCAAACTGGTCCAAAACTCGCTGATCCACGAGCGTTCGGGGAGGATCGTCGAGCGAGCACTCGTTCATCCGAGCACATTCCTCCATCCATGTCTCAAATGAGCCTTCGTAGGTTCCTCCATATTCCTGCGGAATCAAAGCCTTGTCGATCGATGCGGGGAGCTGCGAGGAGCCTAGTAACTGCACCATGTATGCCCATCTGGAAGGCAAGAAGAAGGAGCAGAGCTTCCAGATCGACCGAAGAAGGAACGGGGTATTCAGATTATAGACTATTGTATCGTCCCAACCACGCGCAGGCACATAGTTTGGATCGTCATTGATTTCAATATCGCTCGCACTCATAAACGCTGGGAAGTGACGAATAAACACTTCCATGCAACCCTTTTGGATCTCGCCTGATAAAGCGGATAGAGACACCCCCGCAGTGTCGCTGATCCAAATGCAGTAGTCCTTATAAGCTTCTTGGATCCCCCTCTCCTTGCACGCCTCGTAGAGTCGCTTTTGGATATCGTCGATCATGTAGATGGATACGAGCATAAAATCCTCAATTTTGGGAGCAGTGGTTTGATGGCAGTTCATATACCACACCATTTTGCCATTCTTTGTCACTCCTGTTGGGTAGCATTCCCATTCTGCAAAGGCGTTCTTCACATCGGAGATCTTGATCTCATCTGCATGCCAATATTTCCGGAACAGTGCTGTCTGCTTGATGGCTACCACGGTCTTCGCTACGTCCATGTCGTTTTCGATGAGGAACCGTATGATCTGTGTCGTGCGATCTCCATATCTGTAAAACTTAATTCCCTTGGGCAAGGAACGATCCACCTGTTCTGCTCGTTCCTTTGCCTCTGCCGTAGAATAGACTTTCATGAAAAAAATATGACACAGTTGGAAAAGAAGAATGAAGAGGAACCCCCATTTCTTCATTTCTCCTTTCTTCTTTCCTTCCCTCTATGCCTTCCTTCCTTCCTCATTTCACTGATTCCAACAAACAAAACAGCTAAACAATATGATCTTTCTTATCCACAGACAACAAACCCACGATGATGATGGTGATAATAATGATTAATGCTTCTCAGTGAACTCAGCGTCCACCACGTCCTCCTTCTTGTTCTCCGCGCCGGCGTTCGCAGAAGCATCCGCTCCAGCCGCAGCCTCGGGTCCCTTGTTCTTGTACAACTGCTCTCCAATGCTCATGACCTGCTTCTTGGCCTCCTCCAGCTTGGCCTTCATCGCCTCCATATCGTCTCCCTGCGTCGAGGCGCGCAGCTCATCCAGCGCCTTCTGGATGTTCTGCTTGGTGGCATCGTCCAGCTTCTTTCCGTACTCCTTCAGCTGCTTCTCCGTGTTGTAGATCAGATTGTCGCTCTCGTTGCGAGTCTCGATAATCTCCTTCTTCTTCTTATCGGCGTCCGCGAAGCTCTCCGACTCGCGAATCATGTTCTGGATCTCCTCCTCCGAGAGGCCGCCCGACGACTGAATCACGATGGACTGCTCCTTGCCGGTTCCCTTATCGCGCGCAGACACGTTCACGATACCGTTCGCATCAATATCGAACGACACCTCGATCTGCGGCACGCCACGAGGAGCGGGCGGAATGCCCACCAGGTTGAACTCGCCCAGCAGCTTGTTGTCCGCGGCCATCTCACGCTCTCCCTGCAGCACCTTCACCGTCACCTCGGTCTGGTTATCCGCAGCGGTCGAGAACACCTGGCTCTTCTTCGAGGGAATCGTGGTGTTGCGGTTGATCAGACGGGTGAACACACCTCCCAGCGTCTCGATACCCAGCGACAGCGGGGTCACATCCAGCAGCAGAATATCCTTCACGTCTCCCTTCAGCACTCCGCCCTGGATGGCAGCTCCCATAGCGACCACTTCATCCGGGTTCACCGACTTGTTGGGGGCCTTGCCGAAGAACTCCTGCACCATCTGCTGCACACGGGGCATTCGGGACATTCCTCCCACCAGCACCACCTCGTTGATGTCCGTCTTGCTCAGACCCGCGTCCTTCAGACACTTCTGGCAGGGCACCACCGTGCGCTGCACCAGGTTCTCCACCAGGTTCTCGAACTGCGCGCGCGAGATCTTGATCTGCATGTGCTTCGGGCCCGAGGCGTCGGCCGTGATGTACGGAAGGTTGATCTCCGTCTCCTTCAGGTGATCCAGCTCGCGCTTCGCCTTCTCGGCGGCCTCACGCAGACGCTGCATGGCCATGGGGTCCTTGGAGAGATCCAGACCCTGCTCGGCCTTGAAGGTCTTCACCAGGTGCTGCAGAAGCGCCTCATCGAAATCCTCTCCTCCCAGCAAGGTATCTCCGTTGGTGGCCTTCACCTCGAACACACCTCCGCTGATCTCCAGGAGGGAAATATCGAAGGTACCGCCTCCGAGATCGTAAATGGCGATCACCTGACCGTCCTTCTTGTCCAAGCCGTAAGCCAACGAAGCGGCCGTGGGCTCGTTGATGATTCGCTGCACATCCAGACCGGCAATGCGTCCAGCGTCCTTCGTAGCCTGACGCTGCGAGTCGTTGAAGTAGGCAGGCACAGTGATCACAGCCTTCTTCACAGGGGAGCCCAGGAAGCTCTCCGCGGTCTCCTTCATCTTTGTCAGCACCATGGAACCGATCTGCGAGGGAGACATCTTCTGGCCACGCGCAGACACCCAGGCATCTCCGTTGTCGCCCTTAATGATCTCGTAGGGGACCAGCTTTTTGATCTTGGCCACTTCGGGATCGTCGTAGGAACGACCAATCAAACGCTTCGCAGCGTAGATGGTGTTCTTGGGGTTCGTCACAGCCTGGCGCTTAGCGGCCATACCGACGACACGATCTCCATTATCTAAGAAAGCGACAACCGAAGGAGTGGTTCTGGCACCCTCCGAGTTCTCAATAACACGCGTATTTGAACCCTACACGTCACACTTTTCCCAAATATCCCTTACTTCCATGATAGCGACGCAAGAAGTAGTAGTACCCAAATCAATACCCACGATGTAGTCGGTGGCAGAAGTAGCCATCGCACGAATCTGTGAACGAGCCTAAAACTAAACAAACAAATGGACCCCCCACAAGACCAGCAAGAGTAGGTCTCAGACTAGAACGCACAACTCTTGAAATAAAACTCATATTTACAAAATAGCTCACGAATTAAAGATAAAGAATGAGAGATAACCAGAGAAGAAACGTAGAAGGTTTCCCCGTTTCTAGAACATTCTACGTTCGCTCATTTGGAATCACACGCTGCCGTAGAACATTCGAATCGACTACAGGGAGCCTCCGAAGGGCTTTACTCGCATTTTCGTCGATTCAGCCATCTTTTGCACACCACTTACACCTGTCGGTTCTTCGAAAGTGTGCACGCCACGCAAGACATCCAGCTTTGCACGTTTTGGGAAATGAGCAAGAAGTTTCCCAGAAATTTCTTGCTAAACAGAGGACTATATACATATTTCTTTTATGAGTGAGTCTTGGACAGTAGAACAACAGCGTGCGTTAGATGAGGCACTTGTGCAATATCCTGTTACCATGGATCGAAGAGAGCGCTGGAAGTACGTTACCTATTGGTCTCGTCATGATCCAGACTAATCGCAGCGAAGGTTCCAGGCAAAACGATGCGCGAGTGCATTGCGCGAGCCAAAACTCTTGTGGGTATTGTCGGCTCCAGCAATGCGGAGGTGAAAGAAGAGAAGTCTTTAGGTACAGCCACATTGCCAGTCTTGACGATAGACTTAAACACATGTACTCCTTTGCAGGTGCTTCTTCCGTTTTATCCGAAAATTCCCATCGCCACACAAAAGTAGCATCTACTACTAGCTGTAAGATCCAGGCGTTGTGAACGAGGGTTGCGTGATTTTAGCGAGTCGCTTCAGATCAATCAGGACCAGGTGCGGTCCATGTTCCGTTTGTGTCTCTGTCTTTGTTTTATCGCTAGGATCTATTTTGGAGCAAGCGACGACCGATTCCGCGGTGATTGAGAAGACCTTGGATGATCTGGTTACTGTTTTGTGCCGAGTTGCCGAGGAGAACAAGAAGAAAGGTATCGAGGAGGCGGATACCTCCAAGCTGAAGAGTGCGGGGGAGATTTTTGTTCACCAAGATCGTACCAAGCAAACTGAACTCGTCGTGGAGATGAAGGAGAAGAAGAAGAAGAAGAAGACCGAGAAGAAGGTTTTGACAGAGGCCGAATTCCTCAGTCAATGGGAAGATAACGATCGTTCGGTGGACACCATTTTCCTTCCTCGCAGTCGTGGTCCGCTCGGTACGCCAGCTGAGTGTGAGTTCATCCTAGGTCGCAATCGAAACGTCGATCTGAAACGAGTCAACATTGCTATCAACGGCAAAGAGCTGCTGGCGTCCGCCACGCTCCGTCTCCATGAAGGCAGACATTACGGTTTGGTGGGTCGCAATGGCGTTGGGAAATCGACGCTTCTCAGCCGAATGGCTCGTTCGATGATCGATGGTATTGGATTGGGCGGCGATCGAGTGGTTTCTAGGCTTCCCTGATTACCTGATGATTCTCCATGTGAAGCAGGAAGTGATGGGGAATGATGTGAACGTGCTGGACTCCGTGATTACCAGCGATAAGGAGCGATTAAACCTGCTCGCTGTGAGGGTTGAGCTGCACTCGTGATGGGTAGGAACACGACGAGCTGACCGCCAAACTGGAGAGTGCGGACACGGAGGAAGCGAAGAAGGGCAAGGGAAGCAGCGTGGAGGCGATCGTGACGCGTCTGCAGGAGATCGACGATCGCTTAAAGGACATCCAGAGCGACACTTCCGAGCAGCGTGCTCGCGAGATTCTGAAGGGTCTCGAGTTCACCGACAAGCAGCTCACGATGCCCACCAAGATGCTCAGCGGAGGCTGGAGAATGCGTGTGGCCATCGCCTGCGCGCTGTTCATCCAGCCCGATATCCTGCTTCTGGACGAGCCGACCAATCATCTGGACCTGGACGCCATCATCTGGCTGGAGGACTACATCCGACACTACCCGCGAACCACGATCGTCGTGAGCCACGACCGCGAGTTCTTGAACGGCGTGTCGGAAGAGATCATCGAGTTCATCAACCACGATCTCAAGTACTGGCCGGGCGACTACAACTCGTTTATGAAGGCCAAGGAGGATCGTCGGAGGATGATGGCCGCGATGCAGGAGGAGCTCGACGAGAAGCGGCAGGACATCCGCGATCAGATCGCGCGGCTGCAGCAGCAGCAGCGAAAGAACGTGGGAGAACGAGGGCATTGTGAGGGGTAGAAGAAGGCGGATTTGGGCGGAATGATTCGCTCGCGCGAGTCCAAGCTGAACAAGGTCGGTCTGGAGAAGACGCTGGACGGAAAGAAGTGGAACTGCCAGCTCCATGTCGGATGTGGATTGGGCGTGTGATGCGTAGGGAGTCCGTCTGGGCAGCATCAACGCCAACGACGGCGGCTGGGTGAATGGAAAGCGAAGCGCGGGCAGCGTGATGGAGTACCAAGAGCCTCCGGTCAAGTTCACGATCGCGCCCTGCGAGCCCATCAACGTACTTCCGTGATCGAACATATTTCACCCGCAGTACAACGGACCGATCCTGCAGCTCTCCAACGTGACGTTCACCTACGAGGGCACGAACAAGCCTATCTTCGAGAACGTCACCTTCCAAGTCGAGATGGGCAGCCGCATCGCGCTGCTCGGACCCAACGGCATCGGCAAGTCCACCTTCCTCAGCGTGCTGAACTCCACGCTGGAGCCCCAGGCGGGAGAGATCTACCGCCACCACAACCTCAAGATCGGCTACTTCGCTCAGCACCACGTGGACGCGCTCGAAAACGTGCTCACGCCGCTGCAGCACATGCAGAAGCTGGCGCCCCTCGCGAAGGAGCAGGAGCTGCGAGCGTTGCTGGGCTCGTTCGGCATTACCGGCGCGTTGGCGGTACAGCCGATCGGGACGCTGTCCGGAGGGCAGAAGTCGCGCGTGGTGTTCGCGACGATCTCGTACAAGCGGCCGCACATTCTGCTGCTGGACGAGCCGACGAACCATCTGGACATGGACACGATCGAGGCGCTGGTGAAGACGCTGAAGGAGTTCAACGGAGGAATCGTGGTGGTGACGCACGACCAGGTAGGGGAGCGAGGAGAGGTGTGAGGCGTAGTACTTGGTGGAGGAGGTGTGCAATACGCTGTTCGTGATCGATGAAAAACATCACATCAACCGCTTTGAGGGACAGTTCCGCGACTATAAGCGATATGCGTTGAAGAATTACCATCTTATCGCTCCCGAGGATGATGAAGATGCTCTTGAGACCAATTCCTAGAGCTTTTGTTTTGTTTGAGACAAACACGACCAAACAAACTACTAGGTAGATGAGTCGGTTTCTTCTAATTAGGATTCTCATTCTCTTGTTCCTCGTTCTCGTTTACATTTACGTTTTCGTTTTCGTTTTCGTTTTCGTGTTGGTTTTCATTTATGTTTTCGTTATCATGTTGGTTGTCAATTTCGTTTTCGTTTCCATTTTCATTTTCATTCTCGTTCTCGTTCTCGTTCTTATTCTCGTTCTCATTTTCATTTTCATTTTCATTTTCATTCTCGTGCTGGTTTTCATTCTCATTCTCATTCTCATTCTCATTCTCCTCTTCCTGTTCGTCTTCATTTCCATGCTCATTCTCTTCTTTCTGTTCACTCTTCACCTCGAGCTCGTTCTTTTGATCCTCATTGTTCTCCACCTCCATTTCTTCGTCCACCTCCTTCTTTTCTTTCCGTTTTACTCGATGGCCCACTTCTTCGTTCGTCGCTTTCTGCTCTGTCTGCGACTGTTTTGTGTCCTCCGAGGCAGGCTCGATTGGGGTGCTATACACAACGCGCTTCTCCATCCAATTCTATACACTTAGCTCCCCATCTAAACAATCTGGCTACCTTTTTCTCGTAGAAAGTCATTTGGTTCCACATAATATCTAAAAACTCCTCCATCACTTTATTCTCAATCTTTGGATATATACTTTGAATTAACTCCTTGTTGACCTGCAACATCACACCAAGAATAGACAAGAAACGTCTTTAAAGAGATCAACTCCGCGAAGACGCCTTTTATTAATTCCACTAATATTTTCGCTTGCCTTCTGGAAGTCTTTATACACTATACTATGGATTTCTGGATATTCGAACTCGATCTCCTAGACTTCACTAACACGTCTTAATTCCACATGAATCTTTGCTTCATCATCCGCTCTCAGCACAGAACTGAATTCAGGACCGATAAAACTCAAATCTTTACGTTTGGATATAATGAACTCCATGATGTGACTTCAATCAAATAACATAAATCTACAATACCCAATATCCGAATGGAGAGATTGAATCGCCTGCTTCGAAGTTGCGAGCTTTTCATACAACTCATCCCGATCCTATGGAAAATCAAGCTCCTCTTGCATCTTACAGCTTTTAACACCGCGATCTTACTCTGCAAAGCTTTTATCTTCTCGTCTTGACTCTCTTCCATCGATTTTTTGAAAATGGCAAAAATCGGCACTTTTCCGTTTTTCACAAACAATTCAAATGGCACAAAATCATTCCTTTATCTTCTTCGATGTATCCTTCTCCGGTTTTCTCTCTGGACTCGCGCTGTACGATCCATAGGAGTCATACGAATCATACGAGCCATACGAATCCGAAGCATCGTAGGAATCATAGGAATTACTTCGGCTTCGGCTTCGGCTTCGACTATGCGATCGTCGTCCATGTCTTCGGTTTCGGTCTTTACTGCGCGAATAACTTCGTTTTCGATCATAGCGACTGGAGCGATGATCACGTCTCCATGATCGACTTCGTGAACGACGATAGGGACGATCCCTGGATCGGCTCCGTGACCGTCTTTTCAAAATCGGCTTTAAACGAGAGTTATCCGAAACAACCTTGGCATGATCAGCATCTTCCGTGGGTGATCTACAATCAGTAAGAACATCAGTACAATACGCTGTCGCTTTGGCTTCTGTGATCGAAGATTCGATTTTCGCCTTTGTAGCAGCTTCTTTTTCCTGGAGTTCAAGAGATGTGAGTATAAATACCTTCTGCTTCTTGAGCTCTTCCATTCGCTGCTCCACGAACTCTTGAGGAATTCCTAAAGGATCTTTTTGGGCAGAAAGCAGTAAGGACCACAGCTTTTCGGTAAACCCGATAGCACTTCGTTCTAAGAAGGGAATCAATGTGACTTCAATGTGCTTGGGATCCACTTTCTAAAAATGAGTCTTAGAGCGCCTGTGGTACTTCATCCAGTGATAACAAATTATAAATCATATCGATTAGAACATCGTCTTCAAAACCCAAAATACTGTTTATTTCCTTAGCGATCCAACCCTTCATGCTTTCAAGATTGACTTTACTCATATCAACCTGGAAAGTAACGTGCTTAGCGCAATGTAGATACCTTTTCATTGAAGTTCTCAGGGAATTTCATGGATTTTATTTGCTTCTTCTCACTATCGGTAAAGCGGAAGTCAGATCCAGCTGGAGTTCCCTAAAGAATGAGCAAACACAGAATCCAATACTCTGAAGAACCCTCGAATACTTGCCATCGTTTTTTATTGAGAAATGTACAAGGGACATTGTTGCTCAAATGCACCCAAAGTGACTAATAAAGTGGTATCTGCAATTTTTTAGACACTGCAAACGCAGTGAATAGGTGTGAGAATCCTATTGGTATAGTTTTGTTTTCATGTCTGGCCGAACAGGTTTTGCACCCATTCGGAGCACGGTACATGTATCTATGCTTCCATATGCTTATACAAACAATGACGTTGCAAAGCTTTTCGAACCTTTTGGAAGAATTGCTCAGTATTGGATTCTCTTTTCGTATTCCGTAGTGTGACGATTTTGCGAGATCGTGAAACAAGAATTAGCAAAGGTGTAGCGTGGGTCCAATTTGTTGAGTATTTCTATTCCTTCTCCTCTGATTGTAGACGTAACTCTGCGGAAAAGGCAATCCAAGAATTAAATGGAACAAAAGTTGACGTTGTTTTTTGATTCTGTTCTTACTAGTAGAAATTTACTATCAAAGTCGAGTGGGCGAAGGATAACGGAAGAGGAGGTGAATTCATAAAGAAGCGGAAGTATACAAAAACGAAGTATTGTTTTGAGTGTGGAGTTTGTCTACTGATTGGCCTTCACTGTAGCAAATGGGACATACATCTTACAAATGTCCCCGCAATGTACTTGGCGATCGCGCGAAACCAAAGAAGAAGCAGCGAAATGTTGAAGAAGAGAACGAAAATATTAAAGCTTGGCTGGCAAATGACGACGATGATGATTTGGGAGGAACGGCATTCATATTTTAGTTGTAATCTAAAAGTATTTGTTGCGAAACCTATGAATGAAAAATCGATTCTGGTCACTACTTTAGCTGTGCTTCTTGTATTGAGTGTATATTTGCAAGTGTATTGCTTTCAGGGTATTTTTATTGTAGATTGTTATTTAATGCAAAGGACAATAGTATGGTGATGTTTATTAAAGAAACACCTGTTTTGTTCATTGAGGAACATTATTCCTAGTATTTCCTGTATCCTATTCAGCACGTACCGAGTGGAACAAATTCTACGAGTGATTCGGATAAACTGGTTCCTTCTGTATTTCAAACGAAATCAGGTAGTTACTCCTGTCAAAAGTTACACCAGATAACGATCGAAATGATGGAGACAGAGAGTCTGCTGATCATGTTATCGAAGATAAGTCTTTGATTTCAAATTTAACTGTTTCCACTTCTGTTCCAGTTACATCTCCAACAGCAGCAAGAGCAGAGGCAGTGGCAACAGTAGCAGCTACAGCGACAGTAGCAGCCACCGCGACAACCACAGCTACAGCCACAGAGGAGGAGGAGAACGCCCCAACAGAGAAAGTCCTTCTATTTGCCAATACTCCCACACCCCGCCCTTCTCCCCTTCAGACTTCTTTGTTTACCTCCTCGCCCAAACTCCCTTCCATCCACTCCACTCCAGCGAAACCAACGCCCACTCTCCCTCTTTCTTCTTCCACCGATCTGAGTTCATCAATCCAACCGCGTGGCCAACGTCGTCCACGTTTTTCCGAGTTTCCTCCGGACCACATTTTCAATTCCGTGTTGGACCCTCTGATCACGACCATGAAAGAGAAAGAAGCCTCTGCGTTACGCGCATGGGCTGCTTCGCACCCCGACGATCTCGCGCGCTACGTCCAATTGAATCAAACGATGAGCGAAAAGCAGAGACTGAAGCAGCTGGAAGAGGAAAAACGACCGACGGAGCAGCCGACGGCGCGTTCGAAGAACCCGCCGAACCCATTGAAAAGGCTCTGGATGAGACAAAAAGCACAGCAGCCGCAGGAGAGCGAGCCGGCGAGCACAAAAGAGCCGCGAGACGAACGATTAGAGCAGCTTTTCCAATCGCTGGTGCACTTTTCTCCGAATGAAACGGTCTGCGATGGCTGCTTGATGGAGCCTTCGAGCAAACGATTTAACATGTCGCCGAACGAAGGGATTCGTGTTTGGATAGGCGACGAAGAGCAATTCAGTTATAAGCACAACGCGTATGACTCCGCGCATTCTCCGATGGAAATCACGGCGATTTACGTGTCCATGATGAATCGAATCGAATTCATCCAGCAGATTTTGTATCGCTGGCACGGGTGACGTTCCCTTTTGTGTGTAACAAACAGCAAAGTCATCGTTGTCGTCTTCGTGTACCCCAGTGAACACCCCCAGTTTCTCCGTTTCCTTCAGAACCATCACTTCCCAAAGCGCCTTCTTCTAGTCGAATTCATCCCGCTCGCTTCGAATCGAATTCGCTTCCCCATCAATCGTCTTCGAAACCTCGGAATCTCCTATTGTACCACGTCGCATTACATCGTTCTCGATATGGATGTCTGGCTTTCCACCTCCTCCGTCGATCTCATCGCTTCAATTCCCCCTTCTCTCCTTCGCCAACGCAATGTCGCCATTCTTCTCCCTCTTTTCTTCTTCGATCGCGATCGATTCACGCTTTTGTGTTCTTCGATTCGCTCCTGCGCGCTTCTGTTTCGATCGAATTCCCTGCTGATGCGTAGAATGTTGGATTATTTCCCCAATACGAAGCGAGAGCTGTTCGCTTGCATCGCTTCTGGTGTTTGCCTGACCTCCAAACCGAATATTCGAACGCATGTAAACCCAGAACGGTAATTGCAATGTAGTTGTATGTAACTCATGAATGGTTCACAACACCGGCAAATCAAAATGTATCGAGGATTAAGTGCTTTATTGCGGATATGCAGGAGCCCTACATGATCTTGAAGCGTGATGTGACCACGCCTTTGTATAGCGAGTCTTTTTATAATTACGGCTATAACAAAGTGCAGTTGTTCGAGCATTTGCGTGCTGCAGGGTTTCAGTTCTACATTTTAAATAATGTTTTTGCGGTGGACGTTCCACATCCAAACTCTGTTTTTCGTAAAAACTATTTGGAAGATACCACAGGGTTGTGGACCATTATGAGGAGGAGGTACATGCTTTTCCTGCGTAAACTATCTCTACAGTATCCTACAACTTCTCGATTCCCTATCTGTGATCCTAGTGTACAGGATTATTATTATTATTATTCTACTTCTATGGGATGTTTTGTTTGTTAGAGTAATTGTATGATGCAACAGCGCTGCATTATTTTTACTCTGGGCTTTCTCTTTGTTTCAACGGTCGTTTCGATTGCTGTTTTCTCGTTCGTACGATTCGTTTGTGGGAAGTTCCGACTAGGTGCTCAAAAGAGTGAACATCTCGATTGCTGAGCCTGTACCGGAGGGTAGAAAAGAGGTAGCAACGAATAGCGCTGTTTCCGATTTCGCGTTGACTATCAACAGTAATAGGAAGGAGAGCCACTTCTTGAGACAAGAAGAGACGAAAGAGACAATGCCCCCGATCGTTCGCGCATCCAAGTTTGCAAATCCCGTTGAAGAAGATTTTCCGTGCTTGCATTTTCCTCTCCCCCCTTCCAAAGAACCGTTTTTGTTTTTATTTGTCAATTTTACTCAAAGGGTTCTCTTAGCACTCGGAGTCACTCTGATCGATAACTGCGTAGTGTCAATTGGCTTCATCGACAATAGACAGAGCTGAAAGCACATATCCAACACAATACCCTCGCCATGCTGCACTCGCTGAAACCGGCAGTGTTTCCCGTTCTCTTTTCAAACAACAGTTACTGGCTACGCCGCGCTTCGCTCCTCGGAATTTATTGCACCAACGACTTTTTGTGCTTGCCTCCCTCTCTGTTGACCCTAGATCCAACGAATTCGGCACTCCCTTTTTCTTTTCGATGATGCAAACCCTCGAAACACGAATTCCTAGCACCTTTGTAGGATACATGAATGGCGATCTGCTCTTCCACTCTGCTTCTCTTCTCTCCAGTCTGGACTTCATCGCCTCGTCCTTTCTACCCGATCACCCCAATGTCATGATCATGGGGCGGCGATATAATCGAGATATGTCCTTGGAAGATGATTGGTCGAAATATTCTTCTTTTGATTTTGACCGCGTCATCGAAAACGAAATAGCGTTCAGCGATTTGTTCATCACGGTAGCGCAGGACTACTTCATCTACACGCACCAAACATTGAATTATCTCGCCATGGAAGACGTTGTGATTGGTCGAAACGGAATTGACAATTATCTGCTCGATTTTTGCATTCGCAATCAGATCGCTTTAATCGATGCCAGCGCGGCCATTTTCGTTCTTCATCAAACCGACGCGGATGGAAACTGGGCAGGCTCGCGCGAGTCGCTCGACCGCGATTGGAACTTGCGGATTGTGCAGGATTCGCTTGTTTTTGACTCGCTCAGCCAGGCTCCGTTTCAATTGAATCGACACGAAGATGGATCGCTGAGTCTTCATCGCTATCGGAAGGCAGATAACGTGTATTCGCGGGAAGAAATGGAGTTCATTAGCAAGTTTCTTCCCGCAGGTGCTGATCGTTTGGATTGTTTGTTGGACTCAGAACAAGGGTGTTTGTATTATGGAAAGGGACTGTTTGTTCCATTTTTTGAAGGCCGGTGCGATCGGTTTGACGTGTTTTTGTACGATATCTTCCAGAAGTAGAGACGGGAGAGGGTGATTGAATGTAGGAAGTACGCCGGCACGTTGGAGAAAACGAAGTACAACGTGGTTTATCGGCATCTCAAGTGCTCTTTCGTTCGGGTTTTGACGCATAGTGTTGCTCCGAAGCAGAGTTCGTGTATGAACTATCGCTCGTATCTCACGCTCCCTACCAAGCGGGCTGTTTTTTATGACGTGGTGATCATCGACGGGCTTTGCAGACAGTATTCTGCGTTTTACGTGCTTTCTCGGCTGAAACGAAGCGACTCTCCAGTGCTGATCCGCGGATTGGAGCTGTTCCAATACCGGAATCTTTCCTCCTTTATTGAGAAGTATTATGACAAGATTGAGTGCTTGGAACCCTTTCCAAACACGGAGGGGTTCGATTATGTGGGGTTTTGTGCCTATCGAGCGAAGCCTGCTGGGAAACAACCCTCCGAGAGTCTTCCATTATGGTGGTAGTTGACCATGTTTTTTTTATTTTTTATTATTTTTTTTAGAAAAAACAACAAAATACTAAAGTTACGAAATCCACTGGAAATTGGAGGGAGTGGTGTCCTTTTTTGCTTTTGACTTGATACGGTAGGACTTGGCTGACACATCCTTCGGCTTTTCTTTCACGTCACTGTCAGAAATGAGTCCTTTCTGTTTTAGGTACTATCCATTAGCAAAAAATACTTGTTCATACCCGATTCATAATATCGGTACCATTTACAGTGGAAACGGCATCGATAATTTGCATATTCCATTTTAAGTTCTCATCGGCTCTTTCTCTAGCTTCTGCCACCTCTATCACTCACAAAATAGCGATTATTTGTACCTTCCTTAATTCTGTATACACTGTCCTCCACTTTTTCGAGTTGTGCTCGCGGTTTTTTGTTCTTCTTCATGACCTTTCTCGTTCGGGTGAATTTTTCCTCTTTAACAGGTTTCCGATTTCGATGGTGTTTAGTCTTTGGAACTTCAGATACCTCCTCTTCAACGATATCTTTTAGCTGCTGCTTCAATATTTTGAGCGACATGGGGAAGACACAATGAGTCAGTGAGAGTTTCAGATATTATGATTCTCCCTTAAAAACTTTATCAGAAGGCTGACAAACGTGTCGATGTCGTTACCTACAACTGCAAAACCCGCAGAAGAGGATGTAACCATGAGAAATGTGGTTACATTGGGAATTGGTATGTCCCTTTGCTTAATCGGTATCAAGGTATCGTCAAGTTTCATTGTGCCTATCCTTGGTAATGTTGGCTCCATTTCGATGGCTTTACTCTACTTCTCAAACTCATTTGCCAATTTCTTTGTGCCTCCGCTTCTAAACTTGTTTGGAAATGAGAGACGCGCGATGTTCTGGACTGTGTTCGAGTATTGCCTCTACATTCTACAGTTTGCCTACATCATCATTCCTCTTAACCTGGTGTGGAGTTTTATTCACGGTATATTTGCTGCTCTTATCTGGACCGCGGAGGGCATCTACCTGTGTGCTAACTCCAACGACTCGGACCGTGGTAAGAAGTCTGGTATTTTCTGGACCCTGTACATGACCGGAGCTGCTGGAGGAAACATTGCTGTCTATTTCCTGCTGAAGAAGATGAACATTAACGATTTCCCAACGAGCACTGGTTGGCATGGAACTGCTTCGATCATGTTTATCGTTCTCGCCGCCACCTCTCTGCTGGGAGCCTTCCCAATGGCGATGCTGAAGCCGTCGGCGGCCGAGACACGCCGTAAGTTCGTGGCGAAGACATCGCAGAAGGTTCTGGTGAAGAAGATGCTCCGTATGGTCGTTTCTCCCAATATGCGCTGGTTGATCATCCCCATGTTTTTCGTGGGATTCGAATACGTGTTCATTGGAAGCATGCTTACGCGACAAGTCCATCAGACCGGTGAAGTCGGTTTGATGATGAGTCTGTTCTGCATCGTTGAAATGGTCATGTCCACTCCGTTCGGTCTTTTGCTGGACCGAATCGGAAACGTGGGGAGCTTCCTTCTCTCTACCGTGCTGGAGATGGCAGCCATCATCACGTTCTGGTTTGCGAACAAATCGCAGGGAGGCTTGTTCTATTTAGCGTTCATCTTTTTGTCTCTCTCCGATAGCTCCTACGAGACGGTCATTCCCACGATCATTGGTCGCAACTACTCCGACCAAGAGAGTGCGAACAGCACGTATCGTCTCTTCCAGTACATGGGAGGCTGCATTTGCTACTTGATCGCCCCGCTGTTTGTGGATGGGTCCACCAAGTATGTGAGCGATGCCAGCTTAATGCGTGAATTGACGCTCTGTGGTGTGCTGTGCATTTTGAGCGCGATTTGCTTTGTTGTTTATGAAAAGAGCTTCAAGAAGGAGCTGCCTGTGGTTACTAAGGAGCCCGTTCATACCGATGAGAAGGCTGCTGAATTGGTGCATGTCGCTAATGAGGATCTGGATGAAGTATCCAAGGCAGGCGCGAAGAAGGTTTCTTCGGTGAAGATGGACGATGTGAAGGTGACTGCTGTGAATAACGAAGATTTTACGCATTAGTTTGTCGTGTTTGTTGGAAAAGGGTGGTTGCAGTGTTTTCTGGGAGAGGAGTTGGGAGAATGCAGTTTTCACTTGCAATGAGTTCTATCAAGACTCCAGAGGATGTTATTGGCTTGTTCGAGTCTCAGGGAGTGACGGTAGTCGCTAGTGCGATCGATCCTTGTGCTACGTCTATTTCCTTCCTCATCCACTAGTTCTCGATACGATCAAGCAGTTGGACATTGATGAAGATACTATAAAAGATAATATCGATGCCTATGCCGTAAACCACAATCTGAAGGAGTTCGATGACAAACACATGACAAATCTGATTATTGAATTGAAAGTAAGCCTTGAGAAGGAGAAGTGAGGGATCAGAGCAGCTCAAATGTTCAAACAGAATCACCCGTAAAATCTCAAAAGCGCCAAGGAGGAAGCATGCCAGCACCTGTCACTCCAATAAAAAAGCAGCTCACATCAAGTCAAGGTGGATTGGGCGTCTACTCTTCGGGATCCATGATTTCGATCAGCGACAGTCCTTCTGCACGCTACCGAAATTCCCCTGCGTTGAAATGTTTGGTCTTTTTCATTGCAGAGTCTGGGCGACTCCCAGCAAGAACGACGCTTTCATCTCTCGCAAGGATTCGAATACAGTAAAGACCAGTTTCGACGAAGTGGATACCACGCTCTGTGACGTGGATGCCCCCCAAGCCTCCTCCATCAACATCGAAATCGACCCATCTGTCGGCGAGCAAGACCCCAAGTACTCCAGCTCCTCCCATTCGACACAGAGCGATGTATCTCGACGTCCAGGAGCCCAAGGAAGTGCTTCGCGAGAGCCTCATCACGGCGCGACAGCAGATGAGCGAGGTTTATGGGAAGGAATTCACAGCCGTCGCTTTGAGTGCGGATTGCGAAGTAGATCAGCTACGTAATCGATTCCTCGGTCTGCGTCTGCGGGAGAATCTACTTCGACGCGCAGTCCACCGCCTCCATCCGCGATTCCGACGTGGTGCTCTACGTTTCTCTCGCTCCCTCCGTTAAAACGCAGGACGAAAACGAATCGCGCGTGTCGCTGCTGCTCGGTTCCATTCCTTCATTTACGCTGTTCCCCGGCGCGATCGTGGGCGTGGAGGGCACAATGAACAACCGAATCATCAGCGTCACCCATCTCTATTCCGTACGCTCCTCGATTTCCTCGCTCCAATGCAGGGATTCCCGCTGAATCCGCCGAAAACATTGCCGGCTTCGCTCGCCTCCGAGACGGTTTCGCTGTGGGTGGCGCGCGGCCCGTTCTCCTGCCGCGACGACGGCGATTTCGAGCCTCTCAAAACGTTCCTCGCGCTCGCAAAGAAGGAAAAGCCGTCTGTCCTCCTCCTCGTTGCCTTCGCTTTCCTTTCGATTCTGTCTAGTGCGGACCGTTTCTTCCCGATTCCGCGTCCTCCGTTCTCGATCTTTCATCCGCTCCCTTCGTCGCGTCGCTCTGGAAGGAGCTGCGCAGTGCCGAGATCCCCGCGGTTCTCGTCCCCGCGGTCGACGACTCGCTCGCGTTCCCCGCGTTTCCGCAGTCTCCTTACGACGACTCGGCAATTCCGAGCAGTGCGGGCAATCCGTGCGTGCTGGCGATGCAAGGCGTGCGGATCGGCGTGTCGAATTGCGACGTGCTGATGGACCTGATGAAAAGCTGCTATTGGAAGTGTGCGTGGCGGAGAGATGCGATGTAGACAAGAGAAAAACGTGGATAAACAGCGACTGTTCTGCTCGCAGCTGCTGGAGCAGCGAAGCTTGTATCCGTTGTATCCGTCGCTGTCGATTCCGCTGGATGCGGGGAAGCTTCCGAGTCTGTCGATGAAGGAAGTGCCGGATTTGATGATCGTGGCGACGGAGAAAATGCGGTTTGTGAAGGAAGTGAGCGGAGTGGTTTGCTTGTCGCCAGGCTCGCTTGCCTTTGGAAATAGTGGAGGGACCTTCGCTCGAGTTACGGTGTATCCGCTGAAGGAAGAGAGAAGAGAGGGAAGTGAGGGAGATTGGACGGAATTAGGAATAGAATCGGGGGTGAAGGTCGATTCGCTGGTTGCAAAGCGGTGCAAGGTTGAAATTGTCAATATTTGGTGTGTTTGTTTGATTCCACGAGTTCGACACAGGGTTTTTGAGATTTCGAAATGACGTGGTGTATTTGGAGGTACCTTTCCTATGATGTGAACATCTAAGGAATGAATGATTCTCTCTAAGTGAACCAATAGATTGATGATCTAACAAGGATTGCGACCAAAAGAGCGAGGGGAAACAAGCGGATATTTTCTCCTTTTCCCCAATTCTTCTATTTCGCATTTTATTTTTTGGATATGCTTCGTGTTAATATAGCGAAACGTTTCTTCTCGTAGACATGCACGGGAGTGGATAATATCTAGTGCTTTTCCTAAAGGTCGCAAGATTGTTATCGTAGGAGGTGTTGCTGGAGGTGGTAGCGCTGCTGCAAGGTGCGGTTGTGCCGGTGGTGCTAAGGATTAGACTGAAGAGACTTGATGAATCTGCAAACATTACCATTTTTGAAAAGGGTCCTTACAACGCTTTTGCGAACTGCGGCCTTCCGTTTTACGTTGGTGGCATCATTCCCAAAGTACATCGTGCTTGTGCGTTTTGAGTTGCAGGAGAAGTCGTTGCTCGTGTCGAGTCAGAAGCAATTCAAAGATTATTTTGACGTCGATGTAAAGACAAACCACGAAGTTATAAGTATCGATCGCAAAAACAAGACTGTATCTGTCAAAGACGCTTCCGATAACATGTACTTGCTCTCCTCGCTCCACTCTTACCCACAGCTCCGTAGTTCCTTACGACAAGCTGATCCTTTCCCCTGGCTCTCGTCCTTTCATCCCGGACATCAACGGTGCGAACGCTCCGGGAGTTTTCCAGTTGCGCGATATTCCGGACAGTCGCCAGATTAAGGCCTGGATCGAGTCGCGCAACGCCAAGAAGGCGGTGATCATCGGCGGAGGCTTCATCGGTTTGGAGATGGCCGAGAGCCTCAAAGTGAAGTACGCATTGCATTCCGCGCCTTCCTCGCAGAGGCCTGGACGTGACGGTTCTGGAGCGCGCGCCTCACGTGATGCCCAACCTGGCGGATGAATTGGCGACGGTGCTGGAGTCGAAGATGAAGGAGAAGGGCATCGCGGTGAACGCGAACAACGGCGTGAAGGAGATCATCAGCAAGGAGGACAACTCGCTGGAAGTGGTGTGCAACGACGGCAGCGCGCTTCCCTGCGATCTGGTGGTGATGAGCGTGGGCGTGCTGCCCAACAGCGAGCTGGCCAAGGCCGCCGGCTTGGAGCTGGGCGTGAAGGGCTGCATCAAAGTGGACGACCACATGCAGACCTCCGACCCCGACATTTACGCAGTGGGCGACGCCATCCAGGTCAAGGACTACGTGACCGGGTTCGACACGCACATCCCGCTGGCCGGTCCCGCGAACCGCCAGGGCCGCATCGTCGCGGACGTGCTGTGCGGACTGAACAGCTACTACCGCGGCTCGCAGGGCACCAGCGTGTGCGGCATGTTCGATCTCTGCGTGGCCATGACCGGCCAGACGCGCGCGAGTCTGCTGCGGTTTGGACGGCCGGGAGGCGTGACGGGTAGATCGAAGGCGATGAATCCGGACGACATCGGCACGGTGTGCGTGCACTCGCCGAACCACGCGAACTACTACCCCGGATCGACGCCCATCCACCTCGATCTGACGTTCGACCGCCGCACGGGCGCGGTGCTGGGCGCGCAGGCCGTGGGCGTGCAGGGCGTGGACAAGCGCATCGACGTGATCTCCTCGTACATCCACATGAAGGGAACCGTCACCGATCTGGTGCAGGCCGAGCTGTGCTATTCCCCTCCGGTAGGCGGCGCGGAAGAGGGCTGATCTGTGTAGTACGGCGCGGCGAAGGACATCGTGAACCTCGCCGGCATGGTGGCCGAGAACATCTGCCGCGGCCTGCTGTCGCCGGTGAGCTGGGAACAGTCGTTCAATGAGGACGTGTTCCGAATTGACACGCGCGAGACGAGCGTGTGCCAGGCCGATCCGGTGCCTGGAATGACCAATATCCCGCTCGGAAACATCCGAGAGAGTCTGAACAAGCTCCCGAAGGACAAGGTCATCGATGTGTCGTGCCGTGTAGGGGGAGAGAGGAGAGGAGAGGAGTGACGAGTAGATTGGACGAACGGCTTATTACGCTTACAGAATCCTGGAACAGAACGGATTCAAGGTCCGTCATCTGCCTGGAGGATGGAATACATGGAGATTGCTCCCTAATAAGGACAAATTGAAGTAACTTACTACGAAACTAGAGTGGATGGAATCTATCAGCTTTTTTTTGTTTGTTGGATGAATTAGAGAATCGGTAGGGGTTCGGACTTTGGCGAAAAGCGCTCGCAGCAGGTTGTTTTAGCTCGCGAACTGAAGAGGTTTATAGCTCCGAAAAAGGAGCTAAAAATTGTTGATGCTTCAAGTGTTAAACAAAAACTCCATTGTTTTTGTTGACGAGTACAATGGAAAGAATAACGGAATCCTTCTTTCGGAGTTAAGAAGGATTTTGAAGGAAGTCGGTGTTGTAGCGACTTTTTGATTTTTCATAAAGCGGTAGATCATGGTTGACACCTATTCTACGGATGTGACCCATTTTGTGTATTTGTTGCAGGGGTAATAGTGTTTTTGAAGTTTCCCCATAGTCTTGATAAGCTAAGTGGAGTACCAACATCCCGTACTATTAGTGGGTATAATGGAACAATTGCAGACGAAAAGGATTACCACATTCGTCTTTTTCAGAGAGCGCTACGCGAGGGAAAAATTATCATGAATGCTCAATATATCCATATTTTGGTTTTTCGAAAACTTAACCACAAGTCTATATCGAGCAGCAAAGAAATTGGCTGGTTCGCAACAAGTTGTAGTGGTTTCATGCGCAACGAAGAACTGGCATTCTTCTCGTAATCAGTCTATCTGCATACGAGACCAAACCAAGCACATCAAGGACATTTCACTTGTACAAACACTTGAATGAAGTAACAATCGCAGAACTATGACGACTACTGTCCACCTCGTTTCTATGACGATTCCCCGTCTGGCATTTCTCCATTCACCCCCTTGTGTCAACGCAAGCAGTAGAATTTCTTTTCAGCGTTCGAGGTAGAGTTTCAGACAAACTTTCGCGTAAACTCACACATCTCCACAGCGATGCACTCCAAAAGAAGAAACAACAATGCGGACCTGCCGCGAAGGAGAAATCCTCCTGGAAAGAGAACTACGTGAAGCGTAGTGTGCAGAGAAAACTAGAAAAAGCCATGTTTTGCGAGGTGTGTCGAGTCTCCATTCCCAACTATCTCTCTGTAGTAGCTTCGATTTTGCTTCACTTGCAGCACGTCGACACTGCACAGCATCAGCAACGCATCCACAGCGGGAAATACTTTGGATTTCTGGACGACTTGTTTGACCAATTGCTGTTCCACGCCTGGCGTTGCATCCTTCCCAGCGAAGCGAACAACGTGTCGTCGGTGAATATGGCTACAGACAGAACAGTGCTGCCAGAGTCCATGCTGCCACAGGCGAAAGAGCATTGCTATGAGGTCGCATCATCGATGCGTGTGTGGCTGTTCCCGCAGTACTATGAGTGGGTGGAAACGAGGGAGAAGTGCAAGAGTTTCACGATTTCGGATGCGTTACGAGAGAGCATTCGGAGAGTTGTAACCACACCCATGAAGCCGCTTCTTTATCCTGTGGACAGAAAGGACCAGGATGGAGAAGAGAAGAAATGAATTGTTTGTTGAACACAACAGGCGGAGAGAGGGAAAACCAAATTAGCCAGACTATTGAGAGCACATTATGGCTGTGACGTTCGATATTTTAAAGGGACATAAGGATTTTGTCACTTCGATGCTGAATCATCCCCTTGGGGTGGTAAGTGGATCGGAAGACAAAACTGTAAGATTATGGGATCTGCGTGTGAACCGCGCTGTAAAGTGCATTTGTGGAGCAATCTATGACGATGTTTCTTGTCTGAGCCAATTTCCTGGAAATGACAATTATATCTGTGTGGGATGCGATACATCTGCGATGATTTTTGATTTGAGAAATACTAGCACTATAATAAGGGACCTTGTGACTGCTTCAAGTTGTAATGAAGACTGTGTGAATCGGATTCGTCCAGTAACTGTCGACCAAGATAAGCTGATTGCAATTTGCGATGATAAGGGGTATAGTTCTGTCGTTTAGCTAACGAATAGGGACATCGTTCTCTGGAACTGTGAAACGAACGAAGAGGATATCGTAATTCAGTCTGTGCATAAATCAATCTGTTCAGATATACTGATCATTCCATCCGAAGAGGAGTCGCCATTGCAGTGTTTTCTCATTTCTAGGCCATTAATCCTATCTGGGGGATACGATCAGGCCGTATATCTCACCGATCTCGATGGTGTTTCGAAATCCTCTTGGATGATCACCCCTCTTCCTTCAAGCCTTCCTGCAGTGAACCCTCCCTTTGTTACCTGCCTTGCGCGGAATGAAATGAATGGTAATTTGTACTGCGGAGCCATGGACGGGAGCATTCGTTTCTTGTCGAATTCGAAGGATTCTTCTGGCTTGGCTGCAGTCCAACCCGTGATTTCTTGCCACGCTGCGGGAATATCGGACGTACGAGAGAAGCGGGAGTGAAATGTAGCTTCAATCTTTTCACAAGCAGAACCGGCATTTGCTGTTAAGTTCGGCGAATGACGCGCTGTTCTGCATTCACCAAGAAGAGAATCGGTTGGAGAATTTGTTTGTGGAGAAGTCTCGATTGGAGCTGAATTGGAAGCCTAACTGCTTTGTTGTGGTTGGAGATGATGTGTTTCTGGGAGGAGTGTCTTCGGGGATTCTGAGAGCGAATGGTATTTTTAGAATGTTTTGTGTTTGTTGCTAGTAATCGAAATGTGTGTGTTTCTGAATGCTTCGGGGACAAATGAGTTACGGATTGATGGTGGTGAAATGAGATAGAACGACCAAATAACGATGTGAAGTGTAAATGATTGAGTGATTGATTGATTAAAATATGGGAATTAAAAGGAAATGATGGAAAAAACGTGTGTGAGTGATGGCTTCCAATGTTATGATTTCTTGATTATTCTTCATACACGCACAGACATTTGTTTTTCTGTTTTACAAACAGCCAAGTTACGTTATACTACATCCAGGATAAAAGGCTTTTCGGTAATGGGGAGCATGAGCTCTCAGATCGTTGCCATACACCCAAAACTTACAGGTTTTATCTTTCCATATTCCTTCGGCGCTTATGATTGGGATTACTTTTACAATTAATCGTTCTTGAAGCAGTTTATACGAGCTGTCTGCGATTTTCTATTCAATCATTGTTCGATCAATCTGGTGATACCTTATCTGCCTTCATCTCTAATATCTGGCATGCTTCTTGTACTCGAACGTCAACAATATTGCTCGGTGGGTGAATATCGATTCCTTCCTCCCTACATAAAACCATCCTGAAATCAACAACATAATCAACACTGATGATTCTGCTTCATCAAGAAGTTCATCAGGAATATTATCTCCATCAATAACCATGTAACTCTGTAGACTTTTAAAGTAAACAGCAATCTAGAGAATAAGCCTCTATGCAACTTACTTCCTGAAATTTGATTAAAAAGCCCCATCCAATGCATTTAGGACAAGTGATTCTACCACTACCATGACATCTAGAGCAAGTAGTAGTAGTTGTTCTATTCACTCAATAAAAATAAGGAAACAATACTTGTATCTGCGCGTTTTCGAATCATAAGATCTGTGTGTGACTCTTCCTCTGCCATTACAAGTTGGACATGTTATATTACCACTCCCATTGCATTTAGGACAAGTGACTTTTTGCTCTGTATGAGGCACAGGTAAAACATGACTCTCATCCTCAAACAATGGTGGTGGTGTAATTGGATACTCCCATAATTCTGGCACAGGGCCATATTCAGTATTATCGATCTGTAGCTCATTGAAATAAACTGCTTAACTACCACTCCACCAGTGTAGGTTCGAACGTTAGGATAACTTATACGCTCTTCCACGAAGATTTCCCAAGTGCAGTAATAGCAATCCCACATATTACTCTGATTAAGAAATCAATAAACCACGTACAATAGAGATATCCATTCCGTTCACAGCTCCCTTGCACCAGCAGGTATTGCTTCTAACCAATTCGGCAAGAGCTTCGCGCATGTTCCCAACGGTAACAGCATCCATGGAATACACACTTTCCTGAACATTAACCGATTCTATGTTTTCAATGCATAATGACATTACCTTGGTTAGTTGCTGAATCCACACTGCCCATAGGAATGGGGATAGGATTTACTTCACTTGAATCATACACAACTGGAATTTCAATATGGACAGATTCTTGACTCTCTTTTTTCTGCAAAGGATCTTGCATTTGTTGAACACTTGAAATCTTAGTATAATAATAAGATATGGCATGTACCGAATTAGGAGGCAAGGTTGAGATGTAATAAGGTTGATCGCGCAACTAATGATCAAAAGGAAGCTCTTTTAATACACCATAAGAACTTTGGCGATTAGAAATAAGAGGCGCCTATATATAAGTAATAAAAATGAGATTTAGCAACCGTCTCAGATTGAAGTAATGAGGAGTACGAAGGCTGTGGAATTGGCTTTATATATTCCTGCAAATGACAAAGAAATATAAAAAAGACTTGATTCATCTTAAAACGAGAAGACTAGTTGTATACTGTTGTTATAGCAATATATTAATAAGTATATGCAGAAAAATGATATTTAATAAAATAAACTTTTGGATTTTGTAAATCCAAAATGTGAACCGTATTCTTGGTATCAAATCAAAGAGGGTTTCTTTTTCTTCTATTTGTATGAATGTGTATTTGAAACATGGTGAGTGTTTTTATATCATAAAAGGTATTTAGATACGTAATACGAAATGCAGAACCATATAAATTATAGAAGTAGTAGTAGGAAAAGGAATCGTGGATTTGGATCATGGAAGTCGATTTGAAGGATTGATATTGACAGAAAAAGAAAAAGAAAACGAAAACGAAGGTAAAATAGGAATTCCATTTGGATATGGTGAAATGTATGATGATGATGGATTCTTGGTGTACAAGGGCATAATGATCAATTGGAAACGATTTGGATATGGAACGAATTATCATAATAATGGTTTGATTGAATATGAAGGATATTGGTGTGATGATAAGCGATTTGGAAGAGGAAAAGTGTATGATCGATATGGTAAATTAGTGAATGAATGTGAATGGTATAATGGAATTGAATGTGATATTGAATACGAAGGAGATGGAAGCAAGCCAATGAATATCGGAATCAAACATTTGAAACTGAGTAACAATTGTGTATTGGTTGATTGGGATGTTTCATTGTTGTATAATTTGGAATCAATCGAAATCGGCAATGAATGTTTTGGATCAGTAAATACATTCCAAATCGATGGATTGGATCGATTGAAAACTATCAAAACCGGAAGCAATTCATTTACCCACAAACAGAATGATTGTGGAAGTGATACATCGAAAAATATTCCACATATTGAATTGTGAATCATTGGAATCGATAGATATTGGTGAATATAGTTTCAGTGACTTTGGAGGCGACTTTGAATTGAAGAATCTACCACAATTACAGTCCATTCAAATTGGTGGAGGTGCACTAAGGAACACCTCATAGGAAAATGTAAATGCATTACGTTTATTGACAATGCTAAATTATAATAGAATGATTATATATGAATGCGTATGGATATTCCATATCTTACATCTATCAATTCCAAAGGATATTGTTTTCACTATTATCGTGTAGAAATATTAAAAAGTATTTAAGAATAATAAATATTGATCGTATTTAGATATACCAAATCTTCAAAATGTCAAGCTACCTCGTTTATTCGAAGAAGTGCGATCAAAATCAATTTCGAGTATTGTTTGATTGATTTGATTTGATTCATAGATGTTTCTTCCATCCTCGCTGATCTTATCCAAATTAATCCTGATTCCATCTTTAGCATGGATCTACAAATATCATTAGATTCAATTCAATAACAATTGTATGTTCAATGCATAATTGATTGTTTGTAAAGTCCAAATCCCTAATTATCTATTTTTGGTTTTTGATCTAATTTTCAATCACCGGTTGATGTTTGATCATCCTTATAACTCAAATTAGTATAGCTAGCATGTTTCATTCCCTTGAATATACGAATAGAAATGAATAAATAGATGTTTTGCGAAATGGAAAGGCCAAACTCAGGTAATCGAATATAGATAAGTGTTAAGCATTAGAAATGCAGTATTATTCGCAATCATTGGATGATGAACATTGTTATAAAGATTAATTAGCGAATGAACTGAATGATACTGTCTATTATCAGTAAATTAGTTACTTGTTTTATGTTTTCTAAAATAGAATTGAATGCAAAGGGTATACATTCTTTCTGTTTGATTTATGTGTATAATATGGTAGTATACAAATATGGATAATATTGACACTGCAAACAATAAAACTCCTGAGGAGTTGATATTCGAAACAAACAGTATAGTAATACTATTTTTTAGTAAAACTATTGATTAATTATGTTGTGGCATAGCGAATAGATGGAAATCATTCCTAGACTGAGAATAGGCAGTTTTTTTGTAGATCAATTCATTATGGATAGAACAAACCTCGATGTGAACACATTCACCATTACTGTCATCGAATCCAAGTATTTAAGAACAACATATATGTGCATATTGTTACTATCACATTTATATTTATATGTGAAAGGTTTAACACATAATCCTTCTTTTCAAACATTCATTCACAGTTGCTCATAGTTTAAGATCGAAATAGATTATTATAACAAATGCATTATTCTCTTTCATGAATTACTTAGCGATCCATATCAAACCATTGCTGGTTAATTACACAATGATGATTCAGATAAGATCAGCGAGAATGGGAGAAACATCTACGAATGAAATCAAATCCATCAAACGCTACTCGATATTGATTTCGATCGAACATTCCTGAATGAATCAGGTAGATTGACACTCTGAAGATTCGGAATATCTAAATACTATCAATATTCAATATTGAAAACTACTTTTTAATGTCACTGAACGGGGTTGATCGAAATTCCCTCCTCGAATACTTTTAATATCGTTTAATGCAGGCAGGTCTATGGATGACTTCGTAAGAACGCTGTATTATACTTCGCATTGTCAAACTGCATGATTCATCGTTACTTCTTCCACAGAGTGCCAATTCTCCAAGCACCAAATAGTCTAACAATGGAAGGTCTATATCAATCATTTCATTCATTTGATTTTATACTCTCGAAGACTGTTGTTAAAGATTCACCAAATACGCAGCTACCAAGTGCCAATAGACTCAGATTAGGGAGATCTATTCATTACATTTTCTATATCATATCAATACCTCGAATCACAAACGAACTATACAAGAAATTAAAAGATAAGATTCCAACTTCACCAATTTCAATAGAGTACAGTTTCGGCAGATTCTTCAATTCAAAGTCTCCAGCAAAATCACTGAAACTATATTCACCAATATGAATGGATTCCAATGATTCACAATTCAATATGTGGAAGGATTTCGTAATGTCATTGCCATAGCTAACCTTTTCCTGAGTAAATGAGTTTTTACCGATCTTCAGTTTTTTCAATCGGTTCAATCCATCAATTTTGAATGTTTTCACTGATGCAAAACAGTAGTTTCCAATTACGATCGATTCTACATGGGTGAACCGAGAAAGGTCAAAAGTAGTATAATCTGGGTCATTGCCAGTCCAGTCAGAAAGAACAATAGAAGTGATAGACGGATCGAGTTGCTGGAGATAATTGGAAGGTTTAAGTTTGGGAAATAAAGATTCGGAAACATCTAGAGTGTCAATGATACAAATTGTAATAATACTGTTGACAACTGGATGCACAACATTTTTGAAGGAATGGGGTAGTTTGACAAGTCGAACATTTGGAATATCTATACCAAATCAATACTATCTCAATAGTCGTTACTTTCAAGTGTAATAGAATAGGCAAAATAGAAGCTATATCCCTCCGAAGTGATTCTTAATAGTTTTGGAAGATCTACAACCCATCGTTTCCAGCCATGTCATTCATACTTCGCATTATCAATGAACATGATTTATCGTCTTTAATACCCTCAAATACGTCCCTGCAGACTTCTATAGATTTTAAGGAGGGAAGATCTATTCGAATATTATAGCCTTTACGATTCAATACTTTCAATAACTGTTGTACTAGACTTTACAAATCCAAAATCACCTATAACTATTTTTTGTAGATTTGGAAGATCTAATCATTACGCAGTAATGAACATATCAATACCTCGAATTATAAACGAACTACCCCAGAAATTGTATGATTCATTTATAGTTGAACCAATTTGAATGGATTGTAATTGTGGTAGATTCTTCAATTCAAAGTCGCCTCCAAAGTCACTGAAACTATATTCACCAATTTCTATCCATTCCAATGATTCACAATTCAATATGTGAAATGATTTAGACTTGATGCCTGCCCTATCATCATGCCACTGGTCAGTACTTTTCGCTTGAGTAAACGAGTCCGTTCCAATCTTCAAAGTTTTCAATCGATTCAATCCATCGATTTTGAATGTTTTCACTGATCCAAAACAATTATTACCAATTTCAATGGATTCTAAATCTGAAAGCCATGAAACATCCCAATCAACCAATACACATTTGTTAATCAGTTTCAAATGTTTGATTCCGATATTCAGTGGTTTGCTTCCATCGCCTTCATATTTTTCAGTAATATCACATTCAATACCATTATTCCATATGCATTCATTCACGAATTTACCATATCGATCATATACGATTCCCTTACCAAATCGATTATCATCACACCAATATCCTTCATATTCAATCAAACCATTATTATGATAACTCGTTCCATAGCCAAATCGTTTCCAATTGATCATTATGCCCTTGTACACCAATATTCCATCATCATCATACATTTCACCATATCCAAATGGAATTCCAATTTTACCTTGGTTTTCTTTTTCTGTCAATATCAAGCCTTCAAATCGACTTCCATGTTCCATATCCACTATTCCTTCTACTATGGATTCTTCATTATATAGAATACCACCGATTTGATGATTTCCCAACACTTTCAACACTTTCTCATCATTGACCACAAATCCTTGATTCATGAATACTCCATTATTTAGTTTGAATATTATAAACTCTCTGTTACTCAATATGAGTGAAATCCAGCCGTCTACTTTCATTTCTTTATTCACACATCCCTGCACGTTTTGGATGACAGAACTATCAACATAATAGTTCGCAAAAGAAGAATTTACAAAATTAGCACTGCTTTGCATCGAAATAAGAAATAATGTGAATTTGTTGGCATATTACAAATGATGTCTTTTTCCAATTTAATACATTTGTTTGTTTTGGATTATTTTGATTATAATAGCATTGCCTTTGTATGGAAAACACATGTAAGTAATGAACAGGGCTATTTCTGAATCTTGTGTTGACTGCTTTTTTTCTTGTTGCTCAAAAGATTCTAATTTAGATTTGTACTTTATTTCTTTATCAATACTTGCTTTTTTGTTATGTGTCAACATGGATAGTCTCGCTTTGCACTTGCTATTAGCTGTAAATAAAAGTTATCTTTTTTCCTATCATGTTATCTATCTTTATTGCTGTGTTTGGTTCATTTTTTTAATGTTTGTGCGTGTAGTACATAGACAGAATGACGCAAATCACTGTAGTCTCGTAATATTTTGCGAATAGAAGGTGGCTATACTGAATGTGCAATTCAGTAAACATGAGATCTACTACTTATCATCATTCCATCCATGTAAGGAGTGTATGTGCTAGAAGTCGTTAAGCAAAGCATTACCATTTTGATAGAATCATTGCTTCGTGACATTTCATAGTCATCCTTCTCTTTTTCTAGCATCCTACTACATGATTCATGAATTGAATGAGAACTGTTCTATCCTAAGAGCTGTGTGACTAATGTGCAGGTAGCACTGCTTGTTCCATTTTTGTTGAAACACAAGCTATCTAAGAGTTCTCTAACTAATTCCAGCAAAATACTGGTCTAGTTGTTGATCATTGAATAGAACTAGGTGTTCTAAAAGAAATAAACCGCTGGAGACTTTATAATAATCCTATTTCAATCACTTTCGCAAATATTCCTCACGGTTTTCTCTGCATTTCGAATTGTACACCAATAAGCCAAAAGCCGTTGATTTGTACTTTCAGATCAATGTGAATGATATTCGGTTGATTAAAAACGAAATATGTTTCTCCAATCTCATTACCCAAGAGTAGTTCTGTTTCTTCCATCCTAATAATCATTTTCCTCTGGTGATATTATCATCTTCAATATACCTTCTGAGTCTACTTCGCCCATTAACCTCATTCCTTGCAAATTGAGTTAATGTGTTTTTCGACATTACGAATTAAATTAATGTTCATTCCCATTGCTTATAATCATAAGATCAATAATAATTAATTGGTAAAATTGAATGAAAACTCCGCTGAGAATAGTTGTTCGTATTCACCACAAATCTATTTCATGAGCAACCGCGTCGGAAACTTTTTCTTAGGACAAGTATAGAAGCGTTTTCATTCCTTACGTCCAGTCGATCTCCCTCTCCATTGCCTGCACCAGCATTTTTACTCAATACCTGGCGAATCGCAATGTAGGCTTTTTGCAATCATTTAATATAGGTTTACCTTTCTTTTACCCAAAGCTGCGGTACTTACATTCTGCTCGCTTTCTTCCTCCTTTCTCGGTGCTTTGGAAAGAAAGAGGTCGGCTTTAAGGTATTTTTGTAATTCCCTTTCCATCTAGACCGCTTGGTGGAAATACCTGATCGTTTCCATTATTGACGCGACAGCTAACTGCCTCATTGTAAAGGCCTACGAGTACACGACCATTCTCAGCATCATGCTGTGCGATGCTATGTGTATTCCAGCCACAGTGGTGATTTCGCTCATCTTCCTCCATTCCAAATTCTCTCTTCGCCACTACCTCGCCGTCCTGCTCTGCCTCATCGGCCTCGCAGTCATGATCATCCACGACGCGAAGAACTCTTCGGGCACCCATCGCGTGATCGGCGATCTGATGGCTCTGAGCAGCGCCGTGCTCTACGCAGTGAGCAACGTCTGCCAAGAAGTCCTCGTCAAGCACAACGACTGGGTAGGCAGCGTCCCCTCCCTTCTCTCCAGAAAGAATTCCTCGGAATGCTCGGTCTGGGCGGCACCGTTTTCTCCCTTCTCTTCATCGTCCTCTTTGAGCGGAACTCGCTGATCGCCGTTCCCTGGGACGGCGTGTCGGTCGCGCTCCTCGCGGGATACGTCGTTTGTCTCTTCGCGATGTACGTGATAACCGCGGTACAGGAGAGTGCGGGGCGTGAGGAGTAGGTGTTCATGGAGAAGAACGACGCGGTGGTGTTCAATATGCACTTGCTGACTTCGGATGTAATCGCATCGGTGCTGACCTTCTTCCTCTTCGATGATGTATGTGCGATGGGGAGTGGTGAGAGATAGCCGCCTACGCTGGTGTACTTCATCGCGCTGGCGATCACGATCGTCGGAGTGGTGGTCTACAACTGGGAATTGCCGGAGAACGATCTGTCGAAACGTGGGGATTTTTGGAATTCCGTTATTTGTAGCGATTATGAAGCCGCAGGAGGAAAACCAGGAAACTCCGGCCAAGATGGTCTAACAAGAAACTGGGTTTCTTTGTCCTGAATAGGGAACTTCTTTGAACGAACGTGTTTGTTATATTTAATATGAGCAGTGAGGGTTCGGGGGCAAAAACGCAGCAGACGAGTTTGCAATCTGTGAAATTCTCATTTCCCTAGTTATTGCCGATATTCGAAAGCAGATTGTGGAAATCACTCTGGGAACTCGTATAATTCCGCGCTCGGTGATATTCTCGTAGGGAAGGCACCGCAGTCTGTTTTGAGCAAAGACCAGTCTTCCCTGCTCCAAGGGATTAACGCTGCTCCCGTTACACTTGAAGAGAAGAACTCTCTCCTTCGCTTTTTGTATTTTTCTACGGTATTTCTATAGAATGTGTTGCTATCTAGGTCGGGTTTTGTAGATGTCTCGAAAGTGACCTGGCAAAGGAGGTAAAAGTGCGCGGAGTGCTAGAGAAAGAGAACGAGAAACGTAATGAATCGTTATTATGTGGAAGGTAGTAAAAGCGCATGCTGCCAAAAGCAGTGAACTCGTGGCGTGCCTCCAGGAAGTGAACAGGAAGCAGGAGCAACAAATCGAATATATCACTGTCAAAGAGAAAGATCAGTTGATGGAGGAAAAACGACTGAGGTACTACCACTAGCGACCCTCCTCACTTTCAGAGAAGGCATAATCGTACAGTTTATGCAGTCTCTGGACGACTTGAATAAGCGTGTTGAAGAGAACACGAAAGCGAATCAGGTGTTATTAGAAGAAAATCAAACGCTGCGTACAGACTTCCGTGAGCGAGTCGCCAAATATCAGGAGCAGGCTGAACTGAGCAAAGAGTTGATTGATAAACTTACAGAGGCGAATGTGGATTGCTTCGTTTTCTCTTCAGACTCTAGACAAGCTACGAAGAGCGTCTTCAAGAGATGGCAGTCTTGCTTCGCCAAGCCAACGCCAAAATTATGGAGGGAGAAGAAGCGAAGAAAACGATCGCCGAGTACCAGGAACTTGTAAAGAAACAGGAAGAAGTGATTGCGAGCACAAAGGAAAACAGGGAAAATGTTGGACAGGGGACGTTTGTGTGATGTAGTTAAGCAATTTGGTGAAACGCTATGAGACGGTTCTAAAAGAACGAAATGCAGAGATTAAAGCGAAAAACAAGGAAATTTCCGAGTTGCAAAATGAAGTAGGGAGTGAGGATTGTGGTGGAGAGTAGATGTCGAAAATGAAAAAGGAATGTGCAAGGCTCAAGGAGCAGTCGAGAAGATTAGAAGCTCTCTGCCGTTATTTGCAGGTTTTCGTTGTTTTCGTGTTTTAGGTGATAGGAGAAACAAGATTCGGATTTTGATCCTATGTTGTAGTTTGTTTGTTTGTTGGACATTGAACCTTTTAACTTCAAACAAGTTTTCAAAATGATTATTCTATTTTTAATTCTGCTGTACTTTGTTGCTTTAGCCAAAGATTCTTGCGCTATTAATAACCCCGTTCCTTGTGGATTTGAAGGTGTGTTATCTGTTTCTCGTGTGTTTCTAGGCATTTCCAGCGAGATGTGTGTTGACAGAGGATGTTGCTTCAAAGAGGGAGCAAGTCCGAGCTGTTTTTATCCAAATATGGGAATGGCGGAGATTACGAAGGTTCACGTTATCCACGGCTGTCATTTTGATGCCGGATTTGTCGATACCACGGTGAACATTGTAAACAGATACTTTGACGAGATTTATCCTCGCATATTTTCAGTTTGTGTTTTTCGATTGATATTGAAATATAGGAGGGGACAAAATATGAAAAAATGGGATCAAATGTGCAGATGAAGTTCACGACCCAATCTTGGCTTATTAGTTTGTTTTATGATTGTCCCCAAGGTCTTGGAATTCATTGTCCTTCACAAGTATTTTATTTGTGGATTTCCGAAGCGTAGGATGCTTTAAAGCAAATGGATCAATGTATCGATAAGGATTGGATTACTTGGCATGCTTTTCCCTTCGTCTCGCAGCTAGAAATCCTGGACGAGTCCTTCCTTTTGATTCCTTCAATCCCAGATCTTCGATATCCTTCGGCATTAAGCTCTCCAACGATTTAAAGCGTCGGTTTAATAAAACGGAATCCCATTTCATCAGCCAAAACGACGTTTTCTTTTCTCTTTCTCTTCTCTCGTAGGTTCCAGGAACGACCGCCGCCGCGATTCCGATTCTCAAGAAGAACGGTATTTTGGCTTTCCATATCCCATCGATTTTTGAATTGAATGAATTGAATGAATTGAATTGAATTGAATGAATTGAATGAATGAATGTCTTTTTATCCAAACGAATTGAAACGTCCTTCACTGCACGGCAAGGCGTTAATGGGGTCAGCCAGCCTCCCAATGTACCCAATATCTACCGATGGCGCGACCCAGCGAGCGGCGAAGAGATCCTCAATCTCAATCATCGCAACGGCTACGGCGGATGGAGTTCGCTCGACGTATCGCAGCTCATTTCTCTCGACACATAGGATCTCGTGATCATCCCCGGATACTCCGAAGCGATGTTAGTCGCGTTTAACGGCGACAATCAAGGCTCCTATCAGCCCGGCTGGCTGCAAACCATCTTCAACGCCGCGCAGGATTTCTTCCCCAAAGCCGAAGTCGTCGCTTCGACGTTCGACGCCTTCATTGAACCTGCTGCACGCTACGTGGAGGCCAATCCCGACTCGCTCCCGCTGTTAGAAATGGAGATTGGAGACACGTGGGTGCATGGATGCGCGTCGGACCCTAAGAAACTCGCAATGATGCGAGTCATCGAGAGAGAACGAACCGATTGTGAAGCCAGCGGCGCGTGCGATGAAGAGGATCCACGTTACTACGATTTCAGCAGGCTGTTTTTGTTTAATGGAGAGCACACGTGGGGCGCCGATACGAAAATGTTCCTGCACGACACGGAGAATTGGACCAACGTGCGAGATGGAAAGCGAAGTCAAGCGTAGGAAGCGTTTCATCGATGCTTGGAAGAGAAAAAAGCGAACTTTATGGCAACCGTGGAAACGTGGAAGGAGCAGCGAACCTGGGGATTCGACGCACCGCTGGCCGCTTTGAAAGACCACCCGCTCAAAGAGCAAATCGAGTCCGAGCTGGCCTTGCTGGCTCCGTCCGTTCCTCCCCTCGACGAGTTCGAAAAGCTGGAATCGGTGGAGAACGTGGAGTTCGGCGAGTTCATTGTGAGCATTTCCGAGCGAACGGGGGCGCTGGTTCGACTGTTCGATTCGATCACCGAGCGGGAATGGTGCGACGAGAAGCATTCGATCGGGTCTCTGCAGTATTCGGTGTACAATTCGAGCGATTATGACGCGTGGGAGGATGGAGAGTGGTGTGACGCGTAGCTTCATGAAGGAGTATTTCATTGAGTGGAACGAATGGGGGCCGCAGGACTTCGGAAAGCCGAATTTGGAGAAGGTGCATTCGCTCAGCACCGCGGTACCAATCTCGTTGTAGACCTGAATCGAAGGTGTTGAGTCGGTATAAGGAAAGCTTTCTGCGCGTGCAGGACAACGAAACCACGCTCGTCGTTGTGATGGAGTTCGATAAACTGTTTCATTCGCTGTATGGCGCGCCGGAATCGATCTACGCGATCTACAAAACCAGTAACGACTCGCATTCTATTTCTTTCGAAACCATCGTACGCGTTTTGTCCGCTTTTTCTCATCGCTAGCTCCTCAATAAAACCGCGACGCGCATTCCCGAGTCGTTGTTCACGTCGTTCAACGTGATTCCCGCGGTAAACGACACCGATCGAAGCGGATGGAAGATGAACAAGCTCGGAGAGAACCTCCAGATGAACCAGCTGCACATGCAAAAAACCAGAGGAAACGCGCACCAGCACGGTGTTCTGGACGGGTTTTCGTATGCCTTCGGAGAGCATGAGCTCTTGGTGCGGTCGCTCGATGCGGGGATTGTGGTGGTGGGGAAACCGACGGGGTTCCCCTGCCCGTTTGATGAACCGGATTTGGAGAAGGGAGTGAGCACGATGCTGGTGAACAATCTTTGGGGAGTGAACTATGTGATGTGGTATCCGTTCGAGAAGCAGGATGCGGACATGGTTTTCCGGTATGTTATAGAGAGTAGTTAACTTTGGTATTGTTTGTTTCACACTTTGTCTAGTCCGGATGGAAACGGCTAGTAACACGTCCGAAAGTGGCAATCCGGTTGAAAAGGAAGCAAAAGCCGCAGAAGAACAAATCGAAACAGAAGCTCCTCCTACAAAGGAGGAAAATACAGAGATCGAGAGTAAAAAGGATGTAAAGGAAGAAAAGGAAACCAAAACCGAAGAAACTGCCTCCAAGAAGAAAAAGAGCCGAAAGAAGAAGAATAAGAAGAAGATCATTATCACAGAAGAAGACTTTGGTCCTGAAGTGGATTTCACAAAGAAAGAAGGTTTCGTATATGATCCTCAAATAGCAGAATTCGGGATCGATGAAGTCCAACTTAAAAAGCGCCCCTGGCTTATCCAAGACGTGCGCAGCGTGCTCTATCTTCGTCGACTAGGCATTGATTCGATTCAGTTATGATTTCTAGAGCGGCGACACAATAAATTGGTTCATGGACTTGCATCGGTGCGAAAACTCACCCCGAAACAAATCCTGAAAGAAGAGAGTTTGAATTGAAGGAATGATTTCATTTTTAGTCAGAGAAATAACCAAGTATAATGAAGACATGCGAGAAGAAAAGCAGCGAGAAAACATGAGGAATGGGGATTATGAATATGTGGATAACGACATCCATTTCATGCCGGAAAACTTACCAGAGTTAGAACTTGAGTTAATTGAACATGAGGACGAAATAGACTTATTTGTTTGTTTTCCAAACGTAGCACTCTTTGATGGAGGACAAGAGCCAGCCAGAGAGGGATATGTATGCACAGAATAGTCCCAAGTATGCCCTAGACAAGAACCTCCTCCAGGAACCGATCTTCATGAGGGAGCCTATTGTTGGAAGTGTAAAGGTACAGGGGAGTTGTACGAATTCTTTTAAAGGAGTGATTGTGTAGAGTTCAAAGAAAGAAGCGCGTTACATGCCCTGTTTGCTCGGGAAGCAAAATTATAAAGAGTGAGAAACGAATGCGCCTATTTAATCAGCCTGGAGTAATAATGCCTGATCGAAGGTTTGTTTTTCAGTTTCTTTTCTTTTCATTTAGATGGCCAGAGGGATGTGAGATTCCAGGTCCAGACTGTGCTTCCGATCTGTCCTCTCCCGACTTACAACCAAAGAAGGGCGAGGTTTTCTTGTCTATATCTACCTCATCCACTCTAGGCAATCTGTTCTCTCGTCGGAAAGTGGAAAATCTTCCAAAAACAAGGTGGTCACCGATTCAGCACAGATGACGTCACAACTGCCTGGGTCGCCTCCAACGTCATCCAAAAGCTTCGCAGCGACGGTCACTCCGTCACCCGTCATTTAGATCTTGGCTGTGGACTTGGCTCCGTCTTGATGATGGTCGGTTGGCGTTTCCCCGATCTCCAATCCGCGGGAATCGAAGCCCAACGAATCAGCTACGAGCTCGCGAGCCGTTCTCTTCGCTACAATGGCGTTTCCGATCGAATGAAACTCTATCATGGCGATCTCCGAAATCGGGACATTCTTCCTGCAAAGTCCCAATTCGACATCATAACTGGGACACCTCCCTATTTTAAGGCGGGAGAAGGCGCGCTGTCGTCGAAAGTGGATCAAAAAGCGTGTTTGTTTGAATTCCGAGGTGGAGTGGAGGACTATGTCGAAGCAGCCCATGGTTATTTAGCGGATGGAGGGCATTTTGTGGTGGTGGAGAGCGCGCTGGGGAAGGAGAGGTTCGATCAGGCCGCGTGGATGCATCGTAGGAGAAGGGGGAGTGTGATGAGTAGACATGCAGATCGTGGAGAGGTGGGACTTCGTGCCAAAAGAAGGAAAGCCGCCACTGTTTTCGATTGCTGATATGATCAAGAGAGAAGGAGAGGAGATGAAAAAGTATGAGGTGAAGACGGTCGTAATTCGCGATAAAGATGGAAATTACACTCCCGAATATCAGAAACTGCTTGTAGAAATGGGATTTCCTCCTCGAAGCGAGATTTAGTTTTTTATTTGTTAAATACACGAATGGATTGTATCCCCGAACATCTACTGAAGAGCAATAGGATCCAGAAGCTCTTGAAGCAGATTCGGGAGGAGGTAAGTGGATGAGGTAGATGTACAACATAGAGCCAATCCGATGTAATGATAGATTGTATAGAGTGTGGAGGTAACATTCGAAATGCAAAATTATGGAGATAGAGGAATGTCAGCGATTAAAAGGTTTTCTCTCAATATCTCCGCTTAAAATCACGATTTGCACAGATCATGTCGAAGGGGAAGCAGAGATGGGAACAGTAGTGGCTCACGAGTTGGCGCATCTGCTTGACTATCTGCGCGGAAACAAGATGGAAACGAGAGAGCAACTCCTTTGCTCGTAGATCCTATGGTAGCGGTATCAAATAGTGAGCTACATGCAGCCTATTACGGGGAATGCTATCAAGCCATGTCATTTACACGAAAGTCGTGCATCAAAAGGGTAGCCGTGAATAACACAGAAGTGACCGATTTCTGCGCATTCTCACTTCTAGAGTCGCTTTAACACAAAAGGAATGGATATCGAAAAGGTATACAAAGAATGTATGCAGCATTACTCTTGAACGGCTGTTTCCAACAAACATAATACGAGTCGATTTCGATGTTATCAAAGACAGCCTCGAATCCTCCTTCCTTTGGACTACAAGCGTAGATTCCCACATGGAACACCGTATCCAATGGCAACTCCAGTCTGGAAATGCGCAGCTGTTGCCACTTCTCAGCTCCGTACTCTCTGCAGTAAATCTCGAAGTCCTGCTTCACATGCTTGATCATGAACTCCATGTCGACCTCCTTCTTAGTGAAAGGCTGTGTAGCCCAGTCGGAATAACCCAGATTGGTGACTACAGATCCCAGATTGTAAGGCGCGTCAGGTTCATGCTCAACCGAGCACTTAACCCAAAAATCCTCCGTGAAGTACACAACCAATCCAGCCTGATCAAACTGGTGATTGGGATGATACTTCACATGGGTTTTCAACACAAAATCGCCCGATCGGTCCGTCCACAAGCAGTGTCCGTTGTTGTTGCGGAATCCGTAGTGTGTGCGTTGCCAAAAATCACTTCCGGAATCTGGAACAATGATAATCTTGTCACCCTCTACACGATGTTTCGATGGCTCACAAAACCAAGAGAAATCCTCTGGAATCGCTCCATTCACTTGAATCACAGGCATCCTAACAGAAATAATTAAAAAATGGTACCCGAATTCTAAAATTCTTTTCATCGATTTGATATGAGCGATATAACGTTGATTAAGGAAAAAGCCGAAGAGTACATTCAGTGGGATCCTGTTGAGAGCACGCGAGAAGAAATCCGTAAGTTGCTAACAGAAGAAAAATGGGACGAATTGCGCAATCTTATTCTCAATCGTCTTGCTTTTGGAACGGCAGGTAGATGCTAGTTTCTTGGGAAGATACGTAGGTTTGAGAGGAAGAATGGGAGCTGGCTATTGCCGAATGAATGATCTGGTGGTTCTCCAGACTGCGCAAGTATAGAATCGGGACCGCATTCAGCGTTTAGGGAATTTGCGAATACATTCTCTCTGTTTTCGGAGAAGATGCGAAAAAGCGTGGAATTGTGATAGGGTCTGCGCAGTTTTTTTAGTGTTAATGCTAGATACGACCATCGCCGTTTGGGTGATCTTTCCTCGAAGTCCTTTTTTGATATTTCCGTAAAGGTCTTCAACCAAAAAGGCATTCCTGTGTACGGTTTCAATCAGTTTTCCTTTACTCCCCTGGTGGTATCTGTTTTGCTATTTCTCTCGATTCCAGCCTTTCAGCATTTCAGCCTATCACTGCTGTGCAGGCATCATGATCACCGCTTCCCACAACCCCGCAGCCGACAACGGCTACAAGATTTACTGGGAAAACGGCTGCCAGATCATTTCTCCCCACGACGCCGGTATTTCCCAGCAAATTGCGGCAAATCTCAAGCCCTGGTGCGACTACGCCGCTCTCCACATGGTGGAATTCGTGGATGTGACCGAAGACGCCATTGCCAAGTACATGGCCTACACCACGCTGAAACTCCACACCAACTCCAACGCCCTCAACGAAGTAGAATCCCCGCGGGAGTCCTCCGTAGACCTGCCCCGCGATTCTCTACACGGCCATGCACGGCGTGGGCTACCGCTTTGTGAAGCAGCTGCTGGACCACTTCCATATTCCGCCGTGCGCGGTCGTGGAAGCGCAGATCGACCCGGACCCCACGTTCCCGACCGTTTCCTTCCCCAACCCCGAGGAAAAAGGCGTAGAAGAACCGCGGGGATTTCATCTAGGCATTGGATCTGGCGCTGAGAACGGCGGAGTCCCGCGGGTTGCGGTATGTGATGGCGACGGACCCGGACGCGGACCGATTCATCTGTGCGGAGCGATTGGAGGAGGGCGTAGGGGAGGGCAGGGAGTGCGAAGTAGTGGCATGTGTTCAAGGGGGACGAGATCGGGGCTGTGTTCGGGTTTTACATGTGCAGCCACAGCAAAGCGGAGAAGAAATGCATGGTGAATAGCGTGGTGAGCTCGAGACTGCTGCTGAAGATCGCAGAACGGTTCGGAGCGCATTGCGAGCAGACGCTGACGGGGTTTAAGTGGATGGGAAACAAGCAGGAGGAGCTGGAGAAGGCGGGGTTCGAACCGATGGTGACGTACGAGGAAGCGATTGGTTACGCTGTGGGCGGAGCGTTGCGCGATAAGGACGGAGTGTCGGCGATGGCGAAGATGAGCGAGATTGTAGCGGAGCTGCATGCGGAGAACCGGACATTGTTCGGGTTTTTGCAGGAAATGTGGGGGGAGGAAGCGAATTGAGAGTAGATATGCGAAGTGCGGGTTCTTTACGACGCGCAACAGTTATGTGATTTCGAATGACAAGGCGTACACCAATCACATTTTCGAACGATTGCGGAACGATGGCAAGTACCAATTCAAGTTCGGGGAGTTCCAGATCGCTTCGATCCGCGATTTGACCGTCGGTTATGACTCGAAGCGAGGCTTCGATGGGTTCAAGCCGAGCCTTCCGGTGGATCCATCGAGCCATATGATCACGTATGAGTTCGTGAATGGCGCGTGTTTGACGCTGCGAACGAGCGGGACCGAGCCGAAGATCAAGTATTATCTGGAAGTGACGCATGCGGAGAAGGAGGAATGCGAGAGTAGGCGGAGGGAGAGCGATGAGAGGTAGAACTGGGCGATCGGATGGAGAAGGCGATCGTGAGTGCAGCGTTTGGCGAGCAGTCGAGTGTTTGTTACAAACAATCAAAGTGTGAAACTCGTACAAAAGAGAGAAATGCTGCTGCAACGCGCTGATGGCGCCGTACTTCCTAGACATCAACGCGGAACGCGGAAACAACGTGAACTCTTCGCGGTAGAAGTGGATCCACACCGCCAATCCGTGTGTCTGCAGCTGCTCGGAGAGAGAAAGAAGCTGGGCGTAGCTCGGACACGACGCACTTTCTTGATAGAGATAGGGAGTTGCGTGGAAGCAGAAGCGAATCGAATGACTTTATGGGAAGCAAAGCCGTGACACAAACCGGTAGAGATGCAGACACGCCAGCGCCGATTCGGAGAGAACGGGGAAACAGAGGTGGTTGCCGCCATTTCCACAGTCCAGCCAGTGAACTTCGCGACAGCGAAGGAGGACCGAATCGGAGTAGAGGGAGGTGCCAAGCTCGGTTAGGAGCTGGTTGAGAACGAGCGCTCCGCGAGAAAATCCGATCAAGATTAGGGGAAGATTGACTACATCGCTGCCTGGGGGTGAATTCATGGAAGAGTTGCTACACAAATAGTCTTCGAGTAAAATAAACAAATTGTGAGCCGCCTCTCCGTGGGGATTGACTAGGGAAGAGACAAGAGACAAGATTACAGTATGTTACATTTCCGTGTTCATCACAGTCTAAATAAGTTTCATACAAGCTGATATCGTCGGACTTCATGGATGGGCGAACAATGAATATACTACATTACTACCACGGAACGATCGTACTTTGAATGGGGATACTTTGAGTGTAAAATCTGGAGCGTTTCTTCATAACTAAACTCCTTAAATTCTTTGCCTAGGCTGGATTGCACCCTGCGCATTATCAATCCACTCCAAAGACCAACATATTTGCTTCTGCATCCTGGATATCTCCTGGGAAGAAGATCAGTGCAGATTGTGGGCAGCGAACTTTAAACGAGTAGACCTCATTGCCGTAGCAGCAGGTATAACTCGCAGAATCCATCCGGATCAGTCCTGGATGTCGCTGCATAGTTCTTATGACTAAAAGAAAAGCAGGCTTAAGATATCAAGTTGGGAATTAGCTTTCTTTAAAATGTCCTCCGTTCCCATTCTTTGCACTCGCTGTTTGAAGCTGAAGGACCGGAAAGAGTATTCAAAGGCTCAACTAAAAAAGAAGTCGGGACATGTTTGCCTCTCCTGCGCGATGAATGCTGCGCAGAATTCGAGCGTAGAGAAAGCAAAGGAGAAGGTGGTACTGCCTGCAGAAAAGCCCCTTCCTTCTCGTTTGTTCAAGCCCTTATCTGGACCCGAGGGAGACAAAGCGGATAAGATGACCTGTCTAACGATGCATCAGCCTTGGGCATCCTTGTTGGTGTACGGGATTAAGCGTGCTGAGGGGCGAGGATGGAATACTGATTTTCGGGGCCGATTGTGGATCCATGCTGGTATCACTTTGTGGAACTGAATAATAATTAGCTGCGAAACAGCCAACACCTGACCAAATTGCAGCGTGTGAAGCAAATTACCGGGAAATCTATAGACAGGAGGGTGAAGGTATCGAAGTGGAGTTCCCAAAGCACTACCCCACAAGTGCTTTGATAGGGTATGTCGATGTAGTTGATGTGCTCCCAAACAATCAACTTCGCGAGTGCAACATTCCCGATACTGTACGTTCTTTGTTGGCAGCGTGTGATGGGTAGGTCGCCCAGGAGGAATGTGGCTCTCCGTTTGTGTTTTTATGTCAGAATTATCACGTCGTTTTTTCTTTTTTGCTAGATTTGTAGAGGCTGGTTCTCCCGTTTTCTCTTTCAGGGGAGCATAAGCTGTGGAAGATGAATCCTCGCGTAGGGATTGTGCGTGTGGCTGAAGCGTAGGATTGTAAAATAAGCAAGAATATCGTCAAGGAAAGCGTGAGTCCGTATCCGATCGATTTTTATAGCATTATGGAAGAGTATTATCGAACGCATTGTATTGTTTGTTGAATAGTAAGTGCGTGTGAATGTGGATGTGAATGTGAAAATACGAGAACAAAAAATAAACGAAAGAATGGGTAGTGATTGAGTGAAGGCATTCAGGAGGAGCAATACGTTTTCTATTTGATCATACAGTGAAGACTCGAAAAATAGTAATAATAATATAGAATTGAAAAACTCATTACATCCTAATCCCAATTCAACCCTCCATTACCTTTCCAACAAACAATTTCTAAACTAAAACCATCATTTCATCCCCTTATATCGCTTGTAGATCAAATCCAGATCGAAGTACCTCCGCCCGGTAATCATCGCGTTCTCCTCCAAGCTCGTGCAATGCGACAGCGCCTTCATCGCCGCCTGCGTCACCGAGAACGGATTCGTATTTCCATACACTTTACAGATCGCATCCTGCACTCCGAGACTGGTGAGCAGTCCATACATCAAATCGCTCCCCGTGATTCCGTGCCCTTTCTTCGCTACCTCACACTCCCCGCCCAGCAGCCCTACCCGGCAGAATCTTCACCGTCGTCTGGTTGAACTTCCCGACCAGCGGCGAGAACAGTGTTCTATCCTCGAACAGCTCCACAAAGATTCGGTTTCGCGCCGACTGCGCGTCCGCCGCCACCACCGCGTCGGGTCCTTTCTCCTCCCTCGCGTAGCCCACGGCCAGCCCGCCCGTCTCCGTGCCATTGCAGACCAGCGCGGAGGCGAGGCGCCGCGTCATGTTCGCCATCTTCTTGTCCACGTTCCGCACTTTGATCGTGAACCCCATGTCGAACGCGCGCTACGCTTCACGCCGCCCTCCCTCGCCTACCGTCGCGGGGGTTTCCTCCTCTTCTTCGCCCGCGCGGTAGTTCTGGATCAGCTGCCCTGCCGGTCAACCCATCGGTCAAACCAAACGAAGATTGTCAACGTCGAAGCTACCCGCCAAATCCTCGATTTCCACCGTTTCCACCGCCTCCGACGACTCCTTCTCGGTTTCCTCGTTTCCACCTTTGCATTTGGCGGCAAACGCGTCCGCGCTCGCCTTCTTCACCGCCGCCCATTTCGCCAGATCGTCCGACAGGCGTTTCGCTTCGCTTCGCCGCTGCCGCAGCCGATGTAACTCCCCTTCCCGCTCCATCCGCTTCGAAACTTCCTGGGCGTTTCGCTCCGAAACCGCCTGGATCGCGCTCGACTCGCTCTCCACCAGTTTTGCCGCCAATTTGGCCGCGCGAAGACTCAGCGACGCGGTTCGCTCCGTCGCACGCGCCGCTTCGCGATTGGCCGCGGTTATCTCCGCCCGCGTGGCCGACCCGTTCTGCGCGACGCTTTCCGCGGTTTTCACGGCCCAATCGGAGACGTCGGAGGCCTGGATCGCCGCCGAAAGAACCCGCGAAAACGCGATTTTGTCTCCGGAAACCTCCTTTTTCAGCCGCTCCAGCGACCGTTCCGTCTGCCTGTGCATCAAAACCGCATGCTCCAGGCGTTTCGTCGCACTACGCAGCGCCGTTTCCGCGGTTTTCAGCGCCTCTTCGGCCTTGGCGCGCTCTGCTTCGCCTGCTTCGCCTGCTTCGCGTTTGACTTGACCCGCTCTGCGCTGCGCGTCCTCGACGACGCTGCGAGCCTCGACGATTTTTCGCTGCGCGTCCTCGACGGCGATTTTGGCGGCTTGCAGCGCGGCTTCTTTGCGCGGCAAAAGTGCTTCGTAGTCCACGCGCTCCGCCGCGCGTTTCGCCCGTTTCTCCAGTCGCTCGGCGAGGGACGGCGGGTTGGCGGCAAGCTGCTTCGCCAGCTGGGCGGCGGCGCGGTCCGTGGCGCGAAGAAGCCCGCGCACGATGCGCTTCGCGTCGTCGACGGTCATCGAATCGACCGCGCGCGGCTGGAATTCCACGCGGAACACGTCGTGCGCCGCGTCCGCCGCCTCGGAAATGCCCATCTCCACCACCGGACGGAATTTCTCGAGGGTACTGGACAGAACCGAGCGCGCGGAGGCGGGTTCCGCGGTTTTTTCAGGTTCTGAAGGTTCCACGGTTTTTTCAGGTTCTGAAGGTTCCGCGGGGGAGGAGGAGGAGAGGAGGAGCGGCTGGAGGAGCTCGGTGGCGCGGTGGAGGATGCGGGGATCGAGGTTCTGGACGAGACGAGGGTCCGGACCCAGCTCGCTGGAGAAGTTGGCGATGGCATCGGGCGATGCTTCCTCGTCCTCGCTGGGGTCGTACGTGGAGCCGGAGAGCGCGTAGTTCTTCCAGTCGTTGTAGCTCTGTGGGTGAAGGAAAGCGAATGGAGAGACCCAGACGTCCACGGAATGGTCGGCTGGGATGTCGCGAGGACGCGTTACAGGGGCTAACGGAAAGAGGTCTGTATCCCAGATCTCCGGTAGATTCATCTTTTTGGAGAACAACTAGCGATTACACGAACGACGCGCTCTTACGAACTCCATTCGCTTGGTGGGAGGAAGCTTCTTCACGCAGCGTCTCTAGAAATTACTTTTGCCGAAAAAGAACTACGTAATAGTCTTGAAGCTTTGTAGCGATCGATGGATCGTCTTGGATCTGCTTGGGCAGCCAGTTCATCGGTTGGTAGCGATACTAGACATAAATCGAGACGAAAAGAGCGCACAGGCGAGCTTTCCAGCGCCGCTTCCTCTAACTCTTCAACCGCTTCTTCTTCCATCACTTCATAGTATTCGTCATCCACCAAGTCATCCGTATCGTCATAAGGATACTCCGGTCTTTGGATGGAAACAATAGACCGCATCGGCACTTTGAACAACCGAAAGACCGAGCCTAGTCCTCGATTGGTAACTCTAACAGCGGTTCTTAATCCAAACATTTTGATTGTGAAAGTAGATGGGAATCAACACTTCGTTTCCTCTTCAACATATACAACCCAATTAAATGATTAAAACATTTCATTCAATGCCATGTTTCGAACAAACAATACACTCCACATGCTCAAGACGATCGAATCGTTTAAAGATCCTTGGTAAGGACGTTGAGAGCCTCATCAGACTCACCCTACACATTACTCCGACCCAGCACAAATTACCTTAGAGCGGATGTATCCACCGAGGGAGATGGTCTTCACCTGTCCAGTGGCAATTCCGGTCTCAGGGTCAATGACAGCAAGGTTAATCTAGCAATGAATCAAACCACGAGTCAATCACCATGACGGAAGCGTGGTCCTTAGCATCAATGACACGGTTGGTCCAGTCGCTGTAAATTAGGCGCAGAGTACAAGACCTTACCATCTGCGAGGAATGTAAAGTTCAACGTTCTGTCCCTTATCGTTTTGCATGGTATTCTCTATGTGGAATAAAGACTCTGTGGAGAAAACGAGAGAGAATGGTACACGGCGGAATGTGGATAGACAATTTATATAGCTCAAAATACTAGGACATCACGAAATCGGGGATATTGAGTCCATGAAACTCCCTAAAACATCACTCAGATCTCTCTATCTAGGGCATATTTTAGATTGATACAGACAGAAACGCAGAGATCCCTGCACAGGCTCAGCATCGGTACCGTTATTATTAAAAATCCTGTGTACACATCAAACTTGGATAACTGGTGAAACGCCGTATTGTGTTCTTATCCGCATAATTATCTTAATGAAATGTCGGTGTCTAGGCCTAGGTAAACAAAATACCCCTTAATCCAGAAGAAATACATTACAATAGTAGTATGCAGATCCATAATAGGGGCAATATCCTTTATTATTCGAATTGGGTCTTGTCCTGATTATCCCTTTTTCATGTCTTCAGATCAATATTCATATAGATATAATTACCATGGCTGCTAACAAGAAGAACTTTGATATGCAGATTAAGTTGCTTATGATTGGAGACTCTGGTAGGTGTGTTTCCTGAATCTGGTGTGTTCTCTCACAATCCCCTAGGTGTCGGTAAGACCTGTCTTCTGATGCAGTATGCTTCAAAAACGTTCATCAAGACTTTCATTACTACCATCGGTATCGATTTCAAGATCAAGACCGTTAACGTTCTTGGAAAGACTGTGAAGCTCCAGGTTCATTCTGTGACTCAGGATTGACCTGTTAGATTTGGGATACAGCTGGTCAGGAGCGTTTCCGCACCATTACGACCTCCTATGTGAGAGGATCAGAGGGTATCCTTCTGGTCTACGATGTGACCGACCGAAACTCTTTTGAGAGCATTTCTTCTTGGATGGAACAGATTTCCCAGGTTTGTGTTTCTGCTGTCATATCACGTTCCAGCACGCTGATTCTAGTGTCAATAAGATTCTGATCGGTAATAAATGCGATCTTGAGGCCCAGAGAGTAATCGTGCCATTTCGCTGTTAGTTCTAGGCCGTGTCCACTGAAGAGGGTAGAAAGCTGGCAGAGAGATTCGGAATTCCCTTCGCGGAGACCTCTGCTCAGACCAACCAGAATGTCGATGAGGCTTTCATGACTCTGGCGGAGGCTGTCGTGAAGCGTAAGAACGATGAAGCCGGATCCCTCGAATATAAGACCGAGAAGGCCGAAACTGTGAAGATCTCCAATGCTGGAAAGAAGGAGGGAAAGAAGGGAGGCTGCTGTAAGTAATGGCTAAGCGTATTTGATTTGCGTTCCGGTGTGTTTGTTGGAGAAAGAAGGGAGAAGGAATAGTGTATCATCATCATCATAGAAGAGAGGCTAAGTTGGGATTCGGTGTAAACGATGGTAGAAAAAAGGGAAATTTGCTGTTTAGTATATTGTTGGTTGAATGAAGGCACTACAATGAAAGTACCTGTAATACAATCTTTTAAGGCAAGCGGTAGTATCCACATATGGATTAGCTAGTATTTTGTGCAAAGAATTACTTGCAAAATCAAATGGAAATCAACACAGAAGTCATACGGATTTGGCAATGGAAATCTTACTTTTTAACAATGGCTGTATCTGTTCCTCATACGAAACTTGGTGAATTTGACGTGAGAATAGAGGGAAAGGCTAAGGTTCTAGGTTTCAACCCTCACACTGGGTACATGGCAATTCGGAGATACGATGCTGTATGTCAAGCAGGTATTGTGTTTGAGGTGCCGATTTTATATAGACTCCGGAGATTGAAGCAAAAATCGTTAAGAATGCTTTTGAGGGTAGGATCTAAGGGGTATTTTCAGATTTAGTCGGTATCAACTTTTTTGATACTGCTGAAGCATACAACAATGGGGGTTGGACATGCCTTTTTAGCATCATGTTTAGTTGCCGAGCAAGCTTTGGGCAACGCGCTGAAAGCCTCCGGCAGAGAACGGGATGAATACGTTCTCGCAACCAAGGCCAACGGAGATTGCCTGATCCCTGAGAATCTCCGCGCCACTTTCAAGCGCTCTCTGGAGAACCTCCAAACCGACCACATCGACATCCTTCAGATCCACTGGCCGAACGACGCCGTGCCTCCCTCTATGTACATGCCGGTGATCCAAGAGTTCATCGAGGAAGGCTCTCTGCGCGCCGTCGGAATCTCGAATCACGGTTGCCAAGACATGCAGGCCGTTCTAGACACCGGTGTGCCCATCATCTCCAACCAGCTTCCTTACAACCTTCTCAACCGCATCGTGGAAGACTCCGTTTCTCCTCTTTTCATTTCCGCTTATTTCAAGATCATTCCGTTCTGTCAGGCGCATGGTATGGGCGTGCTGGCCTACTCTCCGTTAGCGCAAGGTTTACTCACCGGAAAATACCACTGTGTCGCTGACTGCCCTCCTGGCCTCTCGCGAAGCCGCTATTTCGACCAGTCGCGATCATCGATGAGTCGCCATGGCGAGTCTGGCTGCGAGAAGGAACTGTTCGAAGCGCTGGACGGACTGCGTGCCATCGCGGAGAAGCAGCAGATGACCATGGCGCAGCTGTCGCTGGCGTGGCTGCGGCAGAAAGCGCCGACGTCGATCGTATGAAGGATGAAGGAAGGCGTGAATCGCAGATTTTCGGCGCCAGCAAACCGGAGCATGTGACGCAGAACGCGGAATGCGTGAATTATCACTTGGAGGACGCGGTGATGCGCGAGGTTGGGATGATGGGGGGTTTGTGATTGGTAGATCGATGCGTGCACGCTGCCAGTGAAGGAAGCTCTGCATGGCAACCCGGATTTGTGGAACCACACTTCGAGAGTGCATTAGTTTTTTTTCTATGATAGTTTTTGTTGAAAACACAAAAAACGAATATTTACTATGACCGTAACTGAAGGGAAGATCAAAAAACATGGTAAACTGGACTGTGGAACCACCCTTCGAGAGTGCATGAATTCCCATTTCCATGATCGTTTTTGTTGAAAACACAAAAAACAAATATCTACGACTACGACTACAACTTGACTACGTCTAAATGGAAGAGTGAGCAGCCTTCTTCGCCTCCACACTCGCTTTCTTAACCGACTTTTCCTTCTTCTCCCTCTTGGTTTCCCCCTTGGTTTCCCCGGTTTCCCTCTTGGTTTCCCCTTTCTTAGCTGCCGGAGCCTCGGCGGAGTCGTTCTTCTCTCCTCTAAAAGCACTGGACGAGAGCAGGGACAGAATCAGCTCTCTGCGGAATCCCTTCATTTCCTGGACGTGGATTCCCACGGTTATCGGCTGGAAGGTCTCGATGGTGTCGGTGGGATCGTGCTGGTTGGTGAGCACGCCGGTCTCGGGATCGAAGTCGAAATCGCTGGTGTAGTTTTCGTTGAGCGCGTTCTTCTTGTTGGTGTGGTTGATGAAGATGGTTCCCTCGAGTCCGTACTGCGGCACCCACACCTTAATCCCGTTCTTCTTGCACCCCATCACCAGCCCCGCCGCCTTCTCCTTCCGCTTCGAGAAGAAGATCACCGTGAACAGCTCCACCGACTCTCTCCCCGCGATCTGCGCGTTGTAGTGCCGCATATTCATCGTCTACCTCCCACGCCTTCCTCGCTCCTACCTCCGTCATTCCGCCCATGAACTCCTTCTCTCGGTACTCCTCCGGCAGCGGCATGATTCCCTCCGCCGCCGCCAGCAGTCGGTGCACCACGTCGTCCGCGTACCGCCGGATCGGCGACGTGAAGTGCGTGTAGATCGACGCCGCCAGGCCGTAGTGGTAGAACTGCGCGGGAGGAACCTCCCCCGCGGGGAAGTACACCGCCTGCGTCATGCACCGCGTCGTCAGGATGCGCAGCAGCTTGTTGAAGAGCGGTTCCGCGGGGAGCACCGCCTTGTCCAGCGAATCCGCGAGCTGCTTGTTGCTCTCGCAGTGCAGCGTGAACTAAACGGGGAAACGGGGAAACCAGAAAATACGCCGGCGCGCTGCGCGACGCGGATGAGATGGTCGAAGCGCTTTCTACGATCAGAAGGGAGAAACGTGGAAACATGTCGGGGATGGGGTGTCTTCGCAGAACCGCGGTTTTCGGGAAGGCCTCGGTGATCCGCTTTGCGACGAGGGTGTTGGCGAGGAGCATAAACTCCTCGACGAGGCTGTTGGTGTCCTTCAATTTGTAGCTGTCCATGGAGAGCGGATCGTTCGTCTCGCTGTCCATTTCGAAGCGAACTTCCGGCGAAGCCAGCGTCAGCGCGCCGGCGCTGATGCGCTGGGCTTTGAGACGCTTTGAAAGGTCGAAGAGGAGATGCACGCTGCGGCCGATCTCGGAGCGGTCGTCGCGGGAATCGAGGTAATTCTGCGCTTGCTGGTAGCTATGCGATCAAACGCGCGGCCCAATGCGACGTGAGCGCGGCTTTCGAGCGGATAATCGTCTTCTTGAACTGCGTCTGCACCACCTCGCCCTGCTTCGTCATCTCCGCGATCACCGAGAACGCGAAGCGGTCCTGGTCCGCCACCAGCGAGCACAGATTCTCCGTGAGAAGCTTCGGAAGCATGTCCAAGCGACGGTCCACCAGATACGTCGACGTCGACCGGTTGCGCGCCTACCTCAAAACCCGATCACGCCGCTACCTCGAGATCCAGCGCGGAGTTGTGCTTCATGTAGTACGTCACGTCCGCGATGTGGATCCCCACTTCCACGTTTCCGTTGGGCAGCTCGCGCGCGTGGAGCGCGTCGTCGATGTCCTTGCACCCCGGCGGGTCGATCGACACAATGCACACTTTCCCGCGGAGATCCTACGTCCCAGCCCGCGGCTTCGCCTACCAGCCGTCCGCGCGCGTTCTGCTCGGTGATGTGCCAATCCGCGGGGGGCAGACAGTCGAGAACCTCCTTCGAGAAGACGTTGGGCGGAATGGAGTGCTCGAGAAGCAGCACCTGCGTCTCCACTTCGCGATCGCCGATCACGCCGAGCGTTCTACGCGTCACGACCTTCTCGGAGCAGCAGACTTCATGTAGTGGCCGATCGGGTAGGAAGACGTCGTCGGCCAATCGTTGATCGCCACGACGATACGCTGGTTGACCAGCGCCGCGTATTGATTCGTTTTGATCCGGATCTTCGGGATACGCCGGTTTACCGGGTCGAAGAGGTACTACGTCTCACGAGAACCGCGGGAAATTACGTAGCTGTTGATGGTGCCCTCCGCGATCGGCTCGATGGAGCCGCAATATTGCTTCCAATTGCGCCTCGCGATCGCCACCACGCGTCCCGTGGTGACTTTTTCCGCGGTTCTGGAGCTGGTCGATTCGGTTTTCCCGCTGCTTTTGTTGCTTTCTTTTTCTTTTTCTTCGTCGTCATTGTCTTTCTGCTCTTCTTCGGGATTGTCGTTGTTCACGAGGTACTCCGACTCGGCCTTCCACTGCGCCTTGGGATACAGTTCCACGATGACTTGATCTCCGTCCACCGCGCGGTTGATGTCCAGCCGTCCCGACAGCAGCACGCTCACCTCCGAGTCGTTCATCTACCGCTCAGCTCGCTGGCTCACGCCCACGTGCAGCGTCACGTGGCCTTCGCGGATGTTGTCCACGTTGGCGTGGAACGTCGCTTTGAACAGACGCCCGGCTTCCAGACCCAAACGGACCGTTTCCTCGTCGAGGTAGTTCGGGTAGATCACGCCGTCGCCGCGCTCCTTAACCAGCGTGTACATTCCTTTCGATTCGTCGTACTAGGGATGAGGGAAACGGGGAAACGGGACGGCTTCGAAGGGGTTGGAGGGGGCGGAGGAGTCGGAAGGAGGACGCTCTCCGTTCTCGATTGAAACGACGTTTAGATAATCGCCGAGGGTGGGGTGTTTGTCTTTCAGCGATTCGACAAGCTGGGAGTGAGGAAGGGATCGAAAAACGGACGGAGGAGATGGTGATGCATTCGATGGCGGGAGTTTCGAGGTATTTTTGCTGCAAGACAGAGTGGTTTGTGAGGATCACGGTATGGATATCGTAGGGCTACAGGTCAGACGAGGAGGAGGAGGAGGGTAGCTACTTTGAAATGCTCGTTGAAATATTTGGAGGCTGCGACGATTTGGCGAATATTGTAGTCCACAATGGGTTCATCCATCTGACGGTCCACTATCCATGAAAGCACACTCAAACAAGCACCATAAGTATTTTCAAAATTCTGGTTCGCAAATAGCACGAACCGCTTTGAAGAATCACGAAGGAGGTTGCTCAGCTGGTTGAACACCGATAGATTGCGTTTTCTCACCTCGGTCATCACGGACTGCAGAATGATCACATCACAGAGAGGCGGAATCTCTTGTTGGAGCAAATCGAGCTGGTTTAGCAGCACCTCCTCGTCCATGATGAGATATCGCATCTCATAGGGAGCAGCCGAAAGAGTAATTCGTTCGCCGGACTCAATGTCACAAGAATCGCAAGCATCCGAGTTACAGCTCATAAAGTCACGAATATATGTTTCCTATAAAAAGGAATGAGCTCCGGAACCACAAAGAATCAACACCAAAACCCTACGCGAACGACTTTCAAAACTCTCCCCTTTTTCGTCTTAACATTTACAAAGAACGATCGATTCATGTTCACAAACACTCCAGACGAATCTTTGTAAGAAAGAAAAGAAATTGTTTGTTTGATTGCGCTTTCTGCCTTTTTTTCTCCAACAAACACACAATACACACATTACTTCTTTCGCTGTCTCTTCGCTCCGGTGCCTTTCCTCTTCTTTTCCGGTTCTTTTCGCTTCTGGCTCTCGCTCGAAATCGCTTTCAGTTCTTTCTTCCCTTCTTTCTCTCCCTCTTCTTCTTCTTCCTCCTCCTCCTTTTCTCCCTTCTTCTCGCCTCCTCGCTTCGCTCTCTCCTTCTTCAGCGCCGCTCGGAACGCAAGGAACACGCTCAGATACTTTGGTGGGTCCTCGACCTCCTTCCCATCATCCTGCGTCTGCATCGCTTTTCGCAGGATTTCGCTGGTTTCCTCTCCGTACAAATCAATATTCTGCTCGTCACCACTCCTTTCCGCTCTTACCTTCTCCACCTCCTCCATCAGCAATTCGCGAGCCTCCTTCGTCATCTTGGGCACAAACGGAATCAGCGCCTCCAGCAGCTCCATCATCGTCGGATCCTCCGTCTCTGCGATCGATTTCACCAGTCCCTACACCTCGCGATTCCCCTCTACCCTCACTTTGATCATTTCAAACACGCCGACCAGCACTTCGTACGTGTATTGAACGCCCAAAACCGCGGCCAACCGCTTACACAGACTCATGAAATGCTCCGAACTCGCGGCCGCGTTGCTGGCATCGTCCAACACCAACTGCTTCCCGGATTTGTAGAACGAGAACGCGTACTGGAGCGTGTTCTGCACGGCGGAACACAAGACTTTGGTGTCGTTCTCACGCAGATGCTTCAAAAACTCCCGGCAATACTGGGAGGCCACATCGCCGTAGTTCGTTAGATAGAACAGCAATGCGGAGGAGAACAGCGTGGCTGCGTGGGCTTCCGATGCGTGGAACAACGGCTGGATGACCCGCGTGGTCCAGACTTGCTGCTGGACGCGATTCTCGTCGTTGGAGCCTAATTCCTGGTTGTGGAATCCAAGAAGAAGGATGCTGGCCGCATCGCCAACGTCTAGAGAATGAGTGAATGAATGAGTGAATGAAACATTGAGTGAGCTGCTCGGAAATCAGTTCGTCGCCTGCGGGAATGATCAGATCGCAGGTGAGAGTGAAATAGTCGAGAAGAATGGACCGATAGATGGAGGTTGGGTCGGGGTCTTCGTTGATTTGCTTCCGGCAGAGAGGAAGCAACGCCTCGAACGACTCCATGATGTCGGAAAGAAGCATTTGGATGGATGTGTTCTACATGAAAAGCAGAATCAAGTTCGCACCACGACTTCTTCGTTCACAAAGGAATCCTGGACGTCGGGTTGTTTGGCATGGAGCAATTCATACAGACATTCCATCTGCTTCAGTTTCAAACAACAAAAGCGCAATTCAATCAATTCAGTTTCGGCAAAGGAAGGTTTGATCGCTTGAATCAACGTTTCAGCGGTGCTGGGGATTCCCAACTCCTTCAGTTCCTTCCGAACATCACAAAAACTAAACAAACAATTCAATCGATGCATTAGCACACTCATCCTCCGACTTGTCTTCAGCCCTTCTTTGCTCATCGAGCCTCCGTCCAATTCCTCCAATCTCCCATTCATCGCTTCTTCCAATTGCTTCCAAGGCTCCAACACACGACTCGCTGTCTTATGAAGCGCTTGCGACACCAACTCCTGCGTTGACTCGCCCATCGTCACATGCAGATGCGTCACAACCGACAGAATCTGATTGGCTTCGCTCCAATCCGACTCCGATTCAAACAAGTCCATCAGCAAGGAAACCAAACGTTCGATCGACTCCAACGTGGGGAAGGAAAGGCATTCAATCAGATCAATCAGAGGACGGACCACCAACGAATCCGTTCGATAGGAAGTCAGCAACGAGGCCAATTGCGGCACGACCACTTCGTTCATATTCTGATACACGGCACTGTCTTGTTGATTATCATGAAACAACTGAACAACTGCCTTCAACAACACTGCCTAGAGAATCACAATCTCCGCATATAAAAGAAATACCAATAAGCAAGTCTGTCTCCCATTCAATCCGATGTCTTGCTGCTGCTTGTTCAGCAGTTCCACGATTCCCTGAACGTCCAGCACGCACTTGTTCTCGTCGGTGAGCAGATGCGTTCGATCGCCCGCGCAGTTGCGAACGAAGAAGTACACGTGGTTCACTTCCTTGTCGTCCTGCGCGTATTCCTGCAGGTATTCCACCACCTTCAACAGCCCGTTCTCCTTTTTGGCGGGCTTTTTCCCCTTTGTCTTCTTCGTCTTCTTTCGTTGCTTTTTCTCCTTGTCGTTTTCCTTGTCGTTTTCGTTTTCCTTGTCGTTTTCGTTTTCATTCTCAACAAAGCTCTTGAATTGGTACTTGTAGAGATACGAAAAGGCGCGCGAGCCAATCGAGCGGTCCGAATCCGTCGCCAATTCATAAATGAACCCGTCTTCCTCCGGAGAAATCAGTCCTTTTTCTGGAATTCACCACAGAGCAGCTGATCCTACGCCGCATGCAGTCGATGAGTTTGATGGCAGCGCAGATCACGACGGGCTGCACATCGCGCGACATAAACAGAATCCGCTCCTTGTATCGCTTCAACAAACTCTCCACATCTTCATTTTCTTCTTCTTCTTCTTCTTCTTCGCTTTGGCTTTCGTTTTCCAGTCTACAATTCGCTTCCATTCTCCTTCTCTACATCGAAACGATCTGCCGAATCGCTTCCAATCGCACAGCCTTCTCCGAATCGCCCAGCGACAGTCCGAAATACTTGATATAATCATCGATCACGTACTGCTTCGAGCTCTTCACGATCTCTCCTACCCATCATCTCCTCCCTCCATTTCCACCCAACGAAACCACCGTGAGCAAGCGCGTTGCCTCCCAGATGTCACGACAGCGATGGCAATACACCTGCGTGTACAGTTGTTCTTGAAGATCATGGCATTGCTCCACTAACAATTGCAGCGATTTCGACTTTCGCTTCGCCTGCGTTCGCTCCAGTAATTCCCGCGTTTCCGTTTCCACCTCCACGATCCCGCGGGAAATCGCGAAAACGCAGGCGGTGGCGACGAATCGGAGACTTCGGTGGCTATGTGGGAATGAAACGCCTGACGCACTTATAGGTGGTGAGTTCTAAAAGAAGCTCGAGGATGCGCTGGCTGGTTTCCTCGCGGAGATCGAAGAAATTGCGTCCGATGCCTTGCCAGAGGGAGGCGTTTCGTCGGAAAGGGAGGGAATAGGCGAGGGTGGAGGGAGAGCGCTTGGCGAAGGAGGCGAAGGGATGAAGATGGTTCTAATGGGAGAGAAAGGGAGGAGGGATACGTCTTGGGAGTCGAGAATGAGGTCGGAGAGACAGAGCGAAGCGAGGGAGGGGGCGGAGAACACCGAGGGACTCAGTTTGAGATCGCTGAGGTAGAGGATCAGCGCGAAGAGCTTGATCTCCGAGGCACTTTTGGCTTTCTGGAGTCAGTGATGATCATGAAAGAACCCACTTTTAAGTCTTTTACGACTTCGGCGATGAGCGGATCCACGCTGTGACGGTCTCGATAGATCGATAAAAACAGTGAGTAGCAGTCGTTATTGAGGACTTCCTCGGGGTACGTCGCTACGCGCTTTTTCGACTTACCGCCCTTCGAGGGAGTGGCGTCGACGTCATCCTCCGCTCGGTTCTCCTCTTCTTCGTTTTGAAGTGTGGTTTCGTTTATTGGCATCGTCTCTCCCGCTATCGACTCATCCATCTAGCTTTCAATCGAGCCAAAATGCCAAACTAATGTAGTCATTTCCTTCGGTTCGATAATGCTAGAGTCCGGGACATTTTCGATCTCCATGTCAATATCGCCCTAAACACATAATAACAGATCACAATCCAAACGGATGATTTGTCTTCCTTCAAAGGCGAAGATCTACCGATTTAGGAGGAAATACGCGACATACGCCTTTGTTTTTGAAACTCTTTTCTTTGGGGAAGATGTTCGCGTCTTGCGTGTACGAGCCATCACAAAGAATAAGTGAAAAGACAAAATCTATTTTGGCGGGAGCTTCGTTTAAAAGTGAGGAAAACCTCCAAAAATTGGAGTTCAACGAAAGAGCGTCAAACTCACGGATTTCGTGACGTATATAGGGTTGTCAGCTGATTGTATCTCACTATACGGTCATTGGTACAACGTAAACACCCCCGATAAGGACTCACAACCATTCCTTCGAGAAAACTCCATCAAGGAAGAAATCCCAACTAAATGATTATGGGTTGTACGATTGAACGAAAGACGGAAGAATATGCACCGTATTTAATTTAATTCGTTACTGTTGCTCTACTAATTCAAAATGCTTTCCAGGAAGAGCATGATTATGTTTTTTTTGAGTTGTCACAGTTTTTGTTCGCAATGCTTGACACGATTGATGTACTCTTCTCCAATGTAGTGTGCTCCGTTTTAGCTGTAATTGTGTAGTTAACATACAAGTACTATTCGTACATGAAGAATAAGTTAAGGTACAATGATAAATCGGTTCAACACATTCTCTCGGGGTTTTTATGGTTCGTCGCTTTAACTTGTATTTTAGGTCGTGCTTCGGATCGTTTCTCAGTGTAGAAATTATCACAATGTTTGCCTTTCGCCATTCCCTGGCAAAGAATTCGCTCGGAGTGATATGTGTTCTCGCCGAACTCGCTTTTGCCACGATCGCGAGTTACGTCTCTCCAGGATATGTAGTGGATATGAAAGATGAAGAGGACGTTGAAAACGCCTCTCTTTTGAACACCAATGCGGGTTCCCAGTTACACCCAGTGACCATGTGCAAGCAGTGTGGCGTAAAACGTCCTTTGCGAAGTCTCCATTGCACTGAGTACACAACTCCGCCATTTACCGACCTAGGTGTGATAAGTGCGTCGTTCGTTTCGATCACCACGACGTTTTCATTAACAATTGCATTGGCTATGGGAATCAGCAGTACTACGTGCTTTTCCTCGTGTTCGGTATCTTCGCGTGCATCGCGTATTTCTCTCTCTGGATGAAAGCTTTTTCGTCTGTTTGGTTCCAGCCTCTGAACTTTATCGTTGTACATTGCATTGCTGATTGCTGATTGTCCAGCTGGTGAAGGCTGTTTACTACTTTCTCAATTTGCGCGGAATGATTCCAAACGTGTGTCGAAACATCACGTTCTATGAGTCCGTGAACTCGTTTAAACTCGGATACATGAAGTATTTCTGCCTCGCCTTCTCTGTAATCGCTAGAGACAGTCGGTTTGTGTTTTACAATCCGTTCGACCAGGGCGTTTTCGCGAATGCGATCGAGTTCTTCCATGGAGGACGGGACTGGTTGCTTTGGAACGATTCTGTGAGTGTGTAGGATGAACACGCATTATTATTCGCTGCTCGACATTCCGAATCATCCGCTGCGTGTCGATGGGCTTCGCTTGGTGCAGCAGACGCAAGCCAAGATGGAGATTGTGACGTGTCCGAAGTGTGGAATCCAGTTGTATTGTCCGAAGGATGCTGTGATGTTGCGTTGTACGTGTGGACACACGTTTCCTGTGAAATCGTTCTGTGTTTTTTGATACAAACATTCTAATTCCATTATCTATTCATTTATTTATTTATTAGTTTTTTTATTTTTACACAAATCCCTCCATCTTGGCCATGGAAGTTATGATCGATTGGATGAGTTCAAACATCTTATTGACCATAAAAGACATGATTCGGTAATTCAGAGCATTCATTTGCGAGATCATGCTTCGAATCCTGTCGATTAGTCTCTGCAAATACTCCATCTTCTTCTTCTTTTTCTCTGGCATTTCCATCATTTGACTCCACATTTGACCCTCTAAAGCTTTCAACATTCTCTCCAAATCTTCCATAGACCGCTCCCAATCCTCTTCCTTCTCCTCTTCCTCTTCCTTCTCGTGCAAAAAACGCGTCATCTCTTTGATGTCGTCCTCGCGAAGTGGATATTGCGCGCACCCATCATCCACCCACAAAACTTCCAGTGGATAGACTTCCGTCTACGTTCCATTTCTTTCCTCTTTCCTACGACTGAGTAATCATTCATTGATTGCTTCGATCCAGTCGACGAAGACGAAAAGCCTGTGTATTTCTTCTGCCCAAACCACTGATAATAAATGCCATTCATTGTCGACTTCGCGTTGTCCAGTTTCTCCTTTGCCTTATCTACCTCCTATCCCACTCCAATTCTCTACTTTTCAACGGGGTGTAATTCAGCACCAGCTCGGCTTTCTGGATCCACGAAACGCCGAACGGATCCAACGAAAACGTCAGTCGCACATCCGATTGGAGCAAATTAAACGTCTTTCTCAGAAGGGAATCGATTCCTTTCACGTAAAACTTGCTGATACAAAATCTATCGCTCATCATCTCTCTGCCTTGCCGTACAATCTTTGATCGGTAACCATATTTTCATTTATTCGGTATTTCAGAGTGAATGAAAAGTCAGAACGAACTGGGAATTCAAACGTTTTCGTTTGATTGTAGATTTTGGAGTCTGATAACAGCGGTATCAAGCGAATAAAATTGTTATTTCGAGCGAGGAAGTCTATTCAAATGTACGGAAAACAAAGCAAGTACCTTTTGAAGGATCGAAATAGGACATGGATGGATTCGAATTGCGAGCGAATGAAGCGTGGAGTGAGTAATTGATGTAATCATTCAGATGTTTCAACTTCTTATTCTTATTGTATTTCGTGAGTAAAAAGTTCACTCCTCCGTTAACAACGCTCCTATCGCTATCCAAGTCGAAAAGAATGGGAACGCGATGTATTCTATGTTCGAAATATTCCTTAATGGAAGGGATGCGAGAAGCACCACCAATGAACTGAATCTCAGAGATCTCATTCTATATGGTAAGTGAAGGAACGAATTTCAAACATCATTGAGATCTAAATCATTCAACAACTTTCTATAGGTCCCAAACATCTCTTCCAATAGATTATCCATCTGTAGATCGAATTCCTCTCGTGTGATCTTCTGGCTTTCAACCGTATCATTCATAAACAACATTTTCTCGACCGTCACTTCTGTCTTGGTCGATAAAATTTCCATATATTCTTCGCTCTTCTCTCGAACTTCCGCCACAATCTCTGGATTATCGAGAAACTCCGAATAACCAAGCTGAGTGATATAGTTCACGATCAAAGAAGCCACGCCCATCACAAAGTTCGATCCTCCTTTAGGCAAAACTGCTTTCCCAAGGATTGTAAGCGTATTTAGGGTGGATGACATAGGAGAAGATTTACTGATTTCAAATACACTAAACTGGGTATGATCACTTCCAACATCGATCAGTACGACACATTTTTGCTTTTTCTCCTGCTTATCCATCAGATAGGTGATTGCAGCTGCAGTCGTTTGATCGATAATCGAGTCGATATGGATATTTGCAAGTTTAGCAGACTCGAGCAAGGCTTGGCGCTGCGTAAAAGTGAAACTGGAAGGAACTGAAACAACGATTTTATTGTTAATTTTCTTAATCTGCTTCACTGCCAATGAATAAACATAGCGAAGCATCATAGCACCCAGCTCTTCGACTGTAATATACTCCTCATTACCATATCCTGCATCAGGCGATATCTTTAGTTTCAAAGTCTCACGCTCTGTCTCCTCGAAATCATAAATAAACCCATTTTCCTCATACTTTTGGAGGATCCTCAAATTCTTGCCTAGTCCAAGCAATTGGCTTATTCCGACAAAGATTAAGTTCGGACTATATATAATTTGTTCCTTGGCATAGTATCCAAAGATCTTCGTTTCCTTGCTGAAATAAATCATGTTGTCAATTTTTTCGTTTCCTGATATATCCTTTATGATGGTATTCGCCTGTTTTTCTCGACATGCAACCTTGATGTATTTCGTACCCAAATCAATAGAAATAATATTTGCAACAGCACAACAAACCATAAGCAGAACAATCAGAATGACCATTTTGTTATGTTTAGCACAATGATTCTATTACTATCAAACAAACAAATTCCCTCAAAACCATTCAATTATTCATTCATTCATTCATTCAATCATCCACGATTCATTCATCCACCCCTTATTCCTTCTTCACAATCTGCACCACATCCTCATCCATCAGCACATGATCCAATCCCACGCGCTGCGGCTGGTGTTTCACCGACGACCCCCAGACCCACGCGTACTGGAACTGGTTCACAATGCTCTTATGCAGTCGGTTGCAGAAGTCTCGGACGGTGGGGGCCTCTGCGTGTAGAATAACGGGCTCTTCATAGTCGGGAATCTGTCCCTTCGGCTTTGTGTAGATCCGAATCATCTTGCAGTACTCCCAGATCCGCTCCAGAAGCTCGTCCAGGTTCCACTCGCGGCCAGCACACACGGGGACGCAGTGCTCCAACTAGAAATCAAGGGGGAAACGGGGAAACCACTTCAGCGAGAATGTCCAGCTCTTCGATGGAGATCTGGTCGATTTTGTTGAGGACGTACAGGCAGGGCATGTAGACGCGGTTTCCTTCGATTACATCGATCAGATCGTCCACCGTGGCGTCGCAACGAATGGTAATGTCCGCATTGTGGATCTTGTATTCGTGGAGGATGGAGGAGACGACGTCTGCATCCAACTCGCAGTCCTTCGACATGATTTGGAGGTTGACGCCACCCTTGTCCTTGATCTTGAAGTAGATGTTGGGAGGCTGCTTGTTCAAACGGATTCCAAAGCCCTCCAACTCCTTCTCGATGATGCGCTTGTGTGTGACGGGTTTCATTGCATCTAAAACGATGAGAATCATATTGCAGGTTCGCGCCGTTCCAATAATCTGTCGACCACGACCCTTTCCATCCTTGGCTCCTTCGATAATACCGGGGAGATCCAACAATTGAATTTTCGCACCCTTGTAGTGAATAACGCCAGGAATACAGGTAAGCGTTGTGAACTCATAGGCTGCGACTTCTGAAAAGGTGCCCGTCAGTTTGGTCAGCAGAGTGGATTTTCCTACGGACGGAAAGCCAATCAAGCCAACACGCGTATCTCCCGACTTTGTGACATCGAAACCCTCACCACCTCCCTTGGAAGACTTGGGAGTCAGGATTTCTCGCCTCAATTTCGCGAGCTTGGCCTTCAGCAATCCAATATGCTTTTCAGTGGCCTTATTCTTCTGCGTTCGGGCCATCTCCTCCTCAATCTCGGCAATCTGCTGGACAAGACTCATGGCAGACGGTGTTCCTCAAGAAAATGAAAACCAGCCACAAGGGAGTTTCATCGGTAAGGAAGTCGTATCAAACAAACAGCCTTTGCGCCACTTATTCAAAATGCATGAAAGGAAGTACACATTCATGTACAAAGGAAAACAGACATGTAAACTAGATCACTAACACAATGTTGAATCTAGGAATGCATCATCATTGCTTCACATCGGAGCTTGTAGATAAACTGTAAAAACAATATGGCTATCCATTAACCCAAAATTTAAATTTTACTTCCTTCATCCAGTGGTTGAGGTACATACAATGGGTTCACAGGAACCGTACTTTTAACAGGAATAGCGCAAACAGCACGAGGCTGGGGATAACTAACAGATTTGTGTTGCATGTGACTGATAGCACGAGAATTAGCCACCTTCGAATGAATCTTATAGTGGCGGCGCAAGTGATCGGATCGCGAGGCACAGTAATCACACAACTGACACTTGTATGGTCGCTCCTTCGTATGAGTGCGCTCATGGCGCTTTAAGTGGGCCGACCGATTCGTCTCGTATGTACATCCAGGGTAATTACAATGAAACATACAATCACTATCAGAAGACAGATCGTCTACTCATGATAATCGCCTCCACTAGCTTACCTCTATGCGATTTCCCACCAGTTTTTCTACTCTCCATACCGCTAAGAAAAAATAATGGGGAAACCTCAATTGTAGAAATCGTAGTAACAATAATAATAATCAACATGATTACTGAACAATTATTGAAATTTATTCTGTTGGGTTTTTATTTTTGTTACAGTACTTTTGTGCGCACGAATTGAGCGCTGCTGGCTTTGCAATGTAATTAGAGACATTGATACAGTTATGAAATTTACGTGTTTTTATGTCGTGTATTGATCCAACTTGGATAATCCATATTTAATTATGAACAGCGACAACAACCCTCCCTATTTTCAAAATGCTTCTCCGGTCAACCCCTCTCTTTCTCCTCATTGGGCGCCTCCCTCTGTACAGATCCCTGTTTACCCAGTCATACCGGACATTACACAGAAGCAAGCGATTCCCCCAACGCAGAAACAACTATACGGCTCCTACGACATTGTAAAAGTCGTTCTCCGGAATAAACCGACGACTGTCTTTTGTCCCTCCTGTAAACTTAATATTATGACAAATTTGAAGGGACGCCGTATTACTCTGTAACAATATCACTTCGTTATAACGATTTTAGATTGTACTATATACTGCTATTCGCCTTTTTCGTTCTTGCTATGATCTGGGTTTTAGATGAGTTTGAAGATGATAGCTTATATATTATTATGGGATTTGCAACGCTATGTATATTATCAGGAGTCATCGCCTATAACATCTATCTGGTCAGTTTTTACCATGCTTGTCCTCTTTGTGGACTTTCTATTGGAAAGTGCGGGGACATCGGGTATCGTCAGGTCCCAACCGAATTATCATCTTTTTGTGTTTGTTTCACATACATTTCGAGCTGAAAATTCAAAGTTGATTAGCCTTTTGATGGAATCCGAGAAACGTCCTGCTAACAACGTTGAGATAGAGAACGCTGAGAAAAGAGTTCATGTCAACTGTTTTGCGATATTGTGTGCGAATGATGCCTAGCTCCATCCAATTCGAATCAAAACACTGCTCTCAATGTCAAAACCGAAGAAGAGCAGCTTGTTGTTGATGCCAACTCCGTTGTGACTTTCCATCAAGGTATTTTCTTGCAAATGATAAGTTTATCATTTTAGTAACAGTGCAGAAGAATCCAGACGGTTCTTTAAAAATGGTCCAGCTTTGCCCAGATTTTCATCCTGGAATGTCACACCAGATCTTTAAGGATGAGAAAATCGTGGGCGTTAAGAACCCAGAGATAGACATTTACTTCAATCCACTTTCCTGCGACGTATTTCCAATCGAATCCATTGATTCTAGATGTGCGTGCTTGCCAAATGCGACTCCTCTGCCGAAGGTCTGCTTTCCTCACATTTGTTTGATGAATAGACAAAAAGAAACTGTCGCGCCGTGTTCGCAAGTGGACTCCTGAGAATACAAACATCAATCGTCTGAACTTCATGCCTCGGATTCTCCCCGTACGCTTTCCTCCCTTCTCTCCACTCTCCGTAGATCGAGGAATCGTCGAAACCCCTCGGAATCTGCCTCGAAACCTACACCTCGCATTCCACCGACTTTTCTCTCTATTTCGACACGCTCACCTCCCCCCGCTCCGTCCAATTCTTCAAAAACGTCCAGTCGCTCAGCTATTGGTTCATCGACGGCGCCAGCGAAATCGTGGTAACCGAGGATTCCCCGCACCGCTGGCTCGTGCTCTCTCTCTACGCCTCCATCGACCAGCGCCCCTGTCTGGCGGGGTTTTGCCTTCTCTACGTCTTCTCCAATCCCTTCCAATCGCCGCCGCATTCGCTTCGTCTCTGCCAGATTCTGATTCTCCCGCCCTTTCAAAAGCAGGGTCATTCCGGACGCATTCTCGGACTCATTTCGCGCACGCTTTTGCACACCCCGCTTTCTTGCCTCCTGCCCGAATCGTATCCCCGCGGAACCCCGTCGGTCCCGTCGGTCCCGTGGGAACGAAGCGAAAACTGCACGTTTTCGATGTTCACGATGGAGGATCCGTGCGAAGAGTGCACCTTTGTCCGCGACGTCTTCGACTGCCGCTTGCTGCGATCGCTCGACGCCATGCAGCCCTACTTGCAGCAGCAGCAGCAGCAGCAGCAGCAGCAGAAGGGGGAGGGAGAGGTGATGGCGCTGTCGCAGGAGACGATCGAACGGGTGAAAAAAGAGACGGGGCTGACGGAGGAACAGCTGCAGAAGTGCTACAACATTCTGCTGCATCGCATTTTCTCGGCGGAGACGTCGAAGGCGTATCGGGTTTATGTAGGAGGATTGTGGAAGAGGAAGTGATGGGAAGATTAAAAAGCAGATCGCTGCGGAGAGGCGAAATGAACTGGAATTGATTCGAGAGCGAGATGTGTTTAAACTGAGTTTGGAGACTTATTTTAATGAGAGGGAGGAGTACGCGGAGAATGTTTGTAAGGTGGTGTTTAAGTGCAATGTTTGTTTCACACAATAATGTATAAGTCGTATCAGAAGAAGCGAGCCAATTTAGATCAACGGTTTCAAATCATTTTCGTGTTTCTTCTGTTTGTAATCGCACTGGGAGTCATTTTCGGGACCTATACGTTCTACAAGAATACTTCTGGAAACAAAGAGTACAGTATCGGTAACCGGAATCGATATGTGAATATGATTCAAAATAAGATTTTTGGGAGCAAAGAAGAGAAGGAAGGTTTTATAAAAACGGATTTCGATTCCATTTTGGAGAAGTCCCATCGGGAAATCCAAAGGGATACCCAGACGATCATTGCGCACAAGAACCAGTTTGATGCTTCGTTTCTGGAATCCATTGCAGAACCCGAAACCATCGAGAGAGTTGATTCGATTAAAACCCCTATTTTTCTATTTACGACGATGGAGAATCCTGTACTCGTTTTCACCCATTCTCTTAGTCTAGACAGTCCCAACAAGCACCAAATTCCCCGATGTGACCATGCAAGCGATGGATGAAGTGCATCTGGAAGGAATGAATCGTCTCATCTTTTCGAAAGCCACCGTAGTCAAAAACCTAGTGAAGGGCAAGACCTCCGTCAAGCGCGAATCTGTTTTCCAGTGGGTTCCTCGGTTCCCTCTCATGCAGAACCAATCCCGATAAGTACGCCATCTTCAAAGCCGTGTTGGCTCGCCTGGTGACTCTCTCGGGAGACGATCTCCCCGACTCTCTCTTCGTCTATCTGGAGCTCGGTGCCTACGTTCATCCCTCGCTTCTTTCGAATTTTCTTCAGGTCGCGCGTTCGATTCCGCCCGGAGACACGATTTTTATTTACACTGCACGCACCGTTACCGTCACGTCGCTCAACAAGAAGGCTCCGTTTCTCGGAGTTACGCCCGATTTCATCCGCAAAGCGGAACATCAGATGGACATTTTAATCTTCCGCGCCGACTTCCTTCGCATTCTCCAGGAACAGCTCCCCGAAGGGATCATCGCCGCGAAGCTGCACGACATCATTCTCAATATCGCGTTTTCTCAGCATGTTCGCGTGATCGACCTTACTCCCGCGGGTATTTGCGCATTTTAGCATAGAATGCGTAGTCTTTGTGATCAAGAAGAAACTCGCGCTCACACCGCAGGAAAAGCCGCTCTTGGCTACCAACACGCGGATTATGAAGGAAAAAGAGTGGCCGTTCTATTCGATGAGCGATGTGGACTCCGGGGTTTTATTGCCGGTTTCGACGAAGCGAATGCGCGTCGAAGAGGAAAACGGCGTGGCCTGGGAAGGAAGCCTGAAAACAGTGGCGTTCCTGGCGCGGTCGACGCAGCTGTTTTGTTTGTTTTTGTTTGTTGGATGACGAAAAGTTCCGAATTGCGTTTATTTCGCAGAGAAGGGCTTCGATCCGTTCTTGTTCTATCTCTGCTCCGCTACCCGCGTCTATGCATCGCAAAAAACGTGCAAGTGAGAGTAGAGGGGTTGAATGATGGATAGAAGCGTGAAGGCGATCATGCCTTCAGCAGTCTGTATTTACACGCCTAGCGAGCATTTCCAGGTGTATTGGAAGTCAGTGGCCGAGTCGCCCACCGATTTGGTGGTGGTAAATACAACACGAAATGATTTGTTTGTTCCTGTGTTGGGGAAATTGATGGGGCGGCGAGGGAGAGCGCTCATTGTAACGGAGGACGAGCACTTCGTGCAGAAGTACCTGGGAAAGCAGTATGAAGTTGATCGATCGTAACGTTCCCCCCTTTACCTAATTTTCTAGAGTTCCTGGTTTTATCTTACTAAGTAGTTGATGATTTACAGCTTTATTCACTTTTTGTTGCTTGTCCACTTGTTTGTTCCATTACCGGGAGTTTCAAAGGAGTGGCGGAGTTTCATTTGAGTCCTCAAAACACAATTTATTTGGTATGCTGAAAACGATCTTTTTGATTGGCTGCATTCTTGCCATCTCTCAGGCGAGAGAGTACAAGAGATATTACGAAATCGACTGCAAGGGAAACGATATTAGCCACGCTTCATCACGCGACGTACGACAATCCGAGGCTTGCATTAACCAGTAGCCTGAAGAACTAAAGAAAATCTGCGATAACACGGAAGGATGCATTGGCTTTAACTCCAATGGATGGCTGAAGAGCAAGTGCCCTGGACAGGAAGTCATCGCGGGCCTGACCACCTATCTCATTGACAGCAGTACGCGTTCTAGCCATGGGATGAATTGCAGTTTTTGTTCCTTCGGGAGAGGAGCCCGATATGCTTCTCTGGCCGATGCCTGCTAGCTACAAGAGTGGCGATTCTGTGGTGGCCATCGATCCTCTGCACATTCGTTTCACCTCGAACTATCTGAGCGAGGAGCTGCGTCTGGCTACGGTTCGCTTCAAGGACACCATATTCCAACGTAAACTCGTGTCAACTCCCTCCACAGCGATCAATGAAGTGCACATCGAGCTGAAGGAGAAGGAGGTTCCTTTCGAGGTCCGCTTCCCTGTTTCTGGCCTAATCCGCAGATCTCCAAGGATGAGAGCTATTCTCTGTCGGTTCCGGAGGACGGCTCGGCCATCGAGATCGAGGCGAACAATCTTTATGGCGCCTACCACGCGCTGAACTCCCTCATGTTCCTGATCCAGTTCGACTACGAGCGCAACTGCTACGTGCTGAAGCACGCTCCGATCTTCATCGCGGACCGTCCCTTCCTGTCGTACCGCGGTTTACTGATCGATTCTTCGCGGCACTTCCTCCCGCTCCGCAGCATCAAGCGCATCATCGACGCCATGGCCTGGGTCAAGCTCAACGTCCTGCACTGGCACCTCGTCGACGACGAGGCCTTCCCCTTCTTCGTGCCCTCCGTCCCCACGCTCTGGCAGGGCGCCTTCTCCTCCGCCGAGCGCTACACCGCCTGGGACATCGAGGAGATCGTCGCCTACGCCAAGGCGCGCGGCGTGCATGTCGTCGCCGAGACCGACGTGCCCGGCCACGCCGCCTCCTGGTGTGTCGGAAGTAGGCGAGGTTCTCCGTTTCCACGTAGATCCGGAGCTGTGTCCGAGCGAAGATTGCCGCTCTCCGCTGGACCCGAGCCGCGAAACGACGTTCGAAACGCTGGACGCGCTGCTGAGCGACCTGCTGGGCAGCGGGAAGGGCGAGGGCTTCTTCCCCGCGGAAGTGTTCCACATGGGAGGCGACGAGGTGAACACGGAGTGCTGGACGAAGGTTCCGCGCGTGGCGGAGTGGATGGCGCAGCGCAATCTGACGGCGAACGGGGCGTACGGGTACTTCGTAAATCGCATGGACGCGCTGATCCGGAAGCGAGGACGCGAGACCATCGCGTGGGAGGAGGTGTTCGTGAACCATCGCGCGAGTATCGATCCCGCGATGATCATTCAGCTGTGGCTGGGCGACGGAGAGAGACTGAGAGAGATCGTCGATGCAGGCTTCCGCGTGATCGTGAGCAACTACAAGCATTGGTATCTCCCGCAGCTCTGGGAGACCTGGGATTATTATTACGGAAATGATTTGTACGGGACGGAGGAGAACGCGTGATGCGTAGCTTGAAGGACATTCCGAAGGAGAAGTGGGCGCAGATCTACGGAGGCGAGGTGTGCATGTGGGGAGAGACGGGTAGGAATGGGGGAGACGCGTCACACAGTCGATGCCAGTGATTTCGAAAACACCATCATGCCGCGGTCCATCGCTGCGGCGGAGCGAATGTGGACGCAGCCGGAGCTGCTGGATATCGAGAGAGCGAAGATCCGATTCCCCTATGCGCGATGTGAGTTTAATCGCAGAGGCGTGCAGGCGGCGCCCGCGTTCACGGAGGGAAGAGGTGTACCGATCGGTCCTGGAAGTTGCATGAGACAGTGCATTGTTTGTTTGAGCACTATTTCTTTTTTCATGGATTTTGAACGACTTGGATTATGCGACCAGCTGATTAGAGCGATCGAGATCGAACAGTGGGAGTGCGAATCACGGCGTGTTGTGAAGTGTAGACATCCGACGGACTGTCAAGAAGAGGCGATCCCGCTAATCCTCGGTGGAGGCGACGTCCTACTCGTAGCGCTATGGATTGTTTGATATGCAGGCCGCTCCCACGGGATCGGGAAAGACGGCAGTACTTCTTGCTGAATAAATTGAATTTAGGCGTTCTGCCTTCCGATGCTGCAGATTGTGTGGGAGATGCTTCAGAAGGACGCACCTTCTTGTTATGATGTTTTCTTCTTTCCATCTAGATGAGGAGGATCAAACCGTGTGCATGAACTATGGCGATAGTGATGCTGGCATTAGTATCGGGTACGTTTTGTAAATCACCCTCTTTTTCTCAGGAGTGATGGGTGCACCGTTGCAAACCAATCGAATATGTGGAAAGGGTGTCGTGCGAACGTCAGTGTTTCGGGGTCTGGTAAATTCTATTATGAGTGCGAAGTTTTGTCCTCGACTGGAATTTGTCGAGTGGGTTGGAGCACTTCGGGAGACTCGCTGAACCTGGGAACAAGCAAGACTGGTGGGAAAACGAAGGGAGAGTGAGGTGCAGGGTACGGATATGGTGGAACGGGGATGAAGTCCAATTCGAATAATTACGAAAAGTACGGGTCCACATTCTCTCTAGGCGATGTAATCGGGTATTGAAAGCGATTTCCGACTCACTTTCGAAGATGTCTCCTCGATCTCGATGCAGGCACGATTTCCTTCTATAAGAACGGAACTTCGCTGGGCGTTGCCTTCTCAAATGTGAAACCAGCTCTACACTACTACCCCACAATCTGTATCAAAAACTGCTCGGTGGTTGTACGATTTGCCGCGCAATCTTCGCTTCGCCCATTCCCCGCGGAAGCTTCGCCCATTCCTTCTCCCTCAGCTTCGCATGGCGGAAGATCAGCGAAACGAAATATAATGGCGCTCATCTTGGAGCCCACGCGCGAATTGGCTCAGCAAACGTACTTTAAATTTGAAAAACCGCGGTGATCGCTAGATACGAGTGTCTGAACCATTTCAAAGCGTTTATGACGCGGCCAACGGTGGAGGTGGGACTGCTCATCGGTGGTGAACAAGTGTCTGCTGCGAACCAAAAGCGTATCATCGAAAATTCCCACATCATCGTGGCTACGCCGAGTAAACCCTCTTTTACAAAAATTCCACAAAGACCGATTTTTGGCAAGCATAAAGAAACAAAGTGTGAAATTGTCAAATCTCTTGTTTTTCATTCTGGACGAAGCGGATAAGTAGGTTTTATTAATAAAAAAAATAAAATGTAACTGATCTAATCAATAGATTGGTTGACGATGCGAACAACAACGAGCTCCTTCAGATCTACAGTCGCATTCCTGCCCGTGGGAACGCCAACAACGAATATCGTCTCCAAGTGCGCTATCCATTCCCCATTTCCCTTCTAGACGTGTCTATTCTCCGCTACCCTCCACTCCGATTCAATCCGCCATTTGGCCGATGAAATCTGTCGCAATCCGATGTGGGTGGATCTGAAGGGTCGCGACTACGTTCCCGCCACCGTTCAGCAAGTCAATTTCTTCGTCGACGTCACCGACCCCGCGCAGAAGCAGCTCTACAATGTCCACAACCCGTCGTTCACCGACGGCGTGCATCGCGCGACGCCGCTCCCCAGCGTTCCGCTCAACGCGGAGGACAAAAGCGAAGCGGAGAAGCGCGCGAAGCTGCAGCTGCTGGTGGCGCTGATGAACAAATACAAGATGGAGCGCGTGATCGTGTTCTGCCGCACCAATCTGGACTGCAACAACCTCGAGGCCTATCTCAAATCGCTGGATCAGCGGTAGAAGCCGTCGATTGGGCGGCTGACGCGTAGGTCCAACGAATTCCCCGCGGTGGTTTTGGCGGGGCTGCGCGACGCGCGGGAGCGCGATCATGCGCTGCAGGTTCGTTCTGCTTCCTGAACTGTCGAGTGTAGGCGTTCAAAGAGGGCGAGGCGCGGATTTTGATCTGCACGGACGTGGCGGCGCGCGGAATCGACGTGAAAGAAATCCCGTTCGTGGTGAATATGACGCTGCCCGATAGCGTGGAATCCTATCTCCATCGCATTGGGAGAGTGGGTCGAGCCAACGCGATCGGGATTTGCTTCAATCTGGTGAATCGATTCCCGGAGAAGGTGTGGTACCACACGTGCAATCGGAAGCGAAGCAACATGATGAGCTGCCATAATACGAAGCTGACGAAGGACGGTGGGTGCTGTATCTGGATGGACGAGAAGGAAATGATGGACACGATCTGCAAGCGATTGGAGCAGGAAGTGCCCGTTCTGGATAATGCACTCAATCTGCCGCCTTCGATTGATCTCACAGCGTAGGAATGGGGAGACGAGTCGAGAATAGTGCGAAGGAGGGAAAGAACGACAAGCTGATCAAACAGGCGGTGAAGAATGCGCAGAGCATAGAGCACAACGTGGAGATCCTGGAGAATCTGGAGAAATCGATCCAGTCGTCGTATCTAGCCATGCGATCGATACAGTTATCGTGTGTTTGTTCAAAAACAGATCAGGACTCGTTTTGCGCTATTTCCTCTTTTACACACGTAATGTACTCGTCTTCTCGTGCCTCATCCACCTCTCCCGGTTCCAACTAAGAAGGTGAGAAGAAGAAGAAATATGTTACAGGCTCTTTACCGTAATGTTTCTGATAGCAAGCTTCCGAGATACCTATCCAACAAAAGATCGAGCAGGGTTGTACACTGGTGAATGCAATTCATGCTTTCGTATCGGCTATATTCTTTACAAGATGTCTGGGAGCAAATGTCAAACAGTTTATCGTATTGTTGGGACAACTACTGAAACAAACGATTCTGAAAGGCACACATCCTGTTCTGATAAGGGAGCGGTGACTCCTATCGAGCAAATGATGAAAGAAAGGAAAGTGAAAAAACGCCAAAACATGAAAAAAATAAATTTGCATTAGATTGCTGTGTAGAACACATGGATCAAGAGGATCACGGATCTCAAAGACAACTGCACAATTTCACAATTGCACAACTGCACAAAAGTGATCAATCAAAACCGAATTGTGGAAACGCGGAAACTAAGTCATATTAAGAAAGATTATCGTTTTCTCCCATGCAAACTGAGGTTGAAATGAAAAAGATCGATGCTGCAGAAGTGAAGGTGGAGAGTAATGTGGATAACTCCACTCTGAATGATAATGATTCTCCTACTTCCGACAAGGGAGTGGACGCTTCTAAAAAGGAGATCGAGACCACCCCCGAGACGAAGGAGGAAGACGGAACCTTAAATTCAACCCAAGTAGGGCTATTTGCGTGATATCATTCCCAGTTTGCAATCAACTTGATGAAGGGAATTGCGGGTACTGGATCCCTGGCAATTCCACTGGCGGTAAAGAGTGTATGTTGTTAGCATAAACCAATTGATCTCTAGGTGGGAATTCTTTTTGCCATTGTCTTGTTTGTTGTCGTTTCTCTGGCGTACGTTTACTCCTCCTACGAACTCATCACGGTAAACAATAATCTGGGCGCCAAGCGCAACATCGGAAGAGGTATTATCCACACAAACAACGATTACGCGCGCATGTGTTACATCGTATCTTTCTTCGCTCTCCTTTTAGCTGCAGGGTCTAGGCAAGCCCGGCTATTATCTCTTCAACTTCGCGTTGCTCATGACATTGTACGGCGCCTGCATCGGCACCATGGTGGTGATGACCGATTTCCTGGCGTCTCTGCCCATCATGACGTCCAACCCTACTGGCAAGCGCTATCTAATGCAATCACTGCTCACGGTGGTGGCGATCGTCCTGTGCATGCTGAAAGACCCGTCGCTGCTGGTGAGCATCTCCTCTCTGGGCCTGGTGGCGCTGGTGGTGAGCTACGTGCTGCTGTTCATCTACTGCTTCACGTCCAGCAAGCTGAGCTGGGAGACGTCCTATTTGTACCCGCTGTCGCTGCGCGATTTCCTCAACAATTTCGGCGTCTTTGCGTACTCCCTCGGCTTCACGCTCTATCTCTTCTCCCAGCTCGTGCGTCCCGCGGGGATCCTTCTCTCTAGAAACATCTGCGTCGCGCTTACCGCGGTTCTGCGGTGCAAACGATCGGCGTGTCGCTGCTGCTGATGGCGGTGATCTACGCGTTTATCGGGATCGTGCTGTTCCTGCTGCTGGATAAAACGGACAAGGGCGTGCAGGGCAACATCCTGGCGTCCATTCCCGAGACCCACATCTTCAACATCATCATCTCCATCTTGATGGTGATCACGTGCATCGGCGGCTATCCGCTGTACATGGGCCCGATCCACGAGGTGGTGGAGGGCAACTGGGGCGCGATGACGGCGAACAAGTACTTCATCACGAACAAGAACTACATTCTGTTCCGCACCGTGGAGATTCTGCTCATCTCCGTCGTGGCCGCCATCTTCCCGTTCTTCAGCGACCTGCTCGGATTCAATATCCTTTAAATCAATGAATCAATGAATGAATCAATGAATCAATGAATTTGGAGCCCTTCTTGTGGAAAGGGCGATTAGCGACTTAACGGCACTCGGCAATTTCTCGTCGGTTTTGGTGGCGATGGTGCTGCCTCCGATTCTGCACAACGTTCTGATGGGGAAAGTGCTCAAGAAGGGAGTCGTCATGGGCAATTGGATCTTTGCGGGTGTTTCCTCCATCGTGATGGTGGTGTGTACAGTTGTTTCTTTTATCTCTTTAATCGGAAAGCTGAAGCAGCAGTTTGCTTAGTTTGGTGTGTTTAGTGTGTTTGTTCCATACACACATTCCGTCAGATATGAATCTGTAGCTCGGATTTGGTGTATCATGCATAAGTATCAAATTATTATCGCATAAGAAGTGTCGAAGAATGGGAAAGACAATACACTCAACGGTGGAAACGGAGTTTGGTTCCACGATTTGTACTTACCATTCTTTCCTAAATGGCGACCGAAATTGAATTGAAAAAGGTGGAAACGGAAGAAAAGAAGCCCGAATTAGGGAGTAACAATATGCTTCAGAATGATGTGGACGCCGTGGAGGATATTAAAGTGCAAGCAACTCCAGTGGAGCCCACAGTCGTTCAAGAACCTGATGGAACGTTGACAGCCACCGCTGTAATGTGTGTCCCCCCACGTCAAATCTAGGTGGCAATCAACCTAATCAAAGGATCGATCGGTACAGGCACATTGGCCATGCCACTGGCCGTGAAGAGTGTATGTCTTTTTTTGGAATTGTGATCCGAAGGTCGGGCTTGTGCCAGCCATCTTGCTCTTTGCTATAGTTTCACTTGTATATATGTACACCGCAAATGAGCTCATCACGATCAATAACAGCCTTGGCGCCAAGCGAAATATTGGTCGTGGCATTATCCACACAAATAATGACTATGCACGTATGTGTTACATTGTATTTTTTCCCTCGCCTCCCTCATTCCCAGGGTTTGGGCAAGCCTGGCTACTATTTATTCAACTTCACGCTTCTCCTGATCTTCTACGGCGTCTGCATCGGCACCATGATCGTGATGACGGACTTCATGGAGTCGCTTCCCATCCTGTCCTCCTGGTCCAGCGCGAAGCGCTACATCATGCAAATCCTGCTCACCATCGTGGCCATCCTCCTCTGCCTCCTCAAAGACCCGGGCGTGCTGGTCCGGATCTCCTCGTTCGGTCTGCTGGCGCTGATCGTGAGCTTCGTGCTTCTCTTCATCTACTGCTTCGCCTGCGGCTCGTTCCGCTGGCAGCCGGCCTACCTGGCGCCGCTCTCCTTCAAGGCCTTTCTCAACAATTTCGGCGTCTTCGTCTACTCTCTCGGCATCACGCCGCTCCTCTTCACCCAGCTCGTCGGCTCCGTCCCTCGCGTCAAGCGTAGAGGCAGATGCAGCGCTCGCAGCGCGGGAAAGCCACCAAGACCGTCGCCATCTCCATCGCCGTCATCGCGGGGATCTACGTCGTCGTGGGGGTTACTCTGTTTCTCCTGTTGGATGGAACCGAGGGCGGCGTGCCGGGGAACGTGCTGCTGTCGCTGCCGTCGGGACATGTGTTCGGCATCATCATTTCGATTCTGATGACGGTGTCGTGCGTGGGGGGCTACCCGCTGTACATGGCGACGATTCATGAGATCGTGGAGGGAAATTGGGGCGAAATGACCAGCAATCGCGTGTTCATTACCAATCCCAAGTATGTCGTGTTTCGCATGGTGGAGCTGCTGCTGATTTCCACGGTGGCAGCTTTGTTTCCGTTTTTTAACGACGTGTTGAGCTTCAATATCCTTAGAGCGTGATGAAATGGGGGCTTTAACGACAGTCGGCAATTTCTCGTTCGTTCTGGTGGGAATGGTGATTCCTCCCATTCTACACAACGTTTTGATGCGCAGAGTCCTCCCTCCCGGAGTAATCGTCATGAACTGGGTTTTGGCAGGAATCTCGAGTGTTGTGATGGTCGTGTGTACGGTTGTGTCTTTTTCTACGATGATCGGCAATTTTAAGAATTTTTGTGTTTGTTTGACTCCCACTGCAGAATTGACAAGAACCGCGGAAGGTCCGATTCGACGGTTTCCACCTTATCATATTTTGCGATTCATTTAATTCGGACCTTTTCTAATCAAATGGACGTGCCACAGATCGAGCTTAAGGAAATACAGACCGGCAATACCGAAATCAAGAAAACCAATGCAGAGCTCATGTCGCCCACTGTGGTGGCCAACAAGGAAAGTCCCCAGGAGAACAAGGAGACGCCAACGCCCTCGCCGCAGATGGAAAAAGCGGACACTGGAACTTTGACGGGCAAACAGGTAGTTTACTCCATGAATTTTGCGAGTTAGTAGTTGGCCATTAATCTGATGAAGTGTATTGCGGGTACCGGTTCTCTTACAATTCCTTACGGAATGTGGAATGTGCTTTCATGCTTGGGCTGTGATTTTCTAGGAGGGAATTATTTTGGGAGTCATTTTATTCATTATCGTCGCCATTTTGTACGTCATTTCCGGTTACCATTTAGTAACTGTGTACTACCGATCGCAGGGAGTGAGAACCGTATCGCTGTTTCTTTTTCCGTTTCACAGGATAGGATGCAATCAAGACAAACAACGATTACGCCCGTCTGTGCTATATCGTGCATGCAAATCCGCCCATTTTACTTCTAGACGATGGGCCAACCTGGATACTGGATTTTCAACATCGCAAACGTGATCACTTTATTCGGCATGGCGATGGGCACGATGGTTCGTCTCTTCCTTTCAATCTCTCACTTCCAGATCGTAATGACCGATTTCCTGGACAGCCTGCCGATCCCTACCTCCCACCCCACTCTGAAGCGAGCGATTCTCCAATTCATAATCACGGTTATCTGCCTCATTCTCTGCATCCTCAAAGACCCCAGGTACCCCTTTTTCCCCTTTTCTCTCACCCAGTCTCCTCGTGGGCGTTTCCTCGTTCGGTCTGATCGCGCTGGTGGTGAGTTTGTTGATCCTTTTCTTCTACGGCGTCGCCGCCTACGGCTTCAAGTTCGAGTCTTCCTTCTGGTTCCCTCAGCGCGGTCACGTGCTCAGCAATCTCGGCGTCTTCATCAACTCGCTCGCCTTCTCTCTCATGTGTCTCTCCCAAGTGGTAGCGATTCCCGCGGGGATGCATGGTAGAAACACCTGAAACGGTCGTACCGGACGACGATCACGCGCACGATCTCGATCTCGGTGTTTTCGATGGCGTTCATCTACATGGCGATCGGCGTGATCTTCCTGATGATCTACAAGACGGAGGACGGCATTGCCGACAACATTCTGCGGGCAATCCCCAACGATTCGGTGTGGAACATGATCATCTCGGTGCTGATGGTGGTCACGTGCATGGGCTCGTTCCCGCTCTATCTCGGACCCATCCACGAGCTCTTCGATGGTCGCTGCGGCGCCGTGAAGACCGGGAAGTACTTCATCACCACGCCTGTGTACGTGTGGCTGCGCGTGGTGGAGGTCGGCGCGATCTCCGTGCTGGCGTTCCTCTTCGACAACTTCCGCGCCGTGCTCAATTTTAATATCCTTGATGCTGGATGAGGGGACTTAACCGCACTCGGAAGTTCCACGGCGATTCTCGTGTGTAATATCCTGCCCGCGCTGATTCATTTGCTGTTCTTGAAGAAGAACTTGAACGCGATGTGGATCGCCATTGACTGGGTGATCATCGTGGTGATGGCGGTGATGATGGTGATCTGCACGAGCATTTCCTTTAAGGAGCTGGTCGATACGTTGTAACTGTTGTGTTTAGTTCATTGTTTGTTTACAGAGGGAATTCTAACATACTCCGAAGGATTTGCGTTTGTTGCTGAGTTGGGTTTGAATCGTAGCTACTCAGTTCTCTTTGGAAACGGCCTATTCGCTACTCACATTCTTTTTCACGACATTTTTCGATGTTTCAAGCTACCATGGATTCTCTGGATCTAAATAGGGTCTGTAGAAAAGACATATCCCTCACTCTCTCCGAAAAGGAGTCAACGCTGTTCAAAATTCTGCTCGAAGCAAATAGCGATCTCCAGCTACACTCAACACTCCGTGTTGCAGGTGGATGGGTTCGAGATAAGGAACATTTTCAGTTAGTGGTTTCATTTGTAGCTTCTTGGCCTTCAAAGCCATGATATCGATATTGCGATTGACAACATGACGGGTTTTGAGTTTGTCGAGAAACTCGTTCAGTGGTTAGTCGCTCGCGTATCCTTGTTGTCTCCTCTGTGATATTCTAGGGCTATATGACATCAAATGTAGGCAGGATTCGTGCAAATCCAGAAAAAGTGAGAGTTGGCTTCATGCTATCATTATGTAGTCAAAGCATTTGGAAACGGCTACTGCTCGCATTATCGACACCGACATTGACTTTGTAAACCTCCGCAAGGAGGAATATGACGACTCCAGCCGCATTCCCTCCATTTCGATCGGAACTCCTCTGGAAGATGCGTACCGTCGCGATCTGACCATCAATAGCCTCTTTTACAACATGAACACGGGAACGGTCGAGGATTTCACGATGCGAGGCATTTCGGATCTGCATGATCGTCTTGTCCGAACTCCGCTTCCTGCCATTGAAACCTTCCGAGAAGATCCTCTGCGTCTCCTTCGAGCCGTCCGCTTTGCTACGCGCTTCGATTGCTCGATAGACCCCAGCATCTTTGAAGCGGCTCGAATTCCAGAAATCGAGCATTTTTTGTCGATCAAAGTGTCGAGAGAGCGAATTGGAATCGAGTTTCTGAAAATGGCGCAATTCCGCCATTTCGATCGTGCTCTGCACGAGCTTTCGAATATGGCGATTTTGAATAGTTTGTTCCATATTGAAGGCGATCTGACGTTCTACATGAAGAATCAGAAGCTCCGCTCGATGGAGGAGTTTGGGAGACAGTTGTTCCTGTGCTGGGTTCCCGAAGTGGGAAAGCGAAGAAAACGTGAAATGTAGACGGCGGTGGAGAGTCTGGCGACGCTGGACGCGAAGTTTATGAACTGTTTCTTCACCTCGAAGAAGCTTTCCATCGACGATTTCCGCATTCAGGAAGCCAGCGAAGCCAGCGAAGCTAACGAAGCTAACGAAGCTAACGAAGTCAATCAAATCAGTGAAGCCAATCAACCCAATCAAGTCAGTGGAGCCAATCAAATCAGCCAGGCCAATCAGGTCAATCAATCCAGCGAAGCCAATGAATCCAGCGCGCAGCCCGAGCCCTCCAAGCCCGCTCCGTCCTCGCCGAGCTTCGAGCCGCATCGCTACGCGTCGTTCATCCAGTCGCGCATCAGCGCGGGCGTGCGAATGGTCGACGCCAGCGAGGCGCTGCTTCGCCAGCCCGCCGTTCAGCAGCTCTGGACGCGCTTCTGCCTGCGCGAACTCGTCTCTCCCATCGAAGACGTACTTCCCGATTGTGTTTCTGTGTTACACGCAGGGGTGGGAGGCGGCGCTGCGCTTGGCGTGTCTGCTCCACGCGTTCTCGAACGTGTTTCTATGCGGACAAACCGAAGTCACGCAGAAAAAACGAATCTCGCTGCAACCCGCGGTTCTTTCGCCGCTCATCAAGCACTTCATTCGCGAGTCGTTGAAGCTGCGCAACTGCATGATCAACGATGTGTGCTGGATTGACCACCGTTTCCACGAATTGGTTTCCACGTTTGAGAAGTGCGAGAATCCGGAGTTTGTGCCGGAAGATTGGGAGATCGTGGAGTTGGGGAGCTTGCTATTGGCGAGCAAGCAGCTGTGGCCTTTGATGCTGCATATGGTGGCGACGGAGAAGATTCTGAAGGGAGAAGAACGTGATCGGGTGATGCAGTGCTATACGCGGTTTTTGGAGATCGCGAAGGAGAGAGAACTTATGGAGATGTGGAATATTCCGTCGATTCTGAATGTAGAGCGAGGAGGAGAGTGATGATTGTAGGGAAATGACTTGTCGTCGATGGGAGTGAAGAGAGGGCCTGACATGAAGGGATATATGGAAGACATTCGGAAGTGGATGATTCTGAATCCGCATGGCACCAAGGAGCAGTGCATTGAGTATCTCAATCAGAGACGTTCGTAGTTCAACTCTATTCTATTTTATTTATCTTGTACTAACTTGTTTGTACAACAAAAAAACCACCCTATAATCATATCTAATAACAAAAACAATGTATTCACGAAGATGAGCGGAACTAGAGAAATAGTCCTTTCCACAACAACTCCTTACCTCGCAACCACCGAACTGCCTGCAAAAGGCCTATACACTGGTTTTTGATTCCGCTTGCACCATAGTTCGTATCAACGACGTCCCATCCATCTACATGTCAACCGAATTTTAAAAACTCACATTTACGCAAAAATCGCTTTTCATGAAGAATGGCCAACGCGTTTATGAACAATAGAATGGATTTAAACATATTCCATAGGGACAACATCTGACTTTATTTAAAACAACAATAGAAAAGCAGTTTTTGCCAAAAAGGTTTATTCTCACTTGATGAATCGAAATTCTCGGCTGTGTAGTGTGTATGGTTTGCTCATCGCAGAGTGCATTACTCCTAGATGTCACGAATCCGAAGCCAAGTATGTTTGTCCAGAATGTAAAATAGCCTACTGTTCTACGAAATGCTTTAACGTAGATTCAAAGTTGCGGTGACAAGGTAGAATCACAATCCGAAGTGCACAGAGCGCTTTTACTCAAAACTGGTTCTCGATGAGATTTCTCTGCGGCAAAAGGAAGATAAAGAAAAAGATGCGAAGAAAATGGCAGAGATCCTACAACGAGTGGGAGAAGAAGTCGTCGAGCCTTTAATGATTGATTCTGTTGTCAACGAGGAAGAAGAAGCTCAGCTTGAGGATCTTGCACGCCAAATTGAAGAAGGAAAGGATATCAGTGTCAATGCTCTTCCTCCTACTTACCATGACGCATTCTTGCGTGATGTTGCGAATGGAGACATCACTTCGATCATTCCTCCGTGGACACCATGGTGGCTAATGCCCGAATCCGAACACACACAATTAGCATCTCCGCTTGTCACGGATTTGGATGCAAAATCACAATCTTCCACGACAATTCCATGCATTAAACGATTTTTATCCACAAAAGCATTCCAAGACGTGCGATTACCCGTACATGTGTCTCCCTGTGTGTCTTATAACGCATTGGAAGTCGCCTATTTGTACTGCTTCTTTATGCGATTTTACAATGGCGATGAGGAGAGTCGTGAGGATATCGTCGCGTCTATTGCGAAGCACAGCTCAGTTCTATCGAAAAACGCGGTTTTTAGCTCTGCAGACGAAGTGATTGCGAGTCTGATGAGCGACTCGCGATTACAGCAACTGGTTGAACAGGAGTCGAAAGTTGGAAATTTGGAATCAGAAAAAGAAGAACGATTTTGTATGATGGTGTTTTTTGATGTGCTGACGCTTCTGGAAACACCGCATTATTTGATTGACGCGTTGGCGGATATAACGTTAATGATTCGTGCTGTATGGCCGAAGGATATCGGTAAGGAACGGAAATGTGCATTTTTCACCACATACTTTCGGAAAATGGACACAGAAACATTTTGGCTGCTTCGAAAGGAGGTAAAGTAGAATCGAAAGCGTAACATGTAGGTGGAAGCAAGTTTGGAAGTGTTTACAAAGAAAACGGGAAAACGAGCAATTCAATGGGTAGAAGAGCTGTAACTTTATTACTATAATCCGTACCCTCCTGTTTGGTTGTAAAAACATTTAATACCCATCCATATTAAACAGAAGCTCACAAGGGCTGCACTACAAATAGCCCCAGAATGAAGCTAAAACAGGTGCCACTGTAGTATAGTTGGTTAGTACATCACGTTGTGGCCGTGATAACCCGTGTTCGAATCACGGCAGGGGCATTCAATTTTTATGCTCGCGATCCTTTTTCTTTTCTGTCTCACCGCAGGATTGCAAACGTTTGCTGTATCACAGATCTCCAACTTTGACCAGTTTGTGAGATCCTATGGCAAGCGATACAAGGACGACGAATATGCGTTGCTGCTTTGTGTTTGTGTTGATCGCTAGAAGCCGAAGACAGAATTTCGTAGAGAATGCAAGGAAAAAGGAGGCAGCGGAGCGATTAACAGGAATCGATCTGCAGTACTCGTTTTATTCCGATTTTTCGGAACTTCGCTTCCGCAAATACCTCATGATGAACAATCGTTATCCGACTCCTGATCCTAGTGAGTTTCCTGAGAAGCCACCGCAAATACAAGAGATTCCTGAAAGTGCGGACTGGCGAAGCTTTTTCGCTCCCATTGTGGATATCGATCCGTCTATTAAGTGTGCAAGTAGCTGGGCAGTGGCGGTAACATCACTTTTGTACATGAAACACAAAGAACAGGACCCCTTATGGGATGTACATTTTTACACTCTCTCCTTGTGACACACAGCAACCCTTCAGTGTGCAGCAACTTCTCGACTGTGTCGTGGATCGACACGCACTCTCTCCGGACACTTGCGATGGTGCATCATTAGAGAGCGCTCTGCGCTACGTCTACGAAAAAGGCCTTTGTCTCGAAAAGGAATACCGTCCCTACAGCGGAACGCGCGAGAAGTGTCCGCGCACCGCTTGCAACCGCGTATTTTTTCTCTATTTCTTCGTCCATATGGAATAGTATTTCCTCAGGAATTATCGACGCGTGTTTCCCGCGCTTTCCGCCCTTTTAACCGCGGTTCACGACCAGCCCGTCCTCGCCACCGTGGGGGTCAATCCCGCGGTTCTCCAGTTCTACGTTTCCGAGTCCAAAAATCGCCCCAATTTTCTACGCGGGGCGTTTCATCGGTATTTTATCGCGGGAATCGTGTCTTCGTACAATTTGGCGGGAAGTGACCGTTTCGTCACGCTGACGATTCCCTCCTTCCACCCGCTTTCCCGCCATCTCCACTTCTTCGTTCCCGCCAACTGCCTCTCCGCCCATTCCCGCGGTTCTTCGCCCGTCTGCGAGGGGGACGCGAATTCCCTCGCTTTCTACGCGTACACCGCGGAAATCGAGCCGGTCCCGCGGTTCGAGCATCTCTTCGAGTGTGAGTCCCGCGGGGAATTGGTCAGTAGACTCGATCTTCGACGAAGCCTCGCTTTTGGCGGCAACGGAGCGAAGCCACTGGATTCTGCCGTGGAGTTTGGCGCTCTACGAAGAAATCGCGGTTCGCGGTGGGGAAACGGGGAAACTCCCATGTAGGATTCCACCGGGACGAGCTCACCGCGGTTTTGAGGCAGAGCGCGGAGGCGCTGCGAAACCGCGCCGAATTCCCGTGGAACTCCGAACCGAATCCATGGAGGGAGGAGTTTCAGAGCTGCAGAATCGCGGGGATCTCGCTGATCGGACTGTTCCCGATCGACTGTCCGTATTCCGCGGAGCCGATTCCCGCGGGGGAGGAAGAACCGCGGTTCATTCCCTCGGCGGGCGTGTGCCAACTGAACGGAACCGCGGTTAATTGGGTGCTGGAATTGCTCGAGGATTGCGGGGATTTGGAGTTTTTGGCGCTGAAGGATCAGGGGCTGGAATCGCGGGAAATCCGCGAAATTCTCCGGTTTTTCCTCACCCGCATCCAGAAATTCCCGCGGTTAAAACTCATCCAGCTGGGAGGGAGTTTCATCGGGAGGGAGGAATCGGAAAATATCCGCGGGACCATCGCGGAGCTGGCGGCGATGGGCGTTTCGGTGGGCGGAATCGCGCCGTTTGAGAGTGGGAGTTTCGTGGGGGTTTCAGGTAGATGAAACGCCCGATCGGGCATTCTTCTCGGAGCTGATGAATCAGCCGTACCAGTCGCTCATCGTGTACACCCGTATTTTTGGAATTGTGGAATGACCGAAATAGAGCCGATTTCGGATGAAACGATGGAAAAGATCGTAGCCATCTCCCCCTTCCGGTTCGCAGCCAAAATCACGCTGCAAAACGCATGTTGGCATTAAAATGACACAGAATTCATCGTAGGCACCGAGAGTCCGCGGGAATGTGCCTACTTCTCGATGGATCTGGCTCTGCTGTTCGATCGCTATCCGCATTATTTTCTCCGCACTCTGGATTTAACAAGCTTGATTTTCGTGGGGAGAATGAAGAGTAGATAACCAGATTACGACGATGGAGGCTTTTCGATTGTTAGTTGCGCTGAAAAACTATCCACGCCTGTCCTCAATCATTCTGGATAGTATTCGAAAAGGGAGGGAAATGTTGATTAGACAACTTGATCGATGATACCTTCTATCCGTCCTTCAAAGTGTTTATTCAAGATAGCACGATTTTCTCGTCTCTTCGGAGGATTAGCTTTCTGAGTATGTCATGATGCTCTTGCGTTGATTTGTGCAGATAATTTGTTTTCGAGTGAAGTCTGTCAAAGCTTGAAGGAAATCTTTTTCACCTCGTACGACCGCAGCACTACGGTGTTTTGTTGATGGGTTCAACTGTTTGTTATCACATTGCAGAGTGGATAGAGAGGATGTCAAATAGGAATACTTTTTGTGAATTGCCATGGGAATTAAGGGCCTTTCCAAGCTCATTACGGCCTACGCTCCGAAAGCTATGAAGGAAGTAGAGTCGAAGAGGTATATCGGGCGTATGATTGCGATTGATGCCAGTGTGATGATCTATCAGTCCCTCGTACTCGGTATCATTGCTAGTATCCAATATAGGTGGCAATTCGCATGAATAATCAGTTTGCATCGGTTATGCTTACAAACGCGGAGGGCGAAGTAACGAGGTGCATTTTGAAATAGATATTTGATATCCAGCCATATTCAGGGAATTCTGTCAAAAACCATCAAGTTGATGGAGGATGGAATCAAGCCCGTGTTTGTTTTCGAGGGCAAGCCTCCAGAAATGAAACAGAACGAAGTATATTCACTACTTTTTTTCTCCTCTAGCTCGAGCGCCGTAAGCAGCTGCGCGAGAAGGCGGAAGAAGAGTTGAAAGACGCCAAAGAAGCGGAAAACCAGGAAGAAATCGAGAAACTGAGCAAGCGAACGGTGCATATGGAAGGTGGTCATATCGTTTGTGTTCTGTGTGTTTGTTTGTAATGTGAATAGAACGACTGCAAGGAATTGCTTCGTTTGATGGGAGTTCCCGTGATCGATGCGGCGAGCGAAGCCGAATCGCAATGCGCGGAGCTTGCGAAGAAAAAGAAAGTGTGGGCGATGGCGAGCGAGGATATGGACAGTCTGACGTTTGGAACGCCGGTGCTGATTCGCCATCTCACGAAGAGCCAGGGCGCCAAAAAAGACGCGCAGAGCATTCTGGAAGTGGATTTGGCGGAGGTTTTGGAGGCAATGAAGCTCTCGATGGACGAAGTGGGATCCCAAACCGCGGTGAATTGTAGTTTATCGACTTGTGCATTCTGTGCGGATGCGATTATTGCGATGGAATTCGCGGAATTGGCCAGGTGAAGGCGTATCAGTTCATCCAAAAGTACCGGACTATTGAGAAAGTGATCGAGAACCTTACGGACAAATACCAGGTTCCCGAGAACTGGCCGTACCAGAAAGCACGTGAGTTGTTTAAAAACCCGTTGGTAACGCCCGCGGAGGAGATCGAGGTGAAGTTTGGGGAGGTGGATCGGAAGGGATTGGTGGAGTTTCTGGTGGATGCGAAGGGATTCAATGCGGAACGAGTGGATAATTACATTGATCGGTTGATCAAGGCGAGGAGCAAGTGCCAGCAGAAGCGAATGGATTCGTTCTTCACGGTGAAATCGCAGAAACGAACGGCGAATGGAAAAGAAGCGGCGAAGAAACAGAAAAAGTGAATTGTTTGTTGAAAGAAACAACAATCAGGAAAAGCAGTTGGAACGAATGGATAAATGGATTGTTCATAATGCTTTCTTTGTGGATGTTTCCTTCTTTTCTTTCGTTGCTTTCTTTGGTTTGCACGCTTTTCTGGGTTTCGATTCTTTTGGTTTGGCGGGTTCTTTCTTCGCTTCTTCTTCTTCTTTATAGTCTTGATCTCCATCCTTTTCTTTTGTTTCTTTTTCTTCGCCCTTCTTTTTTGCAGCCTTTTTGCTTCCCTTCTTTCCAAAGAAGCTTTGAATCGCTCCCTTGTTTATCTCCTCCACTTCTTCCTTTCCTTCCAGCCCGCGCAGCAGCACAATTTCCTTCGCCCACGGATGATCCGCGCCATACGCAGCGTCGTCGCGATGCGGCGTTTCCAAAATCAGCGGAATTCCGCGCAGCGCATCGCAATTCATAATCTGTCGGAACGGATCCAATCCGAGATATCCGTACCCGATTCGATCGTGCCGATCTACGTTGCTTCCCTTCGCGCCCATGGAATCATTCAAATGCATCGCCTTCAAATACGACAAGCCGACGACTTTGTCGAATTCTTCCACGATGGACTGGATTCCGTTCTTCTTTTTGAGGTCCATTCCGCTCGCAAAAGCGTGACATGTGTCAATACAAACACCGATTCGATTTTTGTTCTCCACTTTATCGATGATCGATCGAAGTTCCGCGAAGTCCACCCCCACAGTGCCTCCGCCCCCCGCGGTATTTTCGAGAACGATCGTCATATAGGAGGTTTGAGAATGAATGAAATTGATCGCTTTCGCGATCTGGGCAATCGATTCTTCTTTCGAACATTTCCCGCTCGTGGAGCCGGGATGCACGTTGAGGTATTTCAAACCCAACGCCTCGACGCGTTTGCACTCTTCCAGCATCGCTGTGCGTGCCTTTTCGTAAAGAGTTTCGTCGATTGTTCCAATATTCGATAAGTAACTCCCATGAGGAAGTACTTGATCGGCTGTGAAGTCTGATGTTCACATAGAAATAACAATCTCTACTGTGCTTAGTCATGGCTTCCTTAAATTTCTCGGCGACTCCTGGCTTCAAACTCGGCATCGCCCATTGTCTTTGAGATCTTCACTTATGAAATGCTGGATAGAGCCTACTTTAAAAAGAGAGCGAATGCAGAGGCTCCTATTAAGCTAGCATTCTCAACAGCATTAAACGCACCTCCAGCAGAACTAACGTGCGCTCCAACATAGTATGGCTTCTTTACAGTTTCTGCATCCTTCACTTCCTTTGTTTCTTTAATTTCTTCACTCTTTGCCTCTTTTAAAAGTTCTTCCTTTTTTTCAGGTTCTTTTAAAGGATTTTCAGTCTCCATTCGCGTATTCTAGTGATAAGCTAGCGACAATATAAAAATCAACACTGTGAGAAAAATGTCTTTGAAAAACGGGCGTAATCGATTGGGGTAAAAATCTCTGGTGATTTAAAACCAAGGGGACGATCCTTTGATAAAATCGAAAGGACATAATGATATTCACCTGACGCCAAAACTCTTCAAAAAAGCAAACAAGGATACGAACAAACAAACAAACAAACAAACAAACAAACAATACAGAAAAGAAAATTAAGGATTAACAATCAACTTCTGAATACCCGCAAACAGACTAACCTTGCCCACGAAGTCGAAACATTCCAGCACCAATTGCCTACATCTCACTCCGCTCTTTCGCCTCCCACTTTTCATACTCTATAACAAACGAGTTGGTTCCCGGAATATTCCGCAGCAGCGAAATCTCTTCAAACCCGATTTTGGCGGGCTTTCGTTTGACCAGCACCTTTTTATGCTCGTATTCAATCTACATCCAATCAAAACCCAGCAAACAATCGGCTACAAATCGACGGTCCTCCTCCTCCACATAGCGAACCACCGTGTGGTGGGACGTTCCATTCGAGCACCACTTTTTGCACGCAATGCCCGCTCGGAACCGCATCATAAACACGTTCCACTCTACATCTCATCGCAGAGATTCGGTGCGACCGTTTCGGTTCGACTGGTACACTTCGAACATCGAGCGCAAGTCGCGCCGCTCGTTCGCGTACTCCGGATCGTCCGTCACTTCCTCCTCTTCCCCGCTCGATTCGTTTCCTGCCTCGCTTGGATTTGTGTTCCTTTGTGTTTCGATGCATTCCTTCGAATTCGACTGCGTTTGTGACTGTGTTTGTGTTTGTGTTCCTGTTTGTGTTTGTGTTCCTGTTTGTGTTCCGAATGGATTCGTTGGTGCGGGCTGCGTGCGTTTCTCCGCGGCGGACGCGAGTTGGGAGAAAGATTCGCGGAGGGAAATCGGGCTGATTTCTGGCACGTCCGTTTCAAACGAGTCGGAAGTTTCATTATCGAAAGGATTCAGTTTCACCACCCGCGGGTTTCGCTTCACGTCCTCGTCGAACGGGTTCCGCGGGGACGACTCGGAAGTTTCATCGTCGAACGGATTCAGTTTCGCTTCCTTTTTCGCGGGTTTCGTGTCTTCGTCGAACGGGTTCCGCGGGGAAGACGCAGGCGTTTCATTATCGAAAGGATTCAGTTTCACGCCCCGCGGATTCGGTTCCACGTCCTCGTCGAACGGGTTCCGCGGGGAGGACGCGGGCGTTTCATCGTCGAATGGATTCAGTTTCACAACGGTTGGATTCGGTTTCAATTCCTCCTTCGTCGGGTGCAAATTCACCACGATTGCCGGGCGTTTCGCCTCCTCATCCGTCGGGTTCCGCGGGGAAACCTCGGGCGTTTCATCGTCGAAGGGGTTCAGTTTGACGGGTCCCGCGGTTTTCTCGGCGGAATCCTGGCTGGCCTCGGAGTGGGCGTCGAGTCTTCGCAGCACGACGCTTTCCCGCCCAAACGGATTCGCCACCGAATCTTCCATCGAATTCTCGAACGCGGGCAGAACCGCGGGGAAGCCCTCGCTGTCCACGTCGGAATCCACGGCGAACGGATCGAACGACGCGTTCACCAGCGGCAGCGACGTGAGCAGCGAGTCCCGCGGGGATCCCAGAGAGACCGCACGGTTCCCCGCGGGGGACTGCGGAGAAAACACACCGCGGGAATTCGAGGCGCGCGCGCGCAGCGAAGCCGCCGCCGGTTTCGCGGGAGTTTCATCCTTGGAAGGAGTTTCGTCTTTAGAGGGAGTTTCATTTTTGGCGGGAGTTTCATCCTTGGCGGGCGATCGGGCGGCGAAAAACCCGGCGAACGAAGACAGCAGACCCGTTCGCGCGGGAGAGCCCAGCGACACCGTGGAAACCGGAGTAACCGTGGAAACTGGAGTAACCGTGGAAACCGTGGAACCCTGCACTTGTCCGGTTTCTCCGTTTTGGGGCTCCGGGGACGCGTGTGCTTCCTCGGGTTTCCCGGTTTCCCCGATTGGCGGGGGCGAGGGGGAGCGGCGGCGCTCGGCTTCGCGCTTCAATTCGAGTCTTTCTTTGAGCTGCCGCGCCTCGACCTCTTGGCGCTGCTTGGTGATTTCCTCGACGCGCCGCTTCTCCTCCGCCGCCTGGATTCTCCGTTTCTCCTCTTCGGCCCGCCGCTTCTCCTCCGCCTTCTTCCGGATCCGCTCCATTTCCATTCGAATTCGCTGCTCCTGCTCCTCCTTCCGCCTCCGCTGTTCCTCCGCCGCCACCAGCCGATCGCGTTCTTCGCGCAGCCGCCGCAGCTGCATTTCCCGCCGCACGCGGTCCGACGACGCCCCGCGGGGATCCGCAGACGACGGCGGTTCCGCGGGAAGCAGGGAGGGAATGGTCACCGGGACCGCGGACGAAGAAACCGCGGTTCTAGGCGGACTGCTGGGCACGGGTGGAATAGTGTTCTGGGAGGGAACCGCGGTTCGGAGAGGGCTGCCGAGGGGCCGCGGAATTGTGTTCTGAGAGGAAACCGCGGTTCTGGGAGGTGTTCCGGGTACGGGTGGAATAGTGTTCTTCGGGGAAACAGGGGTTCGGAAGGGGCTGCTGGGCGAGTGGGGAATTGTGTTCTGCGAAAATCCCGCGGTTCGGGGGGGTGTTCCGGGTACGGGTGGAATAGTGTTCTCGGTGTGGAGGGAGGGAGGGAGAACCGCGGGGATTTCGACGCGATCCAGTTCGGCGCGCTCGCGTTCCCGCGCTTCGCGGCGCTGCTGCCGCTGCTCGCGGCGAAGTTGCCGCTGCCTCTCCTCTTCGGACAGCACGGGAGAGTCGCTCCCCGCGGTTATGGTGCTTCCCGCGGTCGGTGTATTCTGCAAGCTCGACATGCCCGGCATGCCCGGCGTATTCTGCGTGTTCCCTGTAGGAGGGAGTCGGCTGCGCTGGGCAAGCACGTGGATGTTCAGTGACGTGTGAACAGTGTTCGATTTGGGGGAATGGATTGCTGAGGGTGGAGGAGAAGGGGATTTAGGGATTGCCAGAGGTTTTAAGGTCGAAAGAGGGGGAATAGACCTAGAAGGAACTGTAGTGGGCAAACTAAAAATAAGCACAGAGATACGCGCACACTTTAATCGTTTAATTTCACTGCCCGAATAGATATCAAAAAGCAAACCGATAACCTTCGAATTACAGACCCCATGACAAGACTTACTTTGGAGCGTCGCTGCTTTAGCGCCAAGCACTGCCCCTCGTGTAATTTCATGTCCTTTTGCGGAACTACTGCTTTGCAAGCTTTGCAAACTGCATAGATCTCGTTATCGTTAATGGAGATGCTAACCTATTAGCCGTTATGAAGTCCCCACGTTGCATTTGCTGCCGTGCTCATTTTTCAGATCGTTGTATTATTTAGAGTCGAAATCGAAAAAAACGGTATTTTTGCAACAAACATATCATTCTACTTCTTCTTCACGATTCAATATCTTTCGTACACTTCTCGATCCCGGATGCATTTCTGTCAATTTCACGATCAGCTCTGGCGATCGGAACACACGAATCAGCAACTCGTAGACCTTCTTTTCATCCTTGAAATGTCCCCTATTCCTCATCCATTTCCCCATTTCCGCACTTGTAATTGCTGTACCGAGACATATATTCACTATGGACCAGATTCAACAGGAGGGTCGGATCAGGTATATTTGTGTATCTATTCTTCACATATTTCTCCAATTCCCACATCAACTCACCCACTTTCGGCAATAGGAACTGTCGAACCACACCCCCCACGGTAATCATGATCGCCATATACAATCCCACGATTCCGACGTTCGTCGAGTCTAAAAACCCGATCATGCTGAATTCTGCGGCCACGAACGCTTCCCTCGAGCCCTCTCTCCAATCCTACAGTTCAAAACGGGATCGTTCACCGCGCGGATCTGCACATGGCCGAATTCCGAAGTGTTCCGCCGTGACGAAACGCCCCACATCATCGCGGAAGAATCGCGGGTCGTGGACAACTACGATGAATTCGATCGAATTCGATGTACGAAGAGCGAGTCGAACCGCGGTTCTTCCTTGTCGACGAACCGAATCTCGCGGGAATTGGAGAGATAGAATAACCGCGGGAATCTGAACATGAGGGAAACGGAGAAACCGGACAAATGGGGAATTTCGATGTAATGGGTGCGTTTCCACGTTTGACCATTTTGACCATTTTGACCATTTTGACCATTTTGACTCATTGATTGACTCATTGATTGGCTCATTGCATTCGTCGAATTCGTCGAATTCGATTGGCTGACGACATCCGCGGGGATCGCATCTAAAAAGGCCGTTTCGTGAAGGAAACTCCCGCCATTTTTTCCCTCCATTCGGATATTCGCACTGTTCCCGCGATAACTTCGCCTCCCATTTTGCCGCGGTTGTCTTCGTGTCCTACCTCCCATTCCCGCCAAAACCCCCACTGCCGGATTTTCCCGCGACAACTCCATCGACACCACCACGCTGAAACCGTCGCAGTCCCGCGACAACTGCTCGCGCAGCTTCGTTTTGGCGGGCTCCGTGATTTCCCACCCACTCGGCATCCACTCCGGGAATTCCAGAATTTGGGCCGATTTCGCCCAGGCGTCGCTCAGCACCGATTGGTTCCTTCCCTCCACCACCGCTGCGCGTCAGTCCCCGCGGGAATCCCCACTGGTGAACATCGCGGACCACTCGGCGAATTCCCCGCGGGAGGCGAAGCGGACGGAGAGAATGTCGGCGAATTCGACGAGCCGGAAGGTCTGTTCGCGGTTCTACGCTTTTTTGGATAACCGCGGTTCTACGACCAAATCGACGACGAGGCCGGTGGAACGCACCGGATTCTCGACGAGCATCGGCGACGACGACGAGAACAGAAGCAGCGGCAGGCACAGCAGCAGCTACGTCGCATCCCCGCGGGGATCCTACGATCATTCCCGCGAGAAACACGCCGCCGTTGAGCAGCTTCTCCCGCGGGGGGCGCGGCAGCGCGCCGTGGTAGACGTCGTCCTTCTCCGCGGTTTTCTTCTACGCCGAAGAAGGTGGAAACGTGGAACCTGGTAGAGCGCGTGGTAGAGAACGCGGTGGATTTCCTCGAGCGAAAACCAGGCGTTCATGGGCAAAACCGAGCGCGCGGTGGTCCATTCCAGCAGCGTGTTGATCTCGTAGAGGAACGGAACGCTCGACGCGATCTGTGTTCCAGACGGAACACTGTTCCTACTTTGTACCAGTAGAATCCTAGCGTGGAAACGTCTTCCGCGGTTTTCGTCTGCACGTGCGTGGCCTGCTCCGGATAGCTGGGTGGGAGCGGAACACAGAAACACAAACCCGAACTGGATCTGTTTCGCGGAAAACGCGAGGTAAAGCAGCTGCAGACAGACGTAGATTTCCGCGGTTTTGTTGGACTCCCAGTTGCGGTGGCTCCAAAACGGCACGCAAAACACGAAAAAACCGCGGAATGAAGCAACCAATCGGACATTCAATGGGTGAGAAGGATATGAGAAGGAAAACCGCGTAAAGGCAGTGCGTGAGGAACTTGGCGGGAAGATTAGCCTAGAGAAAATCGAATTCGAATGGAAGTCGAACGCGCAGCATTAAGTATTTCTCCAAAACGATGCTCAGAACCGCGAGAATCACGAAGAACACCGTGCTCGACTGCAGCTGATTCGTCGACAGACTGTTCGCGTATTCCGAACACTGCCGTTAAGATCCCCGCGGGAATTAATAATAAGAAAAAGCACGGATATGGACACGTTCAACGCGCGCGCGATGAAAAAAAGCGAAAACAAAAGCGAAACGATCTGAATCGCCACCATTTCCCTACACAGAACCGCGGGAATCCCACATACTGCAGGTAGCTTCGCCCCGTGCGGTACGGAGACTGCAGAAAACCGCGGAACTTCTGCACGAAGGACCTCTGTTTCCACCATTTCTGAAGGTTGGAACTACTCATTCAAGGCGGGAAAAAATCGAAACTTCCCCGCGGGACTCTCAAAGAGGGAAACCGACCGGAGGTTCTCCTCCAGTTCCACGGTTTCTCGCTTCGCTTCCGCGGTTTTCAGCAGGTCCTCGCCGTCCAGATTGCACATCTATTTCACACGATTCCCGCGGGGATACGCCGAGGAAAACGCGGTAAATGAAGAGAAGGAGAATCAGCGCGAGGTCCCAGAGCATGGAAGAACCGCGGGGCGGGTTAAACGCGGGGAGGGTCTTGAAAAAGGAGAAAATGAAAAGCGGCTGGAAGTGATCGGGGTTTCGCGCGGCGTCGCAGTTGGGCTGAAAGGGAGGGAATATTTTAAAAAGGCGGTACGGCGAAGAAAAGCCGCCACGCGCCGCTGGCGGGGGACGTGGATTGGCAGACGATCGGGGTTTGCACGAGGAACCGGAGGGAAACGGAGAACACAATCAGGGAAATCAGGGAATCCGCGAAGACCCGCGGGAGCGACAGCGGCGACAGCGGGCCCAGACACAGCAGAAGCAGCACGTACAGATACGAGAACAGATCCCCGCGGGTCAGGAACAAAACGAAGAGAAACAGGGAAATCACCGTTTCGAATTGCCGCAGCGCGTCGCTGCGCCTCAATCCCCACGGGAATCCCTACAGCGTGCTCTGGAAACTGTCCGGCGCGTCCACGAAGCCGCGCACGTAGTCCCCGATTTTCCGCGGGAGCGACCGCGAATCCTTCTCGGCGCGGCGAACCGCGGGATTTCCCGTCTAGTTGGCAGTCCCGCGGGGAGCCTACGTAGGGGAAGGGGAGGAGGGGGTTGAGGGTCTGGAATAGTGTTTCGCGGGAGAAGGAGGGATCGCAGGGCGCGAAGAGAAGGAGGGATCTTCGCCCCATTTCGGTCAAATGCTTCGTTTGACGCGCAATTTGACAAGGTACACAAATCGCCAATCCTTTGTGTTCCCGCTGGTCCACGAAGAACACGTCGCAGATTCGCGCGCACGGAACCGCCATATTTTTCTTCGCCGTCTTGACCACGACTTCGCGCCGCGCCGAATCCACGCACACCGCCGCGAAATCCCCGCGGAGATCCAGACGGTTCAGATCCTCGCTCTCCCGAAGCAGGCAGCAAAACGCCAGCGGAACCGCGGTTATCGGATCCCTTCCAGGAACCGCGGCTCTCGTACCTATTTCCGCGGGAATCTCACTCTCTGCGGTTTTTGCATCTATTTCCGCGGGAGTTTCACTTTCCACGGTTCTCATACCCATTTCCGCGGGAATCTCGGCTCCCACGACTCTCATGTCCATTCCCGCGGGAGACTCACTCTCTGCGGGAGTTTCAATAGAGTCGATGGTAACCGCGGAAGTGATGCGGAGGTCGTTGTAGATGCACCACAAAGAGAGGGAAAACCGCGAGGCGGGGCGAAGCACGTTCAGCGTCAGCTCGAAAAACCGCGATTCTCGCTCCAGACTCACCGAACATTCGTCGCACGTGTAATAGTATTCGCAGGACTCCGCAGAACCGCGGGAAGACTACATCGGAGAAACCGGGGAAACTGACATGGCCGCGGGAACGGCAGGAGAGAAGCACGCCGGTGAGCTCCTTGAGGGGGGCGTTTCGATCGAATTCGCAGCGAATTCGGCAGGAATGACCCGATAAAACTTCCGCGGTTATCGACGTCGGCGCCACGTATTTTGCCGCCAAATCTATCGTTCACGCGCAGAACCGTGGAAACCTTCGTGGTAGACCGCGGATTCCACGATTTCCACTTTTCGGACGGTTTTTCGCAGCATCCAATAGAGCTGCTGCTCCACCTTCCGCATCTCTGCCACGTGACTCGGTTTCCCCGTTTCTACGTTTGCAGTGCTCCAGGTTCCCCGCGACCAATCCGTTGATCAGCGTGTCGTGGCGGCTCTGGCTCCCCGCGGAATCCTGCTCGACGCGATCGTGGAGTCGCTTGTATCCCGGACTCGCCAGCAGCGTTTCCTTCGCTTGAAACGCCCGCCAACGGGTACGTAACCGAAGTACGCGGCGAGGAGCACGGCGTAGACGCCCATTCCGGGCAATTCCCAGTACTTCGGGCACTCCACGAGCTCGGAAAGCGAGGAGTCGATTCCGTTTCCGAAGCACTTCGCCATTCCTTCGATCGAATTCGTCGTCAGTTTCGAAATCCCGAATAACCGCAGGAACAGCACGAACCCCCGTCCCCCGCGGGAACCGTCCGGAATGAGCGGGAACTGGAAGAGGGAAACCAGGGAAACGTTGACGAAGAGAACGACGTGGAGGCAGGTTTTCATTCGCATCGACGTCGAGTGCAGCAGCGACGGCCGCATTCTAGATCGCAGTCCCCGCGGGGATGTACAGCATGAGGAGGGAGAGGGAAAAGTAGAAGAGCGTGAAAAAGGAGGGCTGCAGCAGCGAGACGAAGAATAAAACCGCCAAGAATAATTCGTCCAGCAGCAGGAGCGAAAAATGACGCAGCTACAAAATAGCCCCGATTTCTGGAATCCACGTCCCTCCATAAAGTGTGTTCCGCGGTTTTCTGCTCCGTCGAGGCGGCGCGCGCTTCATCTTCGCTGCGCGTTTTGGCGGCCGCTTCGTGGGACCGTTTCAGTCCCAGTAACACAAACGAAACAATATTCCGGTAGAGCCACAGTCCGTCGTCCCGCACGAGCAGAAACTCCCGCCATACATCGCTCAGTCCCGCGGTTTTCGCGCTGAGAATCCACTCTACCCTCGATCTCCCGCCATCGTCGCTACGCGAAGGAACCGCGATCCAGAAGAACGCGAAGAGGTTCCACGCTCCGAGGAGTTTCATCACGCAGTCCGTCCCGCGGGAAAAGAGCAGAAGGCCGAGGAGAAGAAGATTGACAAGTCCGTCCAGCGTGTTTTGACCCGCTATTCGAAAAGGAGAAACGAGGAACCTACCGCCGAGAGTGAAGCACGTGATCACGATGCACTGCAGAATCGGACCCATCCATTTGTCCACAAAACGAAACGCCTCCAGAGCGAACTGCGCGATCTGCGTGATAACCACGGTGAAACACCGGCGAATTCGATCGCGCCGGCTCGCTCGGCGCTCCGCCTTCTTCAGCGCCGCCAGTTTCTTCGTGGCCACCTCCATGTCGTTCCCCCGCGGGAGCGACTCGTCGATTTCCCGCTCCATTTCCGACCAATCAACTTCGCTTGTCAAACTGTCGCGAATTGACCCGGGCGACGCGGGCGTTTCACTCAACCCCACTGGAGAAACTGTAGAAACCGAGGAAACCGAGGAAACCACATGCTCCATGAGCTCGCTGCGTTCGATTCGAATTCGCTGGAGCGTTTCCTTCTCGTTGAGCGAACTCCACTTCGCGAACGCGCATTGCAGGCGCCGCCAGCAGAAAGCCAACAGCGAATAAACCGCGGCAAACCGCTCCGTGTCCAGCGCGGACATCACGATGCACACCACCCCCACCGTCATAAACCCGATCATCAGCCGCACGTTGTATGCGAACTGCTCGCGGGAATCCGCCGAAAACAGCACCAGCGTTTCGTTCACCGGCTCGAACGGCTCGGCGGACGAAACGCCCAGGGCGTCGAGAAGCGTGCGGATTCCCGCGGGGAGGGCGAGTACGGAGGCGAAACTCCCGATGTACTGGACGAAAATGATGAGGCAGACGGGGATGATGAGGTAGCGCGCAGCGGCCTGCCAGGGATAGCCGGCGTGAAGCGTGTAGAAAGAGAGGAAGACGAGGAGGCAGAAGGAGAAGAGGGAGGGGCGCGTGAGGATGCAGAAGAGGATCACAAACATGCAGGCGAGGTCCAAAATTTGCTGCGCGGAAACCACTTGATGGAACACGGAAATGCCCAGACGAGCCTGCAGCTCGCGAGTTTTCTCCTCCGAATCCAGCTCGGCGAGGAGCGGCTGATGCACGCTCTGCGTGTGAAACTTCCTCAAACGTGGAAACAGAGATCCGGGACGAGTCGGTGGCGACGAACACGGGGGAAATCTGCGTGGAGGGCTGGTTCAGAACGCTGAAGGTGTACAAATAGAAGAGATAACATTTCAGCAACGCGGGAGCCAGGTACGAAAACACGCGGCCGCTCGATAGATCCTCCTCTACCGTCGAAACGCCCGCCGATCCGTACCGAATGGATGGGAGGAGACGAAGACGCCCCACTCGAGCGGAGAAAGCCAGGGAAGATGGGCTTCGAAAGCGGGGAAATGAACGTGGAGAAGAACCGCGGTATAGGAAGCGATGGAAACGAGGCTCTGCAGGACGAAGAAGAAGAGAACGAGGGAACGGCTCTGCCGGTTGAGCACCTGCAATGCGTTCATGAAGAGAACGATGGCGAAGGAAACGGCGCTGAGAACGTTCGAAGAATCCAAGAGAACGCAGAAGAAGAAAAAGAGAATCATCAGAGAGAAGTAGATCTGTGTGGAATTCGATCGAACTCGATGCGTACAATGAGCTGGCCTTTCGAAGAACGCGGGAGAACGGCTTGGTAAACGCTTCTACGCCTCAGCGTGCGCGGAGAGAAGAAAACTTCTGCGTGGTCGATAAATAGCGATCGCACACGAACAAAAACGAAACCAAAGCGAACACCACGAACGGGATCAGCACGCTCCCATCCCGCAGCGAGAAAACGCACGTCGGATCGTCCGCCCTCCACAGCGACTTCACGCCCCACGCCGCCAGCGCGGAGGCTTGCTGCGACGTTAGGAGAACCGCGGGGAAGAGCCGGAAGAGCAGCAGAACGGCGGCGAGAAGCGTTTCAAGGAGGGTTCGCTGGGTCAGAACGTCTAGCAGCACGACAGCGAAGAGAACCGCGGTGGCGAAGTCGACGGTGGCGGAGAGCGCGACGAAGAGCGCGAAGCGGACGATAACCGCGGCGAAACTGTGGAAGGTTTGGAGACGAGTGAAGTGGGAGGAGCGGAGCGAGTTGTCGAGAATGCAGCGATGAAGCCGCGTGAGCGCGTTCTGCGCGTTGAAATGATTGTAGAACTAGAGAAATCACGCGATTGGCGCTGGAGTACGCGGAGAAATCCGTAGAGAATCACGAACAGAACGATCTGCACGTAGCGGTCGCGTATGCTGCTCGCCTCGGCGTGGCCGCCGAACAACGCAAAGAGCCAGTGCGGATCCGAAACGCCGTAACTGAACCGCACCGAGCGGCAGAAGCTGTGGATCTGCAGCAGGAAGCAGTAGAACAGCGTGAGCTGCCGCAGACACAGCGAAGGAACCAGCACGCAGCGCTCATACAGCGATTCCAGAAGCGATTCGATCGCGCCTGTCGACGCGCCCGCTCTCTCCAAGGTTTCCACGATCGATTTCCGCGTGAAGCAGCGATCCAGCGTGCGCGTCGCCAGCAAATCCAGCAGCGCGAAGGCGATTAGAGCGAACGACAAAGCGTTCGGGATCAGCAGAATCCAGAGAAGCAGCACCGCGTAATAACTCCAATAGAAGAACGGTCTGTCCTTCAGGCCAAACAAACAAAAAGCACTTCGATAGCAAGAGAAAACCCCAGTCTCGTTTCCCCGTTTCTTCGCCGGGTTCCGCGGAGAATTCGGCCGTTTCAGCGTTGGGTTGCTCCGAAAGCGAAGGGTTTCCTTCGGCCGCCACGCCCTCGCGTGAGCTCGACAGCTTCGAAGAGGGCGGGAGAAGCAGGTCGGGAGTGTCGGAATCGGGCGGAACGTCGAGTTGCACGCGGAATAACACGCAGAGCGCGAGAATGGAAGCGAAGGAGGAGAGAACCGAAAGCCACAACGCGGAATGCGTGCCGAAGAGATTGAAGCAAACGGAGAGCCACGCGGGCGGCGAGGCCAGAATGAACGACAAGTCAGTCATCCCCGTTCTATGATTAAAAAAAGGGGAAACGGGGTTACTGGAGTAGAAACGAAAAGGATTGTAGGGAAAACAGAACCACACGCTCTTTGCTCGTGATGAATCGATGCTGGGAGAGATAGGCCAGGATTCCGAGGGCGACGTAGTCTGTGATGGACGAACACCAGATAAAAGAAGCAAACAGAAAGAGATTGTACGACCAGACTGGTATCTGTCGGTTTGGATAGTACTCCTGACATAGTGAGTCCATTTGAAGAGGATTACTGCACTCGCTTTCTCTTTTAGCAATAGAATGCAAACAACGATCAACAACAGAAGACCATCGATCAGAATTCCAGAATACCACTGACGAATAGAATAGATTCCAATCATCTCCATCCACTGAACGAGAGACACTGCTTACCATATCCTACCTTTTGGGAAATAAACGTAGCAACGATATGTCCACATGCTATCAGAGTAAATAAAGCGGCTGCTACAATATTGCAGACGCGAGACGACTTTTTCTTCTTAGAAAGGTTCCAGATACGAATGATTAGCAATCCGGAATAGACAATAGAAACGATCGACTTTCGTAGGGTACAAGCCAGGAAAAGAATACCCACGAAAAGCCATTCAGCGAAAAGCCGAAAATTCCTACTGTTTACGCTCTCCTGTGACATGTACAAAGATATCATGAGAAATACGATACACGCTGAAAATCTCTGAACGTTGTAAATTGGGAATTTGGATTCGATTCACGTCGATCTTTTCTATTGAATGGTACACTGCTCATAAGAGTGCTTGTTGATCGTAGGTGGTGGTGGTCGTCAAACATACTTAGGAGTTTGGGATTCTGAAAGCATTGGTCTCTGTAAAGAGGGATTTCTAAGCGTGTGATGATAAAGGATAAAGTACAAAACGGTTAATTCTGTGTTTTGACTAAAACTCAAATATAAAGAACTGGATATTGATTCTTTAGTCTAATGTCTGATACGTTTCAGTCGAACTATAAAAATGCGAGTAATGTGATCAAAAACATTACTAGTATTCTCGGCACCATTAAGAACAATACCAACGGAAGTGAGGCGCAGAGACAGTTGTCGCGTGTCAAGCAGTATTTTGCTCAAGCCCAGGAAGCGTTGAAAGTAATGCGTAACACTGCGAGTTTGATGAACTACAACAGCAAGATTCAGGCAATGGGGTCTGTGCGAGAGATCGAGCAGATGCTTGCAACCATTAAAAAGGACATTGCTCGTCTTGAATCGAAAGTGAACAAGTCCGCTCTTGTTGGCTCTGTAGGATCTTTCGTTTTGCTCGTGAAAGTAGGATGCCGAGGAAAAGAAGAAAAAGATGGCTCAGGGTTTGATCCAGCTGAACGAGTAGGTTGCATGAGCGCTATTTTTAAAGGTAGCACTACTGGAATTTTGAACCAAGTGAAGGCCTCTGCCTACGAGAGCGAGAGCATTGGCCATGGAGCTCTGGAAGCCCTTGGTTCCCAACATGAAGTGCTCATTCGCTCAAATGAGAAGGTGGAAGAAGTAAAGACAAATGCGAACATGTCGAAACAACTGCTGAGAGTTTTGACGAGTGCTTGCTTGAACTGTAGGACATGAATCGTCACGCGATCGGCAACAAGGTTTGTGCCATTGCGATTATTATCCTCCTTCTCGTTGCGATTGCTGTTATGATTTATTTGAATATTACGAAAAAGTAGTGTGTTTGTTGAAATCACTTGGCGGGAGATTGTTGCTGCTCCCGCAATGAATTAATTTTATGCCGCAGGAATCAATTTTGATAGAATCGGACAAGGATAATCCCGAATCGGAAGAATTGGGAGTGAACAAGAAAAATGTTGTGATTCCACTTTCAGATGTCAATGCTCCGACAGTTGCACCGTTAACGATTGGGATGAGTGTCATCATGTAGACTTGAGCAAAGCAAGAAGAGGGTCAAGCGTGTAACATTTTCCACAGAACAACCTACAGTATTTGTTTTTGATAAGAATAAAAGTGCTGTAAGGAACAGCAGGCTGTGCTCACTGGGTAGAAAGAAGTGTATCGATATAACGAAAGCGAGGTACTCAAGGAGGCATCAAGAAAAATCGAACGGGAGCGGCTTCGGTCTCCCCGGATCCAACGCAACTACATTCCCCCACCTATCATCGTTTCAGATCAACCTGTTTCTGTCGAAGCCCCCATTCCAAAGAGTCGGATCCGCAAGCAAATGCTCTCGATGATGAACATTTGGAATCAGCGAAGACGTAGTCAGCGAGTGAAACGTGTCCAGCAGCGTCTCCAGCAACAACAGCAGCAAGGCAACGGATCGCGAACCCTGGACGCGAAGTGGCAGCAACTCCGTCTCTCGATGAAGTACGGCGAGCTAAGCGACGATTTCTACAGCTACTGCCGTCGCTGGAGGAAGGACAGCGATTTCCTGGCGCGTGGCCGCGTCGCGTTCACTCAGCCGATTCCTCAGAAGCCGGTCTCCAGCCCTGCTTCCGTCCCGCTTCGCTTAATGTTCAACTTCCGTTTCTTCACACGCCTGATGCTGGCGACGTATCAAACGCGGCTTCAGCGTGTGGCATGGGATGTTTGTTTCAAACAGGCGCAAACACAAAGAAAAAACTATCCTAAGCTTGGTATGTCGGCGGACTGAGCTGGCATGGGCACAGACACAGGCACTGGAGACATCTCGCCGCCCATCGGGAGCATCGAAAAACTGCTCTGGTGCATGAATGCCGAAGGCTCGCCCTATCCTCGCACGCCCTCCTCACTCCTACTTTCGGATTCAAGTACTGAGACGGTGACGAGCTTCCAAAACGATACATGTATCCTAAAAAATCGCTCTACCCTTCAGTCCTCGCCCCATTCTCTACGCTCGAGCTTCCCATCCGCTTCATCGCCTGCATGGGCACCGAGAATCCCATTCCTCCCATCGGCACGGCCTCGGGGTACACCATCACGCCGTCCTGCGACGGACAGCAAGCCACCGGCACATACCCGCCAGGCGGCACGTACATCGGCTGCAGGGGCACGACCGACCCCACCGCTCCCACGGTTCCGACAGTTCCCGTGGTTCCCGTGGTTCCCGTGGTTCCAACGGTCCCCACGGTCCCAACCTTCGCTGCTGCCGACCCAACGGAGTTCCCCATTCCCATGGCTCGCACGGAGGAGGCGGGTCCCACGGGGATCTGGTCCATGCGGGAAGGAGCGGTGGGGGAGGAATCCTGGGAGCGCGCGGCCTCGGCCAGGCCGTGGCGTCGAAGCGACTTCCATCGAATCTTGACGGCGTTCTCGGAGCGACCGGGGAGTTGCTAGAGAGAAGGGAGAGAGAGAGAAAGCCGTACGTCGGCGATAGAGGACCAGCGATTGCCCCACTGCTGCTGCAGCGAGAGAATGAGATTGTCTTCCTTCGGCGTCCAGTTGCTACGATCACACAGTCCTCGCAATCCCACCTCTTTCGAATCGAAGGGTCCACGTGATTGCACCACCGCTCGCGACACTGCTTCGCCGTGCGGCCCTCGATGTTCGCCGCCACTTCCGCCCAGTTGGCGCACTTCGGCTTGTAGAGTCGGAGCAGATTGTCCTCCTCCTCGGTCCAGTGCCCCTTCTTCAGCCCGGGCTTCAGCACTTTCTTCCATCGCTGCAGGCACTGCACGTGGTTGCGCCCCGGAATCCGCTCCGCGATGTCTTTCCATTGCCGCTCGCCCAGCTCGCCCACCGCGCGGCGCAGCAGCTCGTCCTCTTCGGGGGACCATTTCTTGGGGTTCTTCTTGTCCTTTTTCTTTCTACACTCGCACCCACTGCCCACACCCACATTTCGCTGCGGTAGGAAACCCCGTCCACCTGCGCCACCAGGGTGCGATGCCCCGAGTTTTCCTGCGGAACGATGGACACTGGCTGCAGGGGCTGCACCGACTGCACGGAGCGTCCCGACTGCGCGGACTGCGCGGGCTGAGAAGGCTGCAAGGGCTGTGCGGGGAGCTCCACAACGCGCGTCTGCGTGTTCTGCCGAAGCAGCTTGGTCTGCACAGGGACCGGATAGCTCGACTGCGACTGCCGCCGCTTCATTTCGGAGGGGTCGATGCGGAGCGAATCCACGCGGAGATAGTCAGGAAAGGGCGTCGATGGCTAGATCTCAGCGATGAGTGCGAGGAAATTACTTGCTCGGCTCCAGGAAAGAACCGCCAAGGCGCATCTCTACAGCGTTACGAGCTGGAAGGATCGGAAACGAATCGTAGCCTTCGGGATAATCCAGACGGTAGGAGGACTCGGAGGGCAGACGCTGCGGAATGAGAAACGAAGATCCGTCCATTGAGGGGTTGCGAGAAAAAAGGTAGAAAGGCGGAGCGAGCTGGAGATTCGAGGAAGATTTGCGCGAAAACGAATTCTTCTTCTTCATCTCGGCAAGGAGCAGGGAGTTCTGGTGCAACAGGGAAGATGAGTTATCGAAATTTTCAAAATGAATTCCCGACAAATCGTGGGAAAGCAACGCATCCTCAGAAAAGGGCTTTAAACCGGCTAAAGGAGAAAGAGTCTTAGAAAGAATACAGGAACTTAGACGAGAGAGTCGGTATTGCAATATATCACTACCATCTCCCACCCAAGGAACATTGACTTGCTCATGATTTGTGTCTGCTTGTTTCTTGTCTGAATCTGATTCAGATATCTTCATCTCTGCAGTGTCTTCTGCAGGAACACTTGTTACTTTCACTAAACAATAATGCATGCAAAAGAGGCTTACTTGCGCCTGGTTCTTTCTTTATCGAAACTCCACCATCTGCACAATAGAAAAAAACACACAAGGAATACCTTCTTTTGAAGTAGGGTATAATTGAGTAGTTTGATCTTGTGACATTGCCGAACTATATCTTGCAGGTAGATGATTTATAAAACAAGTGATCGAAAACCGGCTCACTTTTTTTATGGACATTATTTTCGATCTCTTGGCAGTCTTCAAATGGTTGCATATTGTATATTTTCCTGATCTATTTAGGGAAGTTCACATTATCGAATCCCTCCATGAAAGGGTGTTCAGTTTTGCGAAGAAGCGAATATTCATGTCAGGTACTGACGGATCTGCCCTTTCCGTACGTCTTCAAAGTAGTTAGAGTGAGTTTAGAAAACGAATTCAAACCTGACACAATAGATACGGTCTCAGTGAGTGTAAAAACACGTTCTATTCTATTCTGTGGACACTTTTAAATACTGTTATCGATTTCCAATCTCACTCCACGGCAAATACTAAGTTGTGCGGTTGAACTTTGGGTTCCGACCATCTCTATGCTGTTTGATGTTCCAAACACTCTTTTCTTGATAATACTGCAAGTCCTCCCCTATATTATTCTAGTAGTATTTCCATTTCGGACTATTTTGTTAAATAGTTTGCATTCCCTTATCAACCGCAAACAGCGTGTTTTTCAACAAACAAACCATTCTACATGTTCTCGTTTTGCCTTCACGAGCACCTCTCCCCCTCTCTCATCCTCCTCCTCCTCTCTCTTCGTAAGCCGGTTCCTCAGCTTCGCAGAATCGATTCGGAAGTCGCGCGCAGTGCTTCTTCGCACGAACATTGTCAAGTTCACGGCTCCCTTCGTCTTCTTATTCACCTGAATCAGTTTGGCCTCGTATTGCTCGATCGCGAAAATCACGTCCGGCACCAGTTTTGCCTGCTTCCGCACGTGCACGTCCGAGTTCCCCTGCTTCTGCACCGTCTGGATCACCGCGTACACCGACGGCGTTAATTTCTCGGAGATGCACTGCGCCAGCTGCGTCAGCGCCTGAATCGGGCAGCAATCGCTCGCGTACGCGAACTGCTTCACCGTTTGATCCACCACGCCGTAGAATCCCTTCAGCAGCAGAAGCAGGCTTTCCCCCGCGGCAACGTTCAACTCGCTCTCCACGAGCAGCCGCGCGGCCTTGGCGAGCTGCAGCAGCGCGTCGCAGAGGTGTGCGGCGGATTTTTTCCATGCGGAATAGAAGGAAGGAACGAGATGGCGGATGCGCTCTTGCTCGAGCTCGTTCTTGACGGAGTACATCTTATGAAGGGAAATCATGAAGGACAGCGGACGGAGCAGCGTCTGTATCGCGTCGGAGAGCGCGATGGCGACATTGGAGGCATTGGAATCGGTGATGGAGGCGAAGTGCGCGCAGTGGATCTAGATCGATGATTCGTTGTGTCTGCAAGCGATTACGCCCTCTTTCGTACCGACCGATTGGCAAATCGGCATCATGATCTCGAATGGCGATGCGTAGCGCGTGGCCACCATGCAAATTACGTTGAAGAGCGACGTGTAGAACGCAGAATGCACGTCCTACGTTCAAAACACACCCTTCCACACACCGATGATTCGCAATGCGATCGGCTCCACGTGAGAATCTCCGCGAGTTCCGCCGCGTTCGTCGCGGCGTGTTCCACGATTATTTCCACGAATCGAAGCAGATTGGCCGCGGTTTTGGAGGGTTTGGCGCCCATCATCGTCTACGCGCGATCGGGTTTGGAAGTTTCGAAATTTACGTCGAGCGTTTCGAGGAGTTTCGAAACGGATAATTGGTTGTTGTCCAGAAGCAGATCGATGCAGATGCGTTCGCTTCGCTGCAGCAACGACTGCAGTCGGCAGTTTTCTCCGTCTTCCGCGGGGATCGGGTAGTACGCGGCGAGAGAAGTGGTTTCCACGCATTTCAGCGCGATGGGGAACAATGCGAGCAGCGAAACGCCCAGCGAATTCGTCGGTTCCTCTGCGTGAATTCGATGGAATTCGGCTACGTAGGGAGTAAAAAAGATAGAGATCGAAGGCGAGACGACACGCTTCCCGCAGATACTCGCAGAACTCGCGATTCTCGCGGGAACGCAGGGGATTCGGCGCGAATTCGGTGATCTGCGTGAGCGAATTCTTCGAAGCCTACCGAATTCTGAAGCAGCCAGCACACAAACGACATGATCCCGCTATCGCCCAGAATGCGGTCCAGCGCCTTCAGCACCTCGGGATTCGCGTTCGTTCGCTAGAATTCGATCGAACCGGATGAAACTACCCCGCGTAGCAGCAATCGCAGCAGCGAAAGCAGCGCGAAACGCACGTTGCCCACCTCCAAAATCGATTTCACGTCGGAATCTCGCGACTTTTCCCCGCCCATCCGGTGCAGTTTCTACGTTTCCACGTTTCGAGAGAGAACGTACCACCAGGTTCTGCAGCATGCTCGTGATCTGCCCCACCATCAGCACGATAACCGCGGGATCCGATCCAGGACTCCGCCGAATTCGCTCGATCCCCGCGGTTCGGACGTAAATCACGGACAAATCGAGGCTCAGAAGCAGCGAGCGCTTCAGAGCGTTCGCCTTTCCTTCGCTGCTCGCATCGAACACGGCGCTCTTGTCCAAATGAAGCTCCTCCGGCTCCAGCGCGATCAGCAACTCCACCAGCTGGCTCAGCAGCGACGCCAGCTCCGATTTCCGCGGTTCTTCCCGGCCGTCCGACCGGTACTCCGCGGGAGGGTACAAAATCAGGGTAACCGTGGAAACCAGGTGGTGAAACGGCTGCTGGAGCCGCCCGTTGGCGCACATTTCTTCGATGCGCTGCGGCAGCGGGATGTCCTGCGTTTTCGCGGCGTTTCCCGCGGGAGGGAGCATCTGGAGAACCGGAGAAAGCTTGTCGGCGCAGAGTTTGAGCAGGGCGATGCGCGCGACGGGAGAATCGTAGTAGAGCTTGCAGAGAAGATGGAAGAAGCGCGCGGCGAGCCGGCTGTCGGCGCCGAGAAGCGTGTTGCTGAAATGACGCAGGCGGTTCAGCGCGTCCTCCACCGTCGTCTGGCTCAGAATCGTCCTGTGCGTCAGAGAAACAGAAAGGAATAATCACGGAGAAGCCTCGACGGCGTCGGTGCCGAGCTGCGTGAGCACGATGGACGGCGAGTCGGCGGGGTCGGAACCGAAATGGCTCTTGCAGAGCAGCTCGACGAGACCGGAAACGCCCGCCATGCGCGTGTCATCGTCGGATTGGAAGCAACACTGCGCGTTACGAGAGCGTGGCGGAGAGAACTACCTTCTTGAGAACGATGAGAAGCATGTCGAGAAGGTCGGGTCGCGAGGGCAGCAGCGAATGAATGCTCTGCACCAACGACGGAACCACTTCGCTTGTCAGCAGAGGGATCCGTGTGATCAGCGACTATGCGTCACGGAGAAACGGGGAAACGCGCCTTGACCGCGGGGATGTGGGAGAACATGAAGGCAGGGTAGCAACGGCAGAGCTGGTTGAGTAACGTGATGTATTCGGTGACCACGTCGAAGCGATTCAGCTGCATCTATTGCCTCACTCGTCTTCCACGTTTCCACGATTCGATCGAGAAGGAGCTCGCGGGACGACTCCACTCGGTCGAAGAGCGACAGAAGACAGTTCCGCGCGAGTCGGTCCATCCACTGTTTCTCCAAAACTACGATTCAATGCGATCATCGAAACCAAAAACTCGACGAGTGACCCGACCAATGCAACAAATGATCGTTCCAATGAATCAACAGCTCCGCGCCTTCTTGATACCCGCTCTCCACCACCTCCACCAAGCGCAGAAAGCTCTCCACGATCGTCTCCGAGGGCTCAGTCCCAGGAACCGCGATTATCGGGTAGTTCCAGCGGTACCACACGCTGTTGTATTCGTGTTGGAGTTGGGAGAGAAGGAAGGAGTAAACGGAGGGACGAAAACGCTCGGAGTCGGTGAGAGAGAAGAGAACGAAGAGCGAGACGTGGCTGAGCGGCAGCACGCTGCTCTTCATGAGTTCGAGGAATAGTTTGCAGAGTGACTACGAAAGTGGAAGAAAAGGAGTAATGAAACGCTGTTGCTCTTGAGGGCATAACCGAAATGGTTGATAATCGCGGGGAGCTGCGCGAGCTGGCACTTCTTTTTGATGTTTTGGAGGAGGGAGAGGAGAACGACGCGCGCGACCGATTCGTTGGTGAGCAGAAGCACTTGGTAGACCATCGACGATACGATCAGATTGGGCGCTTTGCCGAGACTGTAGCTCACTTTGTTCACGATGGAGATGATCTCTGTGTCGTTCATGTGACTTTCCTATTCGTGGTAGCGAGTCAAACAGGGGAAACGCGGAAAGCGATGAGGATCGGACAGATGTATTCCTCGTACCAGTCGCGTTCGATGATTCGATCGATCACTCGCTCCTACCCATGATTCTCTTCAAGGAGGGTTCGCACGCGGAAGGCTGCGAGGGTCTGGCCGTTTCCGCTGTCTTCGGAATCGATGATGGTGGAAGTGGAGGTGCAGAGATTCAAAAGCTTTGGAAGGAAATCCAGCACCAGCTTCATTTGCTCTCTAGTCATTACAAAACAGGGAAATCGAAAGTACTCGATACGTCCACGCGTTTGCTTTCCTTCAAAATCAAAACATTTCACAAACACATTGATCTCATCGACCACTTCCAGCTCGGAGAGATCGTCAATATCGATGCAGATCGTTTGCACCACTTCCGAAATCTCATTATTCGAGGAATCGAGGAATACCGTGCAGAGTAGCTGCATTAGAAAATGAAAACGCAGGATTACCTCGATTGATGCTTTAATCACAACAAATAGAGGCGATTGGCAAGATGTCGGATGCGAATACTGCGAGATGGACGAAAACAATGTAGACAGCTGATGCGCCGATTTGGCTTTGGAAATCACTTCAACGATCGATTCTATCGTCAGCTCTTTCGCCAACGAAGAGAGCTACAATCCAAGTCCCATTCAAAGCAAACCTTCTCTTCGGTCTCCGCACCACTCTCCCCTCCCTTGGAGATTCGGAGCAGCTCTTCCACCAGTTTCTTCTGTTCCATTCAAAAAACAAATTCTGCCGCCAAATTTGTGAAACAAACAAGCCAGCTATCCTGAAGACCTCTACGCGTTCTGTTTCTCTCTCAGCGTCTGCGAACGCGTGTACTGCTTGCTGGGAAGCTCTACACGCTGTCCGGAATTCTCGAGCAGCGGCATGTCCTGCGTCTTCTCCTGCTTGGGCTGCCGGTTGGTAATGGCCTGCACAATGAGTCCGAAGAGCGTGAATCCAGCGATCAGACCCAGATAGACGTACCACTACACCTCGCATGCACGCGAAAAACGCTACCTGATAGGGAGGGTTGTGAAGCTTCTGAGGGAACTGCGGAGAGAACGGGTTCATCCACTCTCCGATAAACTGACTCACTCTACAGTCCAGTCAACCCTCCAGCACACACCCGAAGCTGATCATGTAACTGCCGATGACCGATGTGCCCAAAATCACCACCACGCTAGGATCGATTCAGAGAGAGAAAATGCATACTGGTCCCAGACGAGAGCGAAGCAGCCGAACTCGAGGGCGCAGATGGCGACGGAAACGTAGAGAACCACATCGGAGTGGAAACGAATCACACTGTCCAGAATGACCACGGTGTACACGGCAATGATCACACCCAGGGTCGCTCCGATCACGAAGTTGCCGATCTGGTAGAGGCAGACCAAAAGCACACCGACAATGACGCCCATTAAACAGCTGATGCCGATGCTGATCCAGAACGCCTGGTTTTGACTGTGGTGAACAGAAGAAAATAGGGGTACGCCTCCATGTTCTTTAAAAGGTCGGTGGCGATGACCAGAGTGGGAATGCCTCCAGCGAAGAATCCGCAGATAAACATGTTGAACTGACGTAAACGCGCAAACAAATCGCTACTTTGACGGACTTTTTGCCGAGGAAGCAAAGGAACAGGCCGATGAAGATAATGACGGCACTTACGATGATTCTATAGTTGTAGAAGATATTTTCAACTAGGAGTAACGTTCCACGACGAAGATTACAAAAATCCCATAAGTTATCGCCATTAATTTCGGCTCCAAGCTGAGGAACTTCAGAACGAAGTCCCGGACGTGCCATTGCAAGAGACATGAACAGCATTAGCAAAATGGTCTCTCTGTTGAATTTCATTATCACTACGAATAACTCTGTACGAGCGATTCCAAACCGGAACGATATGGATAATTCAAAAAAGATTGTGAAGAAACACCAACAAAAAAGGCTTCTTTTTGGCTTCAACTCAACATTGGGTTTCCTGCTTCCAAGGACACTTCAGCAACCCTTCCACTTACTAGATAGTCCCATAGACGACTTTCGTCCCCTCATTACAATCTTGATCATGAGCAAAGGTGGAAGTGATTTTGGAATGCAAGGACTCATTTCGATCATCAACGATATTCAGGATGTCTTTTCGATCGTTGGTTCGGATTCCTCTTTCGGCTCATATCTAGGTGGAAATCAGATCGATTTGCCGCAGATTGCCGTGGTTGGTGGCCAGAGTAGCGGAAAGAGCTCAGTTTTGGAGAACATTGTCGGTAGAGACTTTCTCCCCCGAGGCAGCGGTATCGTAACGCGCTGTCCCCTGGTTTTGCAGTTAGTTCGCGTAAAGGATCTTGCAACAGGTGCGTGGTTCGTCCGTTTGTTTTTCGTAGAGTATGCGGTGTTTGCCCACAAGCCCAACAAGCAGTTCTATGATTTTGACGAAGTCCGCGACGAAATCGTAAGCCAAACTGAGCGCGAAACCGGAACGGGCGTCTGCGTGACCGACAAGCCCATCAACCTCAAGATCTATTCTCCAAACGTGGTAAACCTGACTCTCATCGACCTCCCCGGCATCACGCGCAATCCTGTCGGCGATCAGCCTCGGAACATCGAGGAGATCCTGCGCAACATGGTGGTTCGGTACATCCGCGAGCCCTCCTGCATCATTATGGCCGTCACGGCCGCGAACACCGACCTCGCCCTGAGCGATGCGATCCAGCTGGCGAAGGAGTACGATCCCTCCGGCGAGCGCACCATCGGCGTGATCACCAAGGTGGACATCATGGACAAGGGCACGGACGCCAGCGACATCTTCGACGGGCACGTGATCCCGCTGAAGCTGGGCTACGTGGGCGTGATCAACCGCAGCCAGAAGGACATCAACTCGCGCAAGGACATGCATCTGCAGTGGGAGGACGAGCGCCGGTTCTTCCAGACCTACTACCCCGACCGGTGCAACCGCATGGGCACGCAGTACCTCCGCGACCGGCTCAACGCGCTGCTGGTGGAGCACATCAGCCGCTCGCTGCCCGAGATCATCACCAAGGTCACCGCCTACCGGCAGCAGATCGCCGCGCAGCTCGCCGAGATCAAGTCGGTCAACGACGGGCTCGCCGACGTCAACGCCACCGCCGTCCAGCTCTTCCTCAGCTACTCGCAGCAGCTCAAAGTGCTGCTCTTCGGCCGCGGAACCGACACCACGCAGACCGACGAGCTCTCTGGCGGCGCGCGCATCCTCGACATCTTCTCCCACGAGCTCACCAGCGGCATCCAGGCGCTCAACGCGCGCGAGTGCCTCACCGTCAAGGAGATCCGCACCGCCATCGTGAACAACCGCGGCATTCACGGGGGACTGTTCGCGTCGGAGAAGGCGCTGGAGGTTTTGATCGGGCGGTGCCTGGCGCAGTTCGAGTCGCCGTGCTTCGTGTGCGTCGAGAAGGTCAAGACGGAGTTTCAGAGCGCGGTGAGCAACATCAAGCTCCCCGAGTTCCAGTATTTCCCGCGGCTGCGCGACGCGGTGATTCGGGAGACGCTGGATCTGCTGGAGGAGAAGAGTCTGATCACGAAGGACATGGTGCACGTGCTTCTGGAGATGGAGAAGGCGTACATCAACACCTCGCACGAAGCCCTGTCGTCCGACCGAATCCAGAAGCTGCAGGGCAACGCCATCGCGACGGCACGCGCGGTACGCTCCGAGTCGCTCGCTGAGAACGTAGAGGTTCGCGCAGCAGCTCCATCCGAACGATCCTCCCGAGTTCCAGGAGCCCATGGTGCAGGGCTGGGTGTGGGTGCGCGGCGCGCGAGGCCGGCTGGACCGCATGTACGCGATGATCAAGCAGCGCTCGCTGCTGTACAACGCGACGACCGCGCTGGACCGCAGCGATCCGGGACTGAAGCAGGTGTTTTTGGAGGGCGCGTCGGCGCGCGTGCTGCACAACAACGCGGCGATGGGCGAGTTCGAGTTCGAGGTCAGCGTGGGAGAGGAAACGCTGGTGCTGCGTGTGGAGAGCGAGGCGCAGGAGACGAACTGGATCGCGTGGGTGAATCTGGCGAGCAGCGAGGATGCGTGGCGCGACACGCTCTCGAAGATGTTCGTGCCCGAGAAGAACGAAAAGGAAGAAGAAGAAGCGGCGAAGGCGGCCGAGGAAGAGACCTCGGTGTTTCGAAAGAGCAAGGTGGGCGTGCTGCGCGAGAGCGGCGAGTGGGACGGGTACAACAAGAACGAGCAGATTATGATCGAGTACATGTCGCGACTGATCGACACGTATCTCGAGACGGTGAAGAAGAATCTCATGGACTCGCTCCCCAAGGTAGGCTGCAACCGAGCGAGTGCGAGCGTAGTGCATCACGCTGTATCTGCTCAACCGCACCGTGGAGAACGTGTACAACGCGCTTATCTCCAATATCTACAACCGAAACCTCGTCCCTAGTCTGATGGCGGTGATGGCTTGGGAGAGAGATCATTCCTAGGAGGACGAGGCGCTGATTAAGAAGCGGGAGGATCTGCAGCGTGTGCTGAAGCTTCTCGATAAGGCTTTGCGAAACATGACCAGTATGAAGATGCAGAAGTCGCAGCCGACCGAGATTCCGCAGCCGGGCGTCCGAAAGGATCTCAGTCCGTGGGAGAAGGGAGCGTTCAACTCGCCTTCGGATATTGACTGGTCGATGGTGCGAAGCAAGGGATCGTTATTTGACAAGAAGTAGTGGACTCAGTTTTTGTCCTTTGGATTCATGAGTCGGCCTGTTTGTTGGAGAAAACGTGACAATGATTGCGAAATCACTTTTGTTGATAATCAAGCGATCACTGTACGGCCAGAATTGTGGCTTGAAGTTTTAATACTATCGCTAGAACAGTCGATTTGAAAACATGGGTACGTAGACGGCTGCATGATGGGAGTATTGGTAAAATCGGATTGAAGAATAAATGGAGCTAACGCTGAATTAGGTATTTGCCGTGATTCTCGTCATAAGCGTCGCTTAACTGGAGGAAAGGTCGTCATTAACATCAAGAAGAGAAAGTTCGAGATGGGTCGTCAGCCTGCCATGACCAAGCTCGGAGCCAAGAGAATTTACCTGGTCCGCTGCCGTGGTGGAAACATCAAGCACCGTGCTATCCGTCTGGATACTGGTTCGTTCTCCTGGACCGGAGAGGGTGATTTTTGTCTAGTGAAGTGATTTGTAGCTTTCTCTGCCAAGACCAAGATCCTGAACATTGTGTACAACGCTTCCAACAACGAGTTGGTGCGTACGAACACCATTGTGAAGGGCTGCATTGTTTCGATCGATGCGACCCCTTTCAAGGCCTGGTTCGAGAAGCACTACTCCTGCAAGATCGGAGCCAAGGGTGAGGTGACGAAGGACGATCTGAGCAAGCTGGAGGGCGTGAGCAAGTCGAACCTTGCGAAGCTGCAGAAGCTGCAGGATTCCCTTCAGGAGCAGAAGGAAGTGATCGATCAGCTGGCTTCGGGTAAGATCCTGGCTCGCATCTCGTCGCGTCCTGGTCAGTGCGGTCGTGCTGACGGATACATTCTGGAGGATGAGGAGCTGGCGTTCTACCACAAGAAGATCAACCAGAAGAAGAAGTAAAGCGAAATGCCAACCTTGTTCAGCGGTATTTGTGGTTGTTTGTTGCATGAAAGGTACAATCGTCGTGATGTTTGTAGAGAAGAATTGTAAAAGTGAATGGGTATGATGTGAGTGTTGAGAGAGGAAATAATAATAATAATAATAATAATAATAATAATAATAATAATAATAATAATAATAATAATAATAAAAAGAAGAAGTGGATGGGATGGATGACAAGGAACTAATAGATACAACAATGAAGAGAGAGAGAGTGTATATCCCCAGAAGGGATGACACCAACATAGGTACAAGATAAGCTAAAGAAAAACATTCATATACAGCAAATACAGTGAGTGAGGTAGCAAACAAACAGCACTTTGCACATTGAACATGAATGAATTAGTACCATTGGAAATGGAAACAAAGCCCGACTGTATTAGTATACACATACATAACTAGAGCTGAAAAGTGGTCGGTACTCTGGATCAAAAACATGAACGAGACGTGTAGGGTTGTTATTTTTGTCTACAATCTCTCCTCTACAGATGCACAGAAACGCAAAACGCAAACTTTTCGTATCCGCACCAAGCAATCAGACCTCCTTCCAGAGAGAATGCCTTAACGCCTTTTTTAAGTAGCTCCCGAACTACCTCGCAACTACGGTGTCCAATCGTTGAATAACAAATCGTTTTCACAAATGGAAAGTTCTCATTGTCTAATCGAACAAGATACTCATTCTAAAGTAAACAAGGAGATACAGATGTTACATAGCTGATTGCCCCCTGAATCCTTGAGACATTCATTTCTACAGAGCTTCGAGTATCCACCAAAATAATATACTCATCTGACTCGTGCATAAGCTTCCATAACTCTTCACAGGTTATAAGGTTGTCAGCTAGGCCTTGCGTGAATTCCGAAGACCGCTGCTTCAATAGTGATATCATTTCTTCTTTTGAATCCCTACATCCTAACCAGTGTTTTCACACAGCTTACATATTCCGAATATTCGATACAAACACAATAAATAAGGGTGTAAAGGAATCTTCACGCGCTCACGAAACACTCAGTTTCCACTTTCTAATTCTCGTTGTAAACAAACAACAAATATAAAAATTAATATTAAATAAGAATAATATTAAATTTCAACCCACAAAGAAACCAATTACACCAGTTAAACATTTCTAAAACGATCGGACTGCAGCGTCTCCCGAATCTTATTATACATCTTGCAATTCCTACATTCGATCTCTCCCGAATCAACCCTACTTCAGCTCTTCCATCGGTTTTCGGTTTTTCTTCTACACATCATCTCCCATCCTCACTCCGACTCGACTCTCTCTCTGTAAATCCATGGAGCAGTAGAGCTCAAAATCGCGGAACCGGCTTTCCAAAAACTGCTTTTCCGTCTTAATCACATTCCCTTCGCTCCTATCAAATTGCCTTCGTACATAGTAGGAAAGTCCCGTCTCCGGCTGTTTTCTCGCTACTTGATACTCCGCTGTGGGACGCGTGCTAATCTCCATCGGCTCTCGCTGTCCTACCTGAACTGCGGCTGCATCATCGGCAGAAACACCGAAATCAGCACGGAAACGACCAAAAACACAATGGTGATTATGCCATTCCATTGCTGGGTCTGTCGGTGAAACGCTCTCTGCTGCTGACTAGGGATGAATCCGAAGCGAAATGAAGGACTGAGGAGATGAGGAACGATCGGAGGATGTGGAACGATAGGAATAACGCCGAGGAAACGAGTTGAATTGGTAATAATGAAAACTTGGATCATTGCCGAAAAACATGCGGAAGAGAAATTCAGGATCGAGGTCTTGGGTGTAATAGTACTCTGCAGGGGGAGCGCTGGACGGCTGGGAGCTAAACACGTTCGAACCGCTGGGGGACTGGAGAAAAGGAGAAGCGAAAAGTGTACGGGATTCGAATCATATTGAGAACGCTTGGTTTCGTCGCTGAGGACGGTAAACGCGGCAGATACACGCTTGAATGCATCTGCGGCACCCGGATACGAGTTCTTATCAGGATGGAGTTTAATGGCAAGCTGGAATGAGAAAGAGATGGATATGAGTACTTTGCGATAGGCCTTTTTGATTTCCTCCGTGGATGCATTTGTGCTCACGCCAAGAATTTCGTACAGATTCTCCTTGCTGTTTATGGAATCAGCAAGTTCTTTCTGTTCCTACACATAATTCTTTTATTCGGGTCGAACGGGAGTGAAAGACACATTGGTTTCACTCTGAGCCTGATGGCGTTGCCTTACTTCCGATTTCTCTTCATCTTCAAATTAAAACACACGGAGAAACGCTCTACCCTTCTGGCTCTTTTTTCTTCCCTCCGATACAAGAGAAAGCAAAGAAAGGACCTTCAAATTATCAGGTTGGCGTTCGAGAGCTTTTTTCAAATACTTCTCAGCAGCATCGTAATCTCCTCTCGATATAAAGGAAGCTGCTTTATCGCAACACTGCTGAACGTAATCCTCAGACATAATATGGAAATGCAAAAAAGGCACTTTTTTATGCAACCATTTTCGTTCTAGAATACTTTGTACAGATGGTCGTCTCTACAAATGAAGGAAGAACAGTAGATATCAGTGTTATAGTACTTCTATTTTGCAGAATAGTGATAATCGGTATCATCCCTTGTAAAACAAGTGGTTTCACCGCCATTTCTTTTTTAACAAACAATGGAATCCTCGAATAATCTCCCCGGAATGAAGTAGGTAATGTTTCCGACTCCTCCCTTCATGATTACGTAAATCATAAGCGCTGCATCGTTAAAACCTACCAGTTATAGAGAGTAAAATATGGGCAACAAAAATTAATCGCTCTCGGTTCAATCACGATGCTTGATAACGCTTTCATGAGCGATTTCACTTCCACTTTCATCTTTACAGAGACATCGGTAGTTGTATCAGTGTCGACAGGGAGAACAGAGGAGAATGTTGTTTCCATGTATACGGTGACATTGCTACTTCTAGAAATGAATCGGATAAGCAAAGCATTGCGATATATTCAATATCCCTTGATTGTTTGCCTCGATGCAGATGGCATCATCGATTATCTTCATTCGTGAGAGAACACTGCGCAACTCTTTGGCTTTCTGAACAAGCAATTTGAGCTATTGTTAAAGAGATGTAGCACCTATACAAAGGGAGGAACCGTATTCGGTTCTTCGTAAATGCTGAATTCCTGAGGCTGTAAAACCTTCACCGATATATCCTGACGGATGTTTATTCCTTCTAGAGTCTATGTCGCAGAGAAGAAAAGTGAAGAACCTCCATGTCAAACACCAGACTAGGAGTGCCCCGGTATCTACTTAATTTCATATATACTGTTTTGGTGGTCTTTGTGCTTGATAATGCCTTCACAAAACTCTGGACATTGAACTCTAGGTAAATGTGATTGTCCGCATTACTCTCGGAGACATAGTTATCGAACATTTCCTATGGATATTCACTCCTAAACAGAAATACAAGCCCAAATTGAGTAAATGCAGAAAAGGTGTGATCTTTCTGAATGGAACACATCAACATCCACTGGAGAGAAATATGAAAGCAAGCGGTTTCCGAAATTGAAGCCTGTGAACCAATTGTGGCTAACACTCAAGAAAATGGTTTCTTCTTACATATGAATGTTTCGAAGTGATGGATTTTTATGTTGGCATGGAAGCGCATTCTCCAATAATCGAAAAACTAATATGCCATTTTTTATTAGAGTGTTTGCTTGATGAGTTCTCTCTTCATTCTCGTTGTTCCGGGGTACCCTCCAATAACCACATTCCAGCAGATCGAAGAACGAAGGTGAGAAATGGAAAGCGCATTCATGTGTAGATTTGTTACACAATTACCCAATCCTTCTTCTATATCGGAGGTATGCTTTTCTGTACAGCCTGGTTTCAGCATTCCCGAGTGCGGCAGTAGGATTAAGGAAAATCGTGAATTTTAGTTGTTCTATATTATTCATTCGGAGAAAGCCAAGAATGGAACATTTTAGGGACAATCACAACAGAAGCTCCCAGGCTCGCATATTGTTGGTCGTTTTAATGTGTAGCGGTATTTTCCGTACCACGTGGAGTACAATGAATGTAGAAAACGTACCTTACGTCTATTTTGGCATTTCTTTGGAAAAGTGTCTCCCTCGTTTCATTTTCACGTATAGTGAGAGTTTTGTGGCGAATTTGCGAGGATTCGTTCCATCTCCTTATGAGCGTGAGCTTCCCGTCATGAAAATCGTTCAAGACCTATATAATTTCATATCTTCTTTTGAGTCTGGCAAGTAGTTTATGAAATTGTGATTGAAGAATAGTTCCGATCGAATTATACTGCCCAAGAATGTACTCGCGACTTGGCTTGAAAAAACAAAAGCGAAATTGCAACGTAACCCTCGCTATTTCTTTTCTCTTGTTTCTTATTCCTCAAACAATGGATAGGGAAAATGGAACATAGCCCTGACAATTTGGTGCGTTGCAGTGGCATTTACACGACGAAACAGCGTTGCTGCCACCATAATGAAAGCAGATTTCTTCTCCTTCTTGAATATCACGTAGGGCAACAAGAACAACATGAGGGAACAGTGTTGAAGTACGTATCTAAAGCAACTATTCCAATCAAACCGAACTCTACGATGTGAACTGCACAATTGGGATCACAGGAATGATTTACGAATCTCGATTCATTTCCGAAATGAGTTGCATCGATATAGGTGTGAAGAACCATGTTTGCATAGTTTTCTCGAACCTCCAGCATGTAGTTTCGGGACTCGCAGCGGGTACGAATTCGATCCTCTGCGACGGCTCGGCGCAACACTTCTCCTACATATTCCATCACGATGGTCCCTTGAGGAATACGATCCTCAGCTCTACAGCAGAGACAAATTTACCGAAACCCG